TGTGATTTTCTGCATGTTTGGGCTATAAGTTGATTTCACACGCTTCCTACAAAAGTCTTCTCAATATAAACCTGAATAATAGTGGGCCGTGTCATTTTTTGGCTCAGTACTACTTTTCTCCATAGCTTAATAAACTATAATTTAGGGTCTCTCTCTCTCTATGTCTGTTACTATATAGATTTTTTAAAAGAATGGTATGCTTACTTCATATCATTTTTCCTAATGCCTACCTTCACCAACCTGGTTGTCTTACTTCTATTGTTTCTAGTAGTAATAGCAATAGCATTTAGACTTAAATACTGCTTCACAGTGCTTTACAACCCTTTCTAAGCGGTTTACAGAGTCATCATATTTCCCCCAACAGTCTGGGTCCTCATATTACCAACCTCAGAAGGAAGGAAGGCTGAGTCAACCTTGAGCTAGTGAGAATCGAATTGCTGACAGTTGGCACAATTAACCTGCAATACTGCATTCTAACCACTGCACAACCACAGCTCAAGATAATAATAAAGATAGTAAAGTAATAGTAAATATAGTAATACTAAATATAATAAGAGTGAAAGGATAAGACAGAATATTGGACCAAGACTGTGGAGACTCAATTGTCACACGTAGTGTGAAGTTAAGGAACATAATTTTGATTTTGCATAATTTTTAAAAAATGTTAAAGAGCAGTCTTTAATGTGCATAATTTCCCGCTCCAGACCCCCATTTGACATAGCCTAGTAGCAACTTGGTGTGGTAGTTAAGATGAACTAAATCCAGGGAGCCTCAGGCTCAAGTCCACCTTCCACCACTGTAACTCCTTGAGTGACTTTGGGCAATGTTTGCTTTCAACTCAAGCTACTTCATTAGTTTTCTTTTGTGAGAAATAAAAGGTGGAAAGGCTTCCATGTTTTCCACCTTGAGCTCCCAGGGAAAAGATAGATATAAGTGAAATAAATAAAACAGCAACTTGAGAATTTCAGTATTTAGAAGAAAATTTATTTTGGGATTATGGCAGAGAAAGAACCCATTTATTTTTAAAAAATCTTTCACCCTACTATCTATGGCTATGATTTAAACTTGAGTGAAGTAGTACTACAGTTGCATGTTTTATGTGAAATGTAACTTATCCATTTTTCTCATGCTTGCCTGCTACTTAGGGTCCTTTTTTAAGAATAAATGAAAGACAAGGTTCTATGTATCCTGGAGCCTCTTAAAAACGTCTTCAGAAATTACCTCAAAACTTGCTTCTCCTGAAATGCATGTAATCTTAGAAGAGCATAAGACATTTTACTTTTAGCTCAACTCATTGATTGCTATTCCTTGACTCCTTGCTTCAGACAGAAACTTCACTTAGCAGATGTTCAAGATCATCCGAATACCAGCAGAAGCTAAATCTGCCGTTTTCTTGCTTGTTTTGGGGGATCCAAGTTCCCATATTTAATTTCCAGCAGACTGTTCCTTGCTTCTGTAACAACGTGTTGAAAATAATTAATATGTGCACACACTCCTCTTAGCAGACGTGCAATGTTGCAGCCTTGTCAGGCTTGAAGCTTAGGGTTCAGTATGGCCATGTTTTGCTGCTATGCTTTGTATCGTTGCCTTATCCTCTGTGAAAAGTGGGAAAACTTGAAAGAGCATTTCTAAAATGGAAAAAAAAGTCAGTATTGATTAAGTTAATATATGAACTATGGTGTGCCTGCTTCCTTTTCCACAATGTAGACAATCAGCATATGCTCAGTGATGCCATTAAATGAATGTTTAATTTATTTTAGCAATAAAATAATTTTAAAGACCTCTGTTTTCTATAGAATTTATGTAACCATTGGGCGTTTTTATGTGTATCTTTATTTATTTATTTATTGAATTTATAAAGTTGCCAAATTAATAATTTATTACTCTGGGCAGCAGATAGAAGTAAATATCCAATAAATATAAAACCAGCATAATAAACTACAACAGTACACAGATAACCAAGGCTGAAAATAGCCCTTAGACTTACATACAGGTTCATAGTACTTTATGGGCTTCTCTCAGCGGTTTACAGAGTCAATGTATTGCCCCCAACAATCTGGGTCCTCATTTTACCAACCTCAGAAGGTTGGAAGGCTGAGACAAGCTTGAGCCTGGTGAGAATCAAACTCCTGGCAGTCAGCAGAATTAGCCTGCAATATTGCATTCTAACCAGTATGCAAATAAACACCCCCTCTCATAATTGAGTGGGTTCAGTTACCATCTTGGTCCAAGACACAAGAGAAAAAACATCTCAGCTTTACAAAACAGTAGTAGGATCAGAGTGCCTGTACATTAGGAGTGGGGAAGAAGCTCATCCCAAAGAGCAGATGTTTCAACAGTAAAGGTATGGAGTCTATGTCCCATTAGATAACTCTGCCTCAGGGGTCCTGAAGCATGTCTACTTTGCTGAGTTAGATAAGCAGAAATAGCTAAAGATTTATTTATTTATTTATTTATTTATTATATTTCTATACCGCCTTTCTCCCGTAGGACTCAAGGCGGTGTACAGTCAAGAAAAATATAGACACATAAAATTGCTAATTAAAATTATTTCTTAGTTTGGTCAATCAAATAAAACCCAGAATTAGATAACATTTAAAAAATCATTCACATGTTCGTATGTTTAGCCCCGCCTGTTGGAACATCAGGGTCTTGAGGGCACGGCGGAAAGCACGGAGATCAGGGATATTCCGTATCTCCGGGGGCAGTTCATTCCAAAGGGTTGGAGCCCCCACAGAGAAGGCCCTCCCCCTGGGAGTCGCAAGATGCGCTCATATCCTGCACATAACACAGCCCTCGGAGCAAGGGAGAAATTGCACTACATTTTCATTACAGCTTTACATTTCATTTATCACTTGGGAGCCCTTGTTATTAGAAAGAACAAGTTTGCAGTTGTACATTGATCTCACCCATTTAATAACCTTGAGGGTGAGAGTGGCCTCAGACATTTTGTCTGCAAGCAGAACAACCAAGCTCGGAGAGCAACAAGGATTCCACATTGGTCCCTTGCATGTATATATATTTATTTTAAGTAATGAAAGTGTGAGGGTATGCTGTTCAAATTTTCCACTTCTAGTTACTTTCAGGTAACTAGCCTTCTATATCTGTATGGTCTTATTATTTTCAGATGATTGATGAAGAGGAAATTAAAACCAGATGCCAGATGCTTATTGTGTGAAAGTGAGTGGTTTCATATGGAGATCATTATATTGATGACTTATTAGCTTAATAGCTTGATTCTCACAGTAATAACACCCTTTCTCTGCTGAGCTTTACTGATCTGCTCCCTTCCATATAAGTGGGGACCACAGTAATTCTCACTATTATAGATATTGACAGGTTTTAATTGTTTCAGAGGTGTTACTTCAATGGTAAGTTGTTTCTGTTTTCTGGAAAATTGGTTGAATCCCTACTTTGTATTGCTGTTTGATGTGTTAAAATTAGTAACAATATGGATTTCTATTCCAATACTTGATACTCATGGAAATTGCCACTACAGATGTGAAACCTCTTCATGTTATGGTGGCTTCCTGACAAGTGTGCTACATTGTAATGTATGATTACTAATAGAAGAAGCTGATGTCCAAGGAAGGTAAGCCAAGGAACACATTGATCCTTCGTCTAACTGAAGTAGTCAAGGTGACCACTCAGGATTGCTTTCTCCTTGAGAAAGAAAGATCTTTTATATCTCTATAAAACTTTTCCGTTAATCCTGCAAATCAGGAGATTTTCTGGAAAGAGATAGATAGGACTGCATTTGTGATATATGGTATGCCATATATTTAAATGATCTCAACTGCTAAGTAGAGTTGATAGTCTATATACACATACAAACCAAACATCCTGGACAGAACACAGCTTCCCCACTTTAAGCACACACTCAATTCCCTCTTGGCACTGGTGACCCAAAAGAACATGATGGAAATGGAATAAGAAAAAGGGTAAAGTCACTGGGAAAGAGAAAGAAAAGCTGAGAACAAACTGAAATAAGATGGGGGGAAGGGAGGAGTAACTGGACAGCAAATTAAGGAAAACCAGAGTAGCCTTTGAAGTTACAAAAAATATTAAACTCACTATGAGGACAGCCTTTTTCTGCAGATTTTGCTTTTGTTGCCTGTGTTCCGCAGCTTTTATTACTAGAGAATACAAGACCTCATACATTCACAGCTTCTTATCGGTATTTGGAGAAGCCTCACTTCCAAACAAATTTCCACTAATTCAAGGGCTTTTTCAGTCCAAGCTGATATGGTTTGAAAAGGGAAAAAGTAGAAGGAATTTGCAGACTTTTGTTTCTGGTTTTTTTTTAGCAAGGAAGAAGGGCATAACGAGTTAAAAGTTGTTATTACATTTGGTCCCATCGCTGTTTTCATAAGTCCTTCAAAACTTGATTGTGCCAAGAGGCCTGGGGGCTCTTAAGGGAATTGTGAGTTGTTGAGGTAGTTTCACTGTTGTTAATATTTGTTGCTCCCTCCTTGCCTTGTAATAATATTAATGGTTTTAATTATTGCTTTCATAGTACCATTTTATAGTTTTTTATTGTATGCCATCCCGAGTCGCATTTTGTGAGATGGACAGCCATATAATGTAAATATGATGAGGAAATAGGGAAACCCTATATGTCTACATCACCCTTTTATGTCACTTTTGCATCTCATAAGAATTACCACATTTTGCTCTTCTGTGCCAGCAACAATGTATGAAAGTTTGGGGTTGTGTTTTTTTTTTTTACTGGGCCTCCCTTTCTAGGAAGACCTTTATCTCTCTCGTTCTCTCTCTTTTTTTAAATCAAAGCCCCACCAGAAGAAATACTGTTGTATAAGTACACAGGTTGATAGAAATAGTGCTACAGTGCCACACAAATCCAAAGAACTTTGCTCTTGTAAAAAGATTCAAACTGGACAAGGAATATTTTCCTTTGGTCCCGAGTCAGCCAGTGTTGGCTAAAAGCCCAAGGTATGTTGTATTGTGTACAGTGGTTCCTATGGAGATGTGGAGAAGACCTTCAGTCAACAGTACTTCTGGCTTTTCTCAGAAGGGAAAGATCCATCAATTCTTAAGGTAAAGTAGTAGATGTGCCTGTGATTATTTATTTGTTCAAACGTGTGAATGGATAGATAGGACATTGAGGGGTCGGGGGTGTGTATTGTGTGTGCTGTGTTTCAGAAACTGCGGAGTTGATATTCTCTCAGTCTAAAAAGAGCAAAACACGTCATAACACCGAATCCAGAGACTGATGCACAAAAGCTTAATTTGCAGGATAACTCTAGAGGTTAATAGGATTCAAATTCATTTCAGAGTGCAATTGTTTCCCTTATAAAATTTATAACAAAAACATTCAAAGTTAACATAGCAAAAGGAAAGAGTCAAAACAAGATTGAAACTTGGAATGTTAGAGGGGAAGGAAAATTTCCCCTTTTTGCTTTTCCAGTGAACATTATTGAGCTTTAATCCCTCTTCTTTCTATCCTGCCTTCCTTATATTGCGGTGCCACCTTTCCTCCCCCCCCACCGAACCACAAAATCTACAATGGAGCTTTTGAAAAGAAAAAGTGTATGTTTTAATAAGAAACTACTAGCTTAGTATTTGATTTCTCCCTTTCCACACACACATATTGGTAGTAGTCACTGATTTATTCCCTGCATTTTAACCCCATGTTTTAAACAGTTGTTCACCCAAACAGTTTGTGTAAGAATGAAAAAAGAGTCCATGTACACAGTCTAGAACAAGAGATCCAAAGCTCTTCAGCTCATTGATACCTTCCTGATGTTTCAGATTGTTAATAGCTTCAGAGAAAAGAAATGTAGTATTTCTAAAGTAAATGTAAAGATAGAAAAGGTGAACAGGGATTTCTTCAGATGTATAGTATGTTGAGCTCACCCAGTAACATACAAATTTTTGGTCCAGTTAGTAATACGGAGGATAAATTAAAATACCACTACAGTTTGTCATGTGGTCAACTCATCATGATGCAAATTAATTGATGTTGGTATCTCACTCAACATGGATTGATGGGGATCCAAGTAATATTTTGGGGGGGGGGGAAGGAGGCAGTGAAGGGTAATCATACAATATGTAAAGTGTCTATCTACTCATTCTGATAAAGTTCTAGAGATTACCCATGAGGTAGCATTTCCAGAATTCATACTTCAACCCCTTCTGCACATTATAGGCCCTCCCACAGCTTGCACAAACAATGCCCTTTTGGGTAGGGGGACGATGAGTGTTGTAGGCCCAGGATATCTGTCAGATTACAAAAGGCCAATATTTATTTATTTATTTTATTTTTATCCAGCTTTTACAAATAACTCAAGGCAATGAACATATTCAGTACACCTTCGCCTTCCTATTTTCTCCACAACAACCCTGTGAGGTGATTTGGGCTTAGAGAGAGTGACGGCCCAAAGTCACCCAGCTGGACTGCACAAAAATCAATCCAAGTTTTATGGTTCTCTCTGTGTGTGGTTTTAAGTCAGTTTTGACTGCTAGTGACTGCTTGGACTAGTCCCTGTGTTTGGAAGTGGTTTACTATTGCCTTCATCCTAGGGCTGAGAGAGTGACTGACCCAGAGTCACAGAGCAGACATTGTATGTAAGGCAGGATTAGTACTCCTGGTTTCCAGGTTTTTTATCCTGCTGCCTATGACAATAAATTGCCTCTTATTTTATAGTGTTGCCCTATTTTAATCAAACACTAGCCCATCTTTTGTGTCCACTACTATTAATAACACATAGCATTAATAGCATAAATATGAAATGCTGTGTTTCTTATTTTATAATCAGATCAATATTACAAAAATTGATAGAGGGGATCCAGAATAATTTGAAGAAACTAAAGACACAGTCCAAATATTTGGCTTGTTTTAGAGGTTTTGTGATTAGGGTGTAGATTTTAGTTGAATTTAGAACTCAGCATTTACTCTTGAAAGTTACACTATTATTCCATTTCTATCCACTAATAGGAATCTAACTGATGTGTAGAACAGAATTAACAGCAGACAAAAGTGACTATTACCTGAATAATTATAGTTCATATAATATATACACCTCATGTGACATTTGAAAAGCTTAGGACACCCTACAAGAGACAGAGTCCGCATCAGAGAATGGAAATCCTGCGTACACGATTCAGTTCTTGGACACCAATTAAAAACAAATCGCTTAACAATCAGGTGAGTTAATATTAAATTAACACTTAGTACTTAAACTGCTAAACTTTTGCTTTAAAATTTAATATTTCCAAAACTTTCATAGCTCGCTTGTCCATCAAAAGCAGGCTGGTTTGGTAGTTTGTTTAAATGTTTCCAGAAAAAAGCTCTCTATATGGCAGTTTGTTGTAACAGAAATATGCATTCCATGAAATTGTGGTACCTAGTTCTGCCTATAACTGAAGACTATCATAATAAACCTTCATAAAAACTGATTTGAGTTCTGCTTCTCACCGTCTGGTTTCAACCAAGAGAATACGTTTGTTATTTTAGCACTTGCTAACCTATATAATATTATACAAATATTATTTTGATGCACATTTGACCCGTGGTTTCCATATTTTTACATAAATCTGGAATAAATACAGTTTTTTAAAAAAAAAATTTTAAAAAAATTTGATTTATATGCCGCCCTTCTCCGGAGACTCAGGGCGGCTTACAATGCGTTAAGCAATAGCCTTCATACTTTTGTATATTTTATACAAAGTCAGCTTATTGCCCCCACAAACTGGGTCCTCATTTCACCTACCTTAGAAAGGATGGAAGGCTGAGTCAACCGTGAGTTTTGGAGAGATTCGAACCAGCAGTAATTGCAGGCAGCTGTGTTAATAACAGGGTGCTTAGACCACTGTACCATCAAGGTTCTAATACCATCGAGTTGCCTAATACAACTCTTGTTCTTTTTTTCTTTCTTTCTTTTTTGCTGCTAACATAAAAAAAAAAACCTATTAAATCAATCTCATGTCCAAAATGTTTCTCTCACCACAATCAATTAATGCAACATTGTTTTTTTAAAAATACATTTGATTGCTTTTAAAATAATAACAAAAAAGAAGAAAAGGAATAAAACACAAAATACATTACAAAAATAAAGTAATGCTTAAAAATCAGTGAAAAATATATTTGATGCATAAATATATACACACGCATAATGTTTGCATCATGTTATATTCAGTGGTGGGATTCAGCCAGTTCGCTCCAGTTCAAGTGAACCGGTTGTTAAATTACTACCCCGCGCTATCAAAGTGGATCCTGGGTGCTGCGCTGCAATGGAGAAACGGGCAACAGAGCGGCCAGAGTGAGGGAAGGAGGCCGCTTTCCCTCTTTCTTTTCCCTGCTCCTCCTCCTTCCCTCATGTCAGCTACTCCATTTCCTGTTTCTCCATTGCAGCACAACACCCAGGATCCACTTTGATGGGGGGGGGGGGGGGCGTGCGGTTAATTTAACAACCAGTTCTCCCAGGGTCAGGTTGGCCAATGCGAGAGGCTCATCCCACATGTGCGGCGGAGCTGGAGGACGGGGCTGGGCCATACCTCCCACGACAGCCAACCTGACCATGGGCAAACTGGTTGTTAAATTACTTGAATCCCACCACTGGTTATATATATTTAGAATTCCAACTGTTTACTGTATATTTACTCTTATGGTGACATACTATACAAGAAAAGAAACACTAAGAATACCATATAAACATTAGAATGATCCACTGTTTTTTTTTTTTACACTGTATTGTAAAGACATCCATACAGTCTTGTTCTGTCTTGTTCTGTCTTGAGCCATGGTGGCACAGTGGTTAGAATGCAGTACTGCAGGCTACTTCTGCTGACTGCCATCTGCCTGCAATTTGGCAGTTCGAATCTCACCAGGCTCAAGGTTGACTGAGCCTTCCATCTTTTCAAGGTCAGTAAAACAAGGACCCAGATTGTTGGCAATATGCTGGCTCTGTAAACTGTTTAGAGAGGGCTGTATAGCACAGTGAAGCTGTATAGAGTCTAAGTGCTATTGCTAAGTGCTATTGCTAATACCTACAGTCAGAACAGAAGTACAGTATTCCATTCATCTGATGGTTTCCAAATTCTGCTATCTTGCCTGTAGAATTATGTTGACTGTCTACTATTGTTCAGTTTTTTCCCCCCAATGATTTTCCTTTCTGCTTTTTAAAAATTTTATTATTTTATAACATAAGCCACACTGAGTTGTATAGAATCAGGCAGGTTCAAATTTTAAACCAATCAATCAATCAATAGTATTGACATCAATTTTAGCAATTTTATTAATTTTCTGCTTTGTATTTTTTCAATTTTTGATATAAAAAAGAACTACTGCTACCATGCTTCCCACCCACAAAAAAATCTGTTACAACATAAAACAAAATGGGATGCTAGTGGCATGCTACAAAGCTAAATGCTTTCCCTTAGCATTATACTTACTAATACGGTAGTATATTTATTAATGATAATTTTTAATAATATCTTAGGAGCCTAGATAGACCTAAAAGAATGGAGGTCAGCTGAAAGAGAGCCTGCCTACTGCATACACATGATGAAAGAGCAGCGTAGGAGAAAGTAAATGAGTGTTCTGTGACTGACACCTGTTTTGTGAGGGTGGCCATGATTTATTTTGAACACCTCAGTGGGGTCCCCAGATTTTTTGCCCCTAGTCCAGGTTTTTTTAGGAAATAATCCAGCCAGTCAGAACTTCATTTGAAATTAAGGATTTTATTCAAAAGCTCGATTTTGCAGCATATATGAGGAATTGTGGTCCTCCAGTTGTAGTAGCCAAAGTCATTAGCACTGTCCAACACAGCCAATGTTGAGGGTTGTTGAGAATTGGAGTTAGCAATGTCTAAGGACTCCAGATCAGTGGTGAAATCTAAAATTTGTTACTACCGGTTCTGTGGGAGTGGCTTGGTGGGGGAGGGGGTAATGTAACTAGATGGGTGTGGTCAATTTTATTTATTTTTTTTATTTTTAAAACCATTTTTTCTACAACCTCTTCGGCGAAGAGATTGTAAAAAAATGCTTTCAAAAAGCTCTGATGATCCCAGCTGAGTTGCCTGATCAGCAGAGGCTTTTTTTCTTTTAAATGCCTCTGATGATCAGGCAACTCAGTTTGGATCGTCAGAGGCATTTAGAAGAAAAAAAGCCTCTGATGATTGTGCGGCTCAGCTGGGATGGGGGGGGGCATGGATTTTTGCTACCGGTTCTCCGAACCACCCGCCTCCATCGCTACCGGATCCGGTCCGAACCAGCTCCAGATTGTTATCCAAGTTGCATCTTATAATGAGGTTATAAAATGACCCTAAAGTGAAAAATTAGCAGTATTATATGTGGAATGATCTAATCTTGTATGTTATTGAACTGTCTTTTTTATTTAAAAAAAAAGATGTGGCTTTGTTTAGCTTTATCAGGAAAGAATCAGACTTATAAGTCACTGGTTTGACTTGTGGACAGACAAACAACGCAAGCAATTTCTCTTCTTGATATTGAACCAGTGCAGTAAATCACAGCTGAAGTAAGTGAGCCCCTTGCTTTAGTACTATGCTTTGTGAAAATAAAAAGTAGATTATGCAAGGGCACTTCCTATAATGTAAATTATTCACTGCACCATTGTTTGCCTTTTCTGGAGTCCAATCCTATAATTAGCTGGAACTCATCGAGATCTCCCAAACAGAGATCTAGAAGTACTAATTCTTGTAAAACGTGGATGCACAAATTTGATGGACCAAAAGGCATATTTCCAATCTTTGGGATCTAGATTTCAAAACGCTGATTTGTGCTAAGGCAGAAACTATATATACTGTAAAATTATTTTAAATTAATTTAACATTGTGAATATGGCTATTTCCTAGGCATTTAATAATGTTCCCTGTTCAGTTAACAGTTGTGATTTAGCTACAATTTTTGGTGGGTCTTTGGGCTAGCAACTGTCCATATGTGTTATAAAATACATACATGAAAGCCAGTGACACAAATACCTTACTTCTGTATTGATGACAAGATAAAGTCTTATTCCATATAGTATAGAGCAAAAGAGTTAAGAGAATAAATGTATTTAAGGAGTAAAATACATTTTGTCCCATGCACAGCCTTATTTTCCAAGAAATCAGGGGAAGGTGGGCCAGAATGAGAAAAGTACATCAGATGGAGATCTGCTTCTGGTACTTAAGATCTTGGCCTCCTGATATCTAATGTTAAGGCTGGTCTCTTCTAAATTTGAACCTGTCCACTAGCTTCCTATAAAACTGGAGATTATAATCATGTGTCAATTCACAGACACTAACAAAAAAATATTGGTGTTGCCCTGCCTTAGGAAGTGCTGCCACATGAAAATGAAAGTGAACTTGAGAAGTTGAATGAATGGGGAGAAATCACAGAGGGGGGGACATCATGGCTTACTCATTAAATGTTTAGAACCTCAAACATGATGTTGTTTTGTATGTAACATAAGCTATGATTCACTTTTGTACAATCCTCTTCTCCTGGCAAGAAATGTAAGTATTTCCCTAGATCCGATAATTCATTTCATTTTTGTTGTTGTGTTTTCCTTTCTTGTTGCATAGGTGTGTTGAAAAATGGCTTGTAGAAAACATCCCACTGACCCACGTAGATTTCACCACTCTGCTGCCACGTTTCCTATCTCTATATATATTCTCCTTTCTCAGTCCGAGGGATCTTTGTGCTGCAGCCCAAATCAATTGGCACTGGAAATTTTTAACTGAACAGGTAGTATCAGAGTATGCCTTGTACTCAGGTGAGCCAATGCTACATGCTAGAGTTGTAGAACCATGGTCCTCTAAGTGAAGTTCAACTCCCAGCTGTTCCAGATTATATAACCCATGGTGAGATACTAGGAACTGCAGTTCAGCAATGTTAAAATATCATAGGTTATCATCCCTCCTTCATTCTTTGAATAAGCCCACCCCCCCCAAAAAAATTATAAATTGAGAGAGAGGGTTACAGAGTCACTTTGTAGTCATCCCAATTAAACACCAAGTTCTTATCTCATTGATTTGAAATGGCATGAATGTTTGTAACATTCCCTAGTGATGTTTCCCATTTGTGTTACTTGTCTCGTAATTATGGCCATTTCTTTCCAATCTTGAATCCTTAGATGAAGTAGGTATCTTTCTTATTCCATATAGAAGGGGAAATAGTCCTGTTGTCAATTATTAAAATTCATTGGCTACCAATTGTAGGAGAAGGAGTAACAGAATCTGGGGGCAGAGCAGTGGTGGTATTCTTTGCTACCGGTTCACAATGGGAGTGTGCCTGCTCACTTTGCTCGCACACACCACCTCTGCGCATGCGCAGATCCTTCTGCGCATGCACAGAGCGTCAAAAACGGGATGTGATGACATCTGGGCAGGTAGGTGGAGCCTCCTGCAGCCACTGCTACTGGTTCACCCGAACTGGATATAACCGGCTGAATAGCACCACTGGGGCAGAGTCAAAAAAGGAATCAGCCTAGACTCTACGTAGTCACAAATGGACTAATCCAACCCTTCTTGAATTCAGTTGCCCCTTATCTACCACTAAAATAGTACTAACCGTTAATTGAGTAGATTGCTGTGCAGAGGCATGAATAAATAAATTGATTTAATTAAAACTTCACATCCGTGCCCCTGACATCAATACAATAATTGGCAATAATTAATTTTATATTCAGGTATATTCATCTATTAGATGCATTCACCAATTAACATACATATAGAATAGCAGAATTTAAATATACCATTTCTTCTATGTCTATTTATTTATTTTTGTACTATTTATCAATTTTACTTATTGTTTTTCTATATCTCTTCTATTTCCATATATTATTAGGGTATGATCATAATAATTATTCAAATCAACCAGTCCAATTAAAATGAAACCAAATGATGAGACTCTTGAGTTAAAATCCAAGGAATTACCTTTAAGTCTGTTTTAAATAAAACAGATTACATGTACCTTCCAAATCAAGAAAAAGGGAGATATGGTATTTGTGTACATCATCCCTATAGATCTGCTTCTCTTACATGTCTGATGTTATCAACAATTAAGTCATACTTTACTTGATTTGATAAGCTTTCGAAATAACTTCTCTTTGAAAATAAATGTTTTCACTTTCTTAAGGACTGTCTGTGGATGCCAAAATGCCTTAAGTTAGGATGGTTTCTTCCATATATTCCTGAAAAGAATGAATATGGCGCTTGGAAGCGATACTATATTGCCTGTGCAACCAGCCTGGATTATCTAACTCCTAGGAGAACTGCATACCACAGCACCACCAGTGATCTCAAAACAAAAACTGAAGAGCAAGAAGAAAGATGGCAAGCAAAATGTTGTCAGAAATGTATTCGAGGAGGACTGGCAGTACACAAAAGTCAGTTTTGGTTCAGTTATTAGTAAGGGAGGATCCCATATTTTATCTGTAGCAGCTGGAAATAATTAAGTTCTTAAGAAAACATGAGATGCATAGGAATGCCTAGCAAGCCCCAAGGACTAAAATCTGAAATAAATATACAGAAATAAATAGCTTTTTAAATAATTGCATTAGACAGAAAAATAGAAAAGTTTGGCTGAGTTTGACCTCTTTTCACAAATGCAGCAAAGTGATAAGAATATTAGGGCATCGTCTTCTCTTTGAAGTATGTGTAAGCCTCCTTAAATTAAGGTAATTATTTTCCATGGGGCTTGAATGTAAAATACTCTAATGAATGATTCCGTCATGTCAAATGATTGCAGTAGTGGAATGCAGTTTATAGAATGAGTCATTCTTTCTCCTCTGTCCCTTACTGCTCTTATGAATTTGATTCTCTGCTTATGCCAGTTTGGTTTGGATGTCAGTAGTTTCCCCCTTTAGCTTAATTTATTTACCGTATTTTTCAGAGTATAAGATGCACCTATTCCCCCCCTAAAAAGGGATGAAAATTTAGGTGCGTCTTATATACCGAATGTAGCTCCGCCCACCCACTGCCCCCCCACCCTTTGGCCTCTGCCTCCCAGCAGTTACCTCCTTGTAGCAAGCAGCAAGAAGAAACAACTCATTTCAGCTTCAGCACAGCCTAATTAGCACAAGTTGATTGGATCGGCCTTCAACTCAGCTGTTTTGCTCTCAGCTGTTTTGTGCAGGCCTCTGCTGCTTGCTGCAAGGAGGTAAATTGCTGGAGCAGATTTTTCTTTTCTTGTGCTAATCAAGCTATGCTGAAAACGAAAATGAAAGTAAAGCAGGCTGTTTGCTGCAACAAGGCAAAATTGCTCAGAGGCAGGGACAGATTTCTTTTTCTTGTTTTCCTCACCAAAAAAGGTAGGTGCATTTTATAGTCTGGTGCGACTCTGAAAAATACGGTAATTTTATTTTTCACATTTCTGAACTGTCCATCTCCCTCAAAGAGTATAGCTGCAGTCTCGACACCTACCATGTTTCCCCAAAAATAAGACTGAGTCTTATATTAATTTTTGCTCCAAAAGACGTATTAGGGCTATTTTCAGGTGATGTTCATATTTTTGGGGAAATACAGTATTAAATGCCTCTGTCTGGCTGACAATCCTAACTGGAGTAGGGCTTCTATTATGAACATCCTAAAAAATCATGCTATGGCTTATTTTCCGGTTGGATCTCATTTTCGGGAAAATACGGTGGTAGTCTCTCTCTCTCTTTTTTAAAACTAACCCGGACAGAAATTTGTGGGCCAAATCTTTTATTTGCATCCTCCATGGCGTGTTCCCATTACAGCAGTGGAGAAATCTGAACCGGTTTACTACCGGTTTGCTGGTCACGCATGTGCCAAACTTACGCTGTGCGTGCATGCGTAGTGAGCACCAAATGTGAGCTGCGCATGCAGTGCGCACCAAAAGGAGGCTTGGGAAGGTAAGTAGAACAGTGCAGGGGGGGGTGATGAACTGTGCCACGCGTGGGAACCTTTTTAAAAAACTTTTTAAAAGCATTTTTTACTACCAGCTTGGTCAAATAGGTAGTAAAAAATGCTTTAAAAAAGTAAAACAAAAGGTTCCAATGATCACGCGGCACAGCTGTGATTGTCAGAGCCTTTTTTTTTTTACTTTTTTAAAGCATTTTTTTACTACCTATTCGACGGAGCCGGTAGTTAAAAATGCTTTTAAAAGGTAAAAAAACAGCTCCGACGATCACTGCTGTGCCGTGCTATCGTTGGAACCTTTTTTTTACCTTTTAAAAGCATTATTTTACTATCGGCTCAGGTGAATAGGGCGAAAAATGCTTTAAAAAAGTAAAAAAAGGCTCTGACGATCAGCTGAGCGACACGCGATCATCGGAATTTTTTTTTTTTTACTTTTTATAGCATTTTTAACTACCGGTTCTGGAGAACTGGTAGTAAAAAAATGCTAAAAAAGTAAAAAAGAAAAAAAGTTCCGACGATCGCGTGTTGCTCAGCTGATCGTCAGAACTCTTTTTTCAAACATTTTTTACTACCGGTTCGGCAAACCAGCCTGAACCAGTAGCATTTCACCCCTGCATTACAGGCATTGTGCTAAAAAGAATAGGGAGACAAAACTGAACAAGTCATGTCAATCTTCTATTATGCCAAATATGATGAACGGTTTGCCCTTTTTTAGTAGAACAATTTGCATTTTTTGTGTGTTGCATCTGTATAAAGATCCAAATGTGAGTATAGTTGTGGGTGGCTCATTGATTTATACCTAAATTCTCTTCTGATTAGGAATCTTGCACAGTTTATTAAAATCTAGAACTGGCTGTAAATTAAAATAGATTTTTAAATTAATAGTATAACCTGACAGTGAAAAGGGGAGCATAAATAAACACCTTTTGAAACTGACATACAATATAATTGAATGGGATTTATTTTTCAGAGGAATTATTCAAAGCCCGTCCACCTTGGATAAGTGGAACCCATAGCTCAGGATTTTACAAGTCTGGATTTCAACCACAATTGTCCCAATCTATCTATGACCAGGCTAAATTATCAGCTGAATTATTAATGAAGGTATTATTTTTTTCCCTCCTCAAATGTTTACATTTATATGTTTTTGCATACAGAGCTTCACTTAAGACTTTGTCTCCATCCGTAAAATAATTTTGAATCGCATTGCTTAGAGCTTCAGCATTTGTTAAGGAGAGCCGTGTAGGCATCTGAGTAAGTGAGCTTTTGGGGCCTGAGGATCTGCTAAACAAGCAACGTTGGCCCTGGGATCCCCATTTTTGTTAATCTCATCTTGCTGTCCCTGGGTTTCCATCAGTCTCCTCTGACTGAATAACGATAGTAGGAAAACCACTCTCTTCAACTACCCCCTTTAAATGGCTATGCAGATTAACGTATATGAATGTTGCTCAACCTTGGCAATTTTAAAATGTGTGCACTTCAACTCTCAGCATTCCCATCCCAACGTTGAGAAACACTGATCTACATAAATAATCTAAGAACCAGCAAAGATGGTGTAGGATAGTGGCATCTTGTCTGGTACTCCCCAATGGCTGCAGCTGACACTATCTGTGCTTGTATCAAGTACAGATAGTGTCTGTACTGTCTAGTGCTGTGATGGTGAACCTATGGCACACGTGTCAGAGTTGGCACACAGCGCCCTCTCTTTGGGCACGTGAGCCATTGCCCCAGTTCAGCTCTGCTGCGCATGCGCGCTCGTCTCCCACCAGCCAGCTGGTCTTCAGGTCTCTGCCGCATATGCGCAGGGAGCGGGGGGCATGGGGGGGCCGTGTGCATGCGGAGGGGGTGGAGTGTGTGCAGGGGGACGCACGCATGTGCGGAGGGCCGCGTGCACATGTGCGGGACCGCATGCACATTGCATTCTGGAGGTTTGGGCGCACGCACCTGCTTTGGGCACTCAGTCCGGAAAAGGTTAGCCATCACTAGTCTAGTGCCTTTTTTCCTTCTTAGAGAAATTTTGTATTCAAGGAGCAGCATTTTCTGTATTTTGACAGCCCTTTCTGAATTTTAGCAGGCACTGCTAAAGTTCTCAAGATGAGGTGTGATACATTCCATTTTAGTCTTGTTGCAGATCTACTTGGTTAAACAGCAGCAGCAAATTGATTTTTCTGAAGCCACTCAAATGGCTTCAATAATTCAATCTGAATCTTTGTAGCAGAAGACGAAAATGTTTAGCCAACAATAGAGGAATTAAATGTCAATGGTCTGGAGATCTGTATTAATCAAAAATATTACCCTTTTCTTTTGTTCTGAGCAAATTAACATGCTCCCAACCTGTACATCCCCGGAGTTCAATTCATTAAAAAGAAAATGCAGGAAGATCCATTGCAATTTAAATGTAAAATGGAATGTCAATACGATAATGACAATATATTATCTCCCCTCCTCCCAGTTGTATCCTTATAACAGCCTTTGGGATTAAGAGTTGTTAATGCCTCCAAATTGCAGAACATATCTTGACTGTGAAGGCTTAGGCCAAGGGACAAACTGTGCAGCAAATTCTTTTCTTGTTCAATAAATAGATTCTAGTTGCTCATAGATTTGTTCCTTTTGGGGGTGGGGGCTGCTGAAAAAATGAAAGGGAAACAATATACAGAGGAGAAACCTTCTTCAAAGACCTGAGTTGGGAGGCTAGACCTTGGCAGATGTCCTTTTTTCCTACTCTGACTCTATGAATGGTATCACCTTTACTCCTCATCCTTCAGCAGGTAGTTTACACCTCCTGCAGGAATTTAGCACTTTGATGTCTTGCCTTTTCTACAGCAGTGTTTCTCAAGCTTAGCCATTTTCAGGGGTATGGACTTCAAGTACCAGAATTCTTACCAATGGCCCTGCAAGTTGTGGAATAATTGAAACTGAAGTCCACACACTCCAAAATGGGCAAGGTTTGGAAGCACTGTTCTATAGAGCAGGGGTGTCAAATTGGTGGCCCGTGGGCTGGATGTGTCACGTGCAGGCCACGCCCATCCCAGCTCCATGAAGGGAAAAAACGTGGCAATATATCACATGACAGCAATGTGACGCTGCGAGTTTGACACCCATGTTCCAGAGCAGGGGTCTCCAACCTTGACAACGTTAAGCCTGGCGGACTTCAACTCCCAGAATTCCCCAGCCAGCAAAGCTTTGCTGGCTGGGGAATTCTGGGAGTTGAAGTCCGCCAGGCTTAACATTGCCAAGGTTGGAGACTCCTGTTTCAGAGTATACACCTATCATCCTTGAAGTTGTGGTTCCTCTTAGATATGCCATCCCATCTCTCTCTCTCTCTAAATGCTTTTATTGAAAAAGTACTTTCCACAAATTATTCACTTTTCAAACAGATTCATCAACAGAATAAATCTGCATCAGGGTTCAGAATAGAAGCTGAGAAGCCGGTCGTTTTGTCGTCTGGGAAATCTCTACCAGAAAGGTAAATGTCTTTTCAAATTAAGGTCTCTTCTGCATAAGGAAAGAATATGGTCAACAAAAGTTTCTAAAAGGGTTCAGAGCTAGAGATAGAAGGGAATCTTACCTTATCCCCATGATGGCGATCCTATGGTACACATGCCAGAGGTGGCACACATCTCCCTCTCTGTGGGCATGCAAACCATCGCCCCAGTTCAGCTCCACCGCGCATGCGTGCACACCTCCTGCCAGCCAGCTGGTCTTCGAGTCTCTGCTGTGCATGCAGGGGGGGCATGGGGCATGTGGTGGGGCCCGCATGCATACACAGGGGCGGGACGCATGCGGAGGGCATGCACGCATGCACAGCGGGTGGGGCACATGCAAGGGGCCCGCATGCGCATTGCATTTTGGGGGTTTGGGCACGTGCGCATTGGGCACTCGGTCCAGAAAAGGTTAGCCATCACTGTCTTATCCTGTTCACCATCTGAATTAAGAAAAAAATCCCCGTCTTGGGGCAGAAGCAGAGTTTCCTTGCAACATGGGGGTTTGACAATAGAGCTATATATAGGCTGTAGCAGTGTTTCCCCAGTATTTGCTTGCCTGCTGTATTTCTTAAAAGCTGTAAACTTTGAAGATAACTTTCGGTCTATAGCTGTGCCTTCCCTAAGAGAAAGGAGGAAAAAGATGTTTCCTCTCTTTGTCCTCTCCCCTTCCCTCTGTTCCTTGTCTTTCCTTCCTCTGGCGACATTCAATTTTTTTTTGTTGCAAATTATGTACAGTATACAATGTCCAGTCTGAGAGAGAAAATTGCTTGCTTTGGGAACAGAACAGAACAGAACAGAACAGAATAGAATAGAATAACAGTTGGAAGGGACTTTGGAGGTCTTCTAATCCAACCCCCTGCCCAGGCAGGAAACCCTACACCACTTCAGACAAATGGTTATCCAATCTCTTCTTAAAAATTTCCAGTGTTGGAGCATTCACAACTTCTGGAGGCAAGTTGTTCCACTGATTAATTGTTCTAACTGTCAGGAAATTTCTCCTTAGTTCTAAGTTGCTTCTCTCCTTGATTAGTTTGCATCCATTGCTTCTTGTCCTGCCCTCAGGTGCTTTGGAGAATAGATTGACTCCCTCTTCTTTGTGGCAGGCCTTGAGATAGTGGAACACTGATTAATTGCCTTATGATGGGGACATGGTAGGACCTCTGTTTGCTGTGCCACAGCTAATCTGTTCTGCCATAAATAGCCAAGAAATACCTATCTCTGGGGTATCTTTTGTCCGTGGGTGCTGCTATGGAGATTTATATGCAGCATGGCTGGCGGGGGAATTCTGTGAGTTGCAGTTCACATGTCTTAAATGGCCAAGGTTGAAAAAATTAGTATATAGGTTGATTGAAAACATTTGCCTTAGAATTTCTGTTTCCAGTTGGTGACCAAGAGAAACTCTGCTGTTGCAGGAAATAGAGTGGTATTCCTTTCTGGGCCCTGTTTTGAGATTCAGCAAAGGAAGGACTGATAACAGTGCACTGCGTAGTATCTAGTCTGTTTCTATCTGCTAGTGGAACAGAAAGACTTGTTGGCTTTGCAGAAATGGCATTTTCCTCAGATCTGAAACTTCCTGAACAAATATGTTGCTTTCACACAATTGTGAAGGGGGGGGGGGGGGGTAGGGGAGACGACATCAGGGGAAATCCTGTTGCAGGAGAGGAAATCTGCTGGTGTAATATTAGAGGGAGACTTCAATCTGGATGTAGCCCCAGGATGACCTTTGGAAGCTGAGTGCACAACTTTTTTCTCTTATAATTAAAAAAAAAAAAAAGCAGCCTCTGAAATATTAGGGGAGTGGCTTTAGAAACTAAGCTGGCAGATTTGCTGCTAAACAGGTAGAACTTTTCACCTAAAGCATGAGAAATTCATGGAGGAGTCATAATATGACCAGAAAATAATGAGATCATTCAGCCAGTATGATGACTTGCCTGTACTAACTTTAGCCAATGACAGTTTTGAAAAGTTAAGTGTGAAATAAGGTTGATCAAAGTCTATCTATCTATCTATCTATCTATTTATCTATCTATCTATCTATCTATCTATCTATCTATCTATCCAATTTCTATTTCTGCCCATCTCAAACAAACTTCTAAGTGGAACTTCATTTGTGTGACATTTGATCATCATAATCATAAAGCTTCATATGTGGTATTAACTTTGTATTTGTACAGAAGGACTATTACAGCAGTTCAATCCCTAACTTGTCTCATAGATTTTGTCAGCCTGTTTCCCAAGGATACCCCAATGGGATGCATTCACTCCATCCACACCTGGTCTTGATATCCTCCCACATACCTGCATATGAGGTAAAACTTTATGGAATCAGTCTTTCCTGATTTCCTCCATGAATGAAATGTCTTCTTCCCTTTTGTACATATAAGGAGGCGCGATGAAACAACAGAAAATCTGCTAGGTCAAATAGGACAAAACAAGGACCCAAACTAAATTAAAATATATTTCATATCTCCAAACTTTTAATATACTGTATGAGCTAAAATTGGGGAGGAGTGAAAAACAGAAAGAAAGCTAGCTAAACACATTTGCTTTTAATTTGAAAACTATGTTCTTACTTGTTGTTTTCTTCCAATTTTATTTTAGATGGTTGTGGACAGTGTTAAGCTTGGCGTGGTTCTGGTAGTATATGAACATACTGGGACCACATTGGAAAGCCTTATTCATTCTGTAGAAAGCGCCTTGGATGGCCATATAGCAAAGAGTATTGGGATAATTAGTGATGGAGATTCCAGAGAGATTAACTTGCTTCAAGGTAGGCTTAAGATACATTAATAAGATTCTTGAATGAGTGATATGATATTTTGTACTGAAATGTTACGCGAAAGAGTTGAAGTATATGGAAGTGAATTTCTTTAAGACTCCGAGTTGTTGGGAGACACATTGCAAGCTATATTGATTTACCTGTTTTCTAGCTGATTATGAAAAACAAACCTCTTCCAGAAAAAAAGATAACTATATAAAATATTATTGTTAAAATATTTTTAAATTACCAATGGCAACAACAACAACAAAAATCCTACACTAGCGAATATATCCATATACAGTATAGAAGTAGTCAAGTACAGATTTTAAAAACATTTCTGTTGGAAAGATACTGGAGAAAACAATGGAGAATTGATTAGGGAATGGAGGAATAGGAAACCAAATCAGATCTGAAACTGACCAAATTGAAAATTTTATTAGGAAACTATGGGTTTTCTTTGTTTGTTTCAGTTCAATTAAATTTCCCTTCTTACAACTGTTGTTGTTTATGATTATTGTTTTGTTGTTGATTAAGAAGTTATAAGAGCTTCTGAGTGTGAAATTTAATTATTTTTGACTTGCCCTAATAAAATTTCTTTAATATTCTCATCCTCCACTGACATTTAAACACCATAAAGTATAGCAAGTTATATTTGATAATCATAACTTCCATAACTAGTTTTCAATGATCAATCTTTCATTTTTTTTGTGACTTGAAAACCATGTAGTGGTATAAAAATGCATTAATTTGTTCACTTCCCAGTAATTTGATTTGCTCCCATTGCTCAATATAAGGCATATTTCCTTACTTAGGAAAAATACAAACAATATTTCATGTAGAAGTCTAATTATCTTTCCTCAGCCTTTTATTAGCTTTATTAAATTTTAAGTACTTTTTTTTTTAAATAGAGATCCTGCTAAAATAAAAGAATATTTGGAAATGTAGAACAGAAAGAGAGCATCAGACAACAAGAAAGCCCAAGATGTAAAAACATTAAAAAACCGCATATATTATACTAACAAGATATTCTTGCTCTGAACTCTGGGATAATCTTTATATATCATCATCAATGCAGATGGCAATTTGCAAAGGAAGAAAAGTTTTGCTGGTTCCTGCCTCAGTTTGATTAGAATCTAAAAATATATACAAAAAGGAGCAGGAAGAGGGAAACAGGACAATTCTTACACATTTCCTACACTAGGAGAAGATTATTGTGGCTCTAAAGTTAAGAGATAGGTTCCAACTCATTAGTATCAATGATGTGTGACAATCTTATAACTTCTTAAAAAAATAATAGCCATAGGCGTTTGTGAATCTGAAGAGTAGCAAAATCAGAGTCTGGCATTTTACTTATACGTTTTCTAGAAAAAAAAATGAATTGGTCAATACTTCCTGATGAGGTATAGTAGTAGAATCTTTTTGCAATTCCAGACAGTTGGGATCCTAAATATTGTCCATTCTTTTCTTTTTTCTTTTTTTTGCTTTAATTTAAAGTAACACCACATTCAGCTTAAATGCATCCTTTGCTTAATTTTATTTAGGTTACAAAATCAACGCCCTAAATCTTCTTAAACCTGAGGTGAGAGAGTTTTGGAAGCGCTTAAAAAGTTGCATTATCTCTCCAGAAGAAGGTGGAAGCATAGACCTCTTTGTTCCTCTGGCAGCTTCAGGTCAGTCTTACTTGCCACCCAGAAAAATTGGCATCTTTCCCATTGTTTACAATAGATCTTATCAAACAGGAAACTCCTTTGATTTGGTTGGGGCTTCAAAGGAGCTACCATATATTATGCAACGGTTAATTACGTGGCCAGAAACCATGAATGGTTTTGCTTCTTCCCTCTTCCTCCCCAAACCCTTTTCCTTTGGGTTGTGCCTTTTAGATATTAGCCAGAAAGTGGGCGTTATCACCACTTACTCATGCTTTCAAGTCATTTCCACAGTACAAACATAACCAGGGACATACATTGATCAAAAAGTCAAGATGTTGCCCTTAACCATGTGATTGAAGCCCCAATGTGTGTATGTGTGTAAGTATGATTGAGTTCTGTGATACAGGCTCAGTCAACAGAAATAGCATAAAAGGGTAGTAAAATATGAGGAGCGAAGAGAAAGCAAAAGGCACATACTGATTAGAAACATTATTCCGAGTGATTCCCCCCCACCCCCCCATAATGGCCATAACAGCTCATAGTGAATCTATTCCAGAAGTGGTAGCAATGCTGTGAGATCACAGCATCTGGGTCAAGGAAAAATCTCCTTCACCTTATTCTTTCAAACAGGCAGTAAAATTAAACTGAGAAAAAAGTAACACCACATTTCTTGTGGGCTACTGATTGCTCAACATAGAGCATATGTTTTCCTATCTCCAGGAGGAACAGGCAACTGCATTCATCCACTCTTAGGTAGAACAGAACAGAACAGAACAGAACAGAACAGAACTAGAATTAGAATTAGAATTAGAATTAGAATTAGAATTAGAATTAGAATTAGAATTAGAATTAGAATTAGAATTAGAATTAGTTGGAAGGGACCTTGGAGGTCTTTTAGCTCAACTCCCTGCTCAGGCAGGAAACACTATACTATTTCAGACAAATGGTTGTCCAATCTCTTCTTAAAAACTTCCAGTGTTGGAGAATTTACAACAGGGGTGTCAAACTCACAACGTCACAGAGTCGTCACATGATGTATCATGACTTTTCCCCCCTTTGCTAAACTGGGCATGGGCATGGCCAGTGCATGACTCATCTGGTCTGCGGGCCTGCAAGTTTGACCCCCCTGATTTACAACTTCTGGAGGCAAGTTGTTCCACTGGTTAATTGTTCTAACTGCCAGGAAATTTCTTCTTAGTTCTAGGTTGCTTCTCTCCTTGATTAGCTTGAGGTTTATTTTAGGGTTGCAATTGCTACATTCTACATTTTTTTCAAATAATGTTTATTAAAACTTTGAATTAAACAATAAAAGATAATAACGATTAAAAGAAAAAAAAATGCAAGAAAATAAATGTATAAAGGGAGGGGAAAAACCCTTCTCCCCAAGAAAATGACCCCTCACCCTCTTCATGGCAAGTAGACAGTAAACAATTCCATAATCTCTTCACCTTCTCTTAGCTAACAAATATAAAGCTCTTCACCTCATCACCTATTTCTTAACAATAGGCAAATCAAATAAGTAACTATGTTTTCAATCAAGTTACCAGCAAAAGATCCAAGCCGAGGTCTAAATTTTTAATCAACATACTGTATATAAAACTCAACATTCCTCATCTTGTCTTGTAAACTATAGGCTGTCCTCGACTTATGACCACAATCGAGCCGAAAATTTCTGTTGCTAAGCAAAACAGTTGTTAAGTGAATTGTGTCCTATTGTAAGACCTTTTTTTGTCACAGCAGTTGTTAAATGAATCACTGTTAGTTGTTAAGTGAACCATATAGTTGACTTTGGTTGTCAGAAGCTTACTGGAAAGGTGATCAGATGACCCCAGAACAGTGCAACTGTCATAAATACAGCCAAGCATCTGAATGTTGATCACATGACCATAGGAAGGCTTCAACCGTCATAAGAATGAAAACCAGTCATAAGTCACTTTTTTTTCAATGCCGTTGTAACTGTGAATGATCATGAAACAAATGATTGTAAGTCGAGAGTATAACAAAATACCATTTGAAAGTCAAGAAATGATCCCAATATCCTAATATAAACAAAATAAAAAAACCCAAATTTAACATGAGAGAAGGAGCCATTTCTCCTTCACAAAAAACCATCCCCAATCCACAACATTCCAAATAACACCTTATCCTCAAATGCATGCTACATTTTTAAACAATTATTTTAATCATTTTCAGAGGCAGGAAAAGAGATACTTTCACAGCTGACTCTTCTAACTGGAGCATTCTTCAGGACTCCTACAGGAATAGCTACGGGGTCTTATCAGCACAGTAGGTGGAGAAAATTCCTACATATTTGGGAAGATCTACATCAAATATTTGACTGCTGGCCATATTTTAATTCAGCTGCATCCCATCTTTTCCTCAGAGTTGCTGGGCCCAGGCAGAAGCCTCAGCAGAATTAATATGTATATATATCTTAGATTTTTAGCGGATGAGATTGCTAATGACATTTGCTGGCAAAGAACTATTGCCAATCAGAAACTGACATATCAAGTTTAAGGATCAGTGGTCTGACTTGGCACAATAAACAGATGCAAATGGTATTTTGTAATGGGATCTTAAAAGAATCTAAACAGGCAGCAGCAGGTTCTTCTAGATCTTCTTAGCAATACTAAGAAGACAATTGAAATTGCTGGATGAACTATAAGATGCCACTGTAAAACAATGTTGTCTATATAGGCGTGTATGCTTCCACATGTTATTAACTTGCAAGAAGTCCAAGCAACAGGCTTTGAACAGGGGAAATTGGAGGAAAGAGAAACAAATTTAATTACATCATTAATACTAACACTTTTATGTTGTAGTGCTTCGTTAGCAAAAGGATTTGCCAGTGACATCATCATTGCCTGGTGGGTGCCCACTTGGGGACTCATTTTGTATCTTCATGATGTTGCCCACCTTAGTGGTACCCATTTATCTACTTACAATCGCCCACTTTTGAACCACTGGGTCAGTGGGGAGCTGGAGCGAGTGACAGGAGCTCACCCTGTCCTGCAGCAGCAACGTGTCTCAAACGTGAGGCTGCTGATCACCAGCCCAGTGTTCTAACCTCATGACCCATCGTGTTCCTACTACAACATTTATATGCAGCTTTGCTTTATTTTCCAGGGTTTTTAAATACAGAAAATGGTTTCTTATTTGATAGCATGTTGGTGCTCCCCACATCTTAGCTAATTCTGTTTTTTTGCTGGGGGGAGTGGAGTGGAGAGACTGGAACATAAGAAATAGTCCATGGACAGGGAAATGACTTTTGTGTTATTACAGTCCTCAGTGAATGGCTGGGAAATCAGAAAGAAAGCTCTCCTCCGCTTCTCTACCTCACTGAAGTAAAACTGCAAATATGGCTCAGATTCACTGAGCTTCTGGAAGAGACACTGGATGTTGTCAGGAAAAAGCTGAGTCCATATTTTTTTGATCTGCAAAAGAAGATGGTTGGCAAAATTCTTGGTAATTTTTCTCATTATGGTCCTCTATGTTATATCTGAAATAAGAATTCCATTGGACATTTTAGACTTTTTGCCAGTATAAGAAATGCATCCCACCTTAACAATGGTGTTCGGTTTACTATGAAGATAGATGATGTTTTTTGGCTTGGACTGCACATTATAGATGTGAATTTTTCCGTGTTGTGTATTTGTGCATGCTTGTATGCATTCAAGTCAATGTTGACTCCTGGCAATGGCCTGGACATGCCCCTGCAGTTTTATTGGCAAGATTTTTGCCCTTGCATCTTTCTTAGGGGTGAGAAAGAATGACTAGTCCAAGGTCAGCTAACTGGCTTCATGTTTAAGATGGGACCTAAACCCAGTTTTCTGTTTTCTATCCTGGTTATGTTAATCACTATTGCAAAGTGGCACTGTATATGTAAAATCTCATTATTGAGTTTGAGTTCAAATACTTATCAGGGTCAATACTGTACAATTGTGGGCAGTCAGCTAGATTTGATAGATGCTATCAACTAACTCTTTGTGTCTGGATCTGTGAATGTGCACACACAAGTAACTGGGTAATCAGAATATGCAAAATAATCTAGTTTAAAGGGAATTTCCTGTTTTTGTCCCCCTTTAAATAAAACTATGTAATGACAAGTAGCAACCTTGTGAGTTTGACGCCTTAAAGTGACTAATATTTCATACACAGGTCAAATTATGTTTAATACTATGCATTGGTCCAATATTCAAGACAATGAAAGAATAATCCAGACTTTGGCTAAAGGATTAGTTGAACTCTCAAGAGGAAACCACGTATGATAAGTGTAATCTTTTAAAGTACTATATATTAATAATAATTTGCAATGGCATCAGTTTTGACTTCAGGGCTTAATTGGAGTCCTTCCATTGGCATCATTGTACTATCTTTAAGACAATGGGTGCTTCCCCTTGTTGAGGAGGCAGGGTAATATTATTTTGTGGTGGTCCTGAAAACTAGGAGCTAAAACCCTGGTTCTATGCATAAACTATCACTTAAAATGGCCACATCATTGTAATCCCCCTAGCACAACTGTTTCTTGCTTCTTAGATATGTTGGATCACATGGAATGTGATACATGGAATAAATCTCTCTGTGAACTCACTTGCTAGTCTGATAGCCATTATGCCCCTTTTCAGAAAATATTCCAGAGATGATGTGAACGGAACAGGGAAAACCTTGCAGCGTCTTTGTTTACAGGCCAAGTGGCTTACTATAGCATCCATTTTGGTAGACCAGAAGTCCCTATCTCAGATCTACCTAATGTTTCTTACAGTTCTCTTCATAAGTTGATCACACATAGAAGGGTATAAAAAAAGATTGAAACTATTATTCTTGCTCCAGTATTATGACATTTGTGCACTTAGTGCCACAGTTACAAAGCACACACAGCTGACTGTGTATAGGTATACACAGTCCGCTGTGTGTGCAAAAAAACATCAGAACATGTTAATCTCTTCCTCTTTTTTTGCACATAACTGTATTTTTAGACAACAGCTGAAGAGGGTTGTATTTCTCCTGCGATTTAAGATGCATGCAGTGATAAGCAGGAAAGTGATTAGAAATGCTAGGAGTTCTATGATTTGACACAATGCAAATAGCTTTAATTCAATTTAGCTAATGAAGAAAAAATCTCTTTATTGAGCAACCAGCCAAAAAGTACTTTCCTATCCCTGGGCTTTTGTAAAGGTGAATAGCTGTACTGTTACAGTCTGCCTGAGAACAGTTGCTCTCAACTGTTGTTGCTTTGAGAACAAATTGTCACCAGTATCCTTAAGAAAACTCCTTAAGCAGTTGAATGAAATTGATCTGCCATGGGTTTCTCCATATCTTCCACATCAATCAGCTTGTGCATGATAGCCCCTTTTCTTAGCATGTGACAATGAAGTATCAACCTGATCATTTTGTTAATGTCATATGTTTTCACTGGCTATCTTTATATGTGTGTTGGGAGAAATGATTCAGGATGAATTAGCTGGTGAAAGTGTAGAATCATGCCATAACTTGCTACTCTGGTACAACCTGGACCTAATTTACCGGTATTAAAATGAAAGGAAATAGCTGAAACATTATCTGTACTTCCTCTCTTACTAGTTGATTGGCAGTGGCTGTATCTGCATGAAAGGAAACAATAGGCATATTCTTTTAAGCATTTATCTGTATGATTCTTTAGGAAAACCCTCTGGAATTTCTATCATCTTTCCTCATGAAGAAATGTAAGAATGGAGAACTTGGAGACCAGGATTTCTTGACCGAGGACACTTCAGAATCAGGGCTTGATGTGCTACTTAAGGTACACAAGAATCAAGCGTTGGGTTTTTGCTACTCCTATAATTTTTAGTTTTGTCCTTATTCTGTTCCAAACCTTTTTCTTGACAAAGTGAAAGATAAGTGGTTTGTCGTAAGATTTGAGGTCTTTGATGGATCATTACTTGAATTTTTTTATTGAGAAGGTATTGTTAGAATAATTTTATATCCCTGTATTGAAAGGAAGGAAATACGTAATTTTATTAAAAAGATATCTACACTCTAATTCTCTGCTTCAGAATTCATAAAATTGAACTCATGTATAATGTATATGTTTCCAACATGGAAACTTTAATGATTGAAGTGACCTATTTTAGCTAGTGCTGTGCAAGCCAAAGCTATTTCAGTAGCTCATGCAAACAAGTATCTAAATGTGAAACAGTATATTGAAATCTTCAGATAAGTTGTGCCAATCTTGAGACGAATGAACGGTATAATGTCTTACTTATGGAACAAGAAACTAGTACTAGCAGTACTATAGAATAGAATTCTTTATTGGGCAAGTGTGATTGGACACACAAGAAATTTGTCTTGGTGCATATGCTCTCAATGTACATAAAAGAAAAGATACATTCGTCAAGAATCATAAGGTACAACACTTCCAACAATTAACATTTTAACATTTTGATTTCACAGCAAAGCCCAATAAGGTTTCACCCCAGGTAAGCATCTGTAGTGCTGAGTCTGGAGAGGCTTTTGAAGTAAAAGCAATATGTTTGAATCTCCTTATGGTTGTATATATGAAAAGATGCTTCCAAGTTGCATAGCCAGAAATCAGATAGTAATACACTACATCAGGCTTTAGATGGTTAAAATACGCATATTTTTTTTAAAAAAATAGTTGTCTCTCTCTTTGACAATTAGATAGATGAACCTCAAGATGTGATAGAGAGGCGCCAAAGCTTTGCCAGAGAACTTCTCTTAAGTGAGAGAACCTATGTGCACATTCTGGAAATTGTGAAAGATGTCTATGTTATACCATTAAAAGCAGCACTGGCATCCCATCAGACCATCCTAAGTGATATAAGTATTCAGCTCATCTTTTCTGATGTCTTGGACATTTTACAAGTAAACAGGTATATTCCATTGACTACTTTGAACCATTCCACTATTAAAAACTTTTAGAGATAAAACAAAGCAATCCGTAGCAACCCAGCTCTAATAAATACTCAAGGGTTTGGGAATATAATAATTTGAAGTGACTAGTAGATTTCCTGAGACATAATTTCTTTCAGTGTTGACTCCCTGGACAAGTTTTCTTGGCAAGTTTTTTCAGAAGTGGTTTGCCATTGCCTCTTTCTAGGATTAAGAGTGAATGGCCTAATATCTTCAACCTGGCTTTGTGCTTCAGGGAGGACTAGAACTACAGCCTCCCAGTTTCTAATGCCTCAGGGGTGTCAAACTCAAGGCCTGCGGGCTGGATCCAATCTGCGGGGTCTTTAGATCTGGCCTGCAGGGCTCCCTGGAAACAGCAAAGGACTGGCCCACAGTGCCTCTGCAAGCGAAAACGAAGTTCAAAAGGGCCACGACCTCTGTTTTCATTGGCAGAGGGCTGCAGGAGGCCATTGTTTGGGGCTCTCCATAGTCTCACCTTCCTCCGCTGAAGACAATGGATTCCCCCAGGCCTCCCTGGGCCGCCACAGGCTTCCCCCAACATGAGTGATGTCAAGCTGGCCACGCCCCCCCTGGCCATGCCCTCCCGCCCTCCTGAGGTCAAACACAACCCTGATGCAGCCCTCAATGAAATTGAGTTTGTCACCCCTGCCTTAACCGCTACCTCAAACTGGATCTCTGTGTTCCAGTACAGTTAACTGCTTTCTAATCTGGTTTGTTAAAGAATCATAAATAGGAGTATACATTGAATATATTTTTTGATTTTTTTGATTTTTTGATTTATATGCCGCCCTTCTCCGGAGACTCAGGGCGGCTTACAAGGCGTTAAGCAATAGCCTTCATACTTTTGTATATTTTATACAAAGTCAGCTTATTGCCCCCACAAACCGGGTCCTCATTTTAGCTACCTTAGAAAGGATGGAAGGCTGAGTCAACCTTGAGCCTGGTGAGAATTGAACTCACAGTAATTGCAGGCAGCTGGAAGCTAAATACTACCTTTAACAGTAGCTGCACTACTCAGGCTCCAAGTGTTTGTTTTCAGTGAAAAGCAGGATAGGAAGCTCAACATTTCAGATCAGGAGCAACTGTGTCAATTTCCAAATGAAAGAAAGTAGTAGGAGCACTATTATCTGTACAAGCCAAACCCCAGGCCTGGTTCCAGTTCTGAGCGCCTCCATTTCTGAACCCCTTAAGAATAATTCAGAGAAATTTGGATAGGTATGGAAATTCAAGAAGAATGATTAGAAGACCGGAAACAGTTCTGTGCAAAATGCATTGCTACAGTGAAGTACTACTCTTGTAGTACTGATGCAGTCATATCCTTTGGAAAACGTGGTACAGCTGGGCTTTCTCAGGTCATCACCGCCCAAACAAACACCTCACCTTCACCAGCGGTTCCAGCACTGTAGGAATGTGTCTGTTCAAGCGAACAACCTGAGAAAGCAAGCCATCAGTGCAGCCCCACTGACCTTTGACAGGGTTGCCTTGACACTTCAAACAGGAATCTTCACTTGCATCAATGTTCTTCACAAAATGCCTTTTCTAAATGGTTTGCGTAGCTTAATAACTAGGTTTTATGTGGTTATGAAAGCACTTCTCCAATACCTGGAGGGGTGGCTCACAGGCAAAAATCAAAGGCTGCCTCTATCATTTTGGAATGTAGAGAGGAAAGTGGATTCCATTTGAATGTAGAATAAATATCCTAATGGTAACAGCAGATCAACACTAGAACCAGTAAGGGAGATGGTGAGCTCCCTTTTACTATGGATAGCTAGCTATTCATGGTACTTTAATTTGAATTTCTGCACTGAGGATGGGGTTGGATTTGGTAGTTCGGCTCCTTGGATTCTATGATTCCTCACAGTGGCTGGCAAAGCAGTAATGTATTACAACGTTTAGGGTGAACATTTGAGAAAGTTAAGTTCTCCTCTCCTTTGTAAATTGTAAATTGGTTGGCAGAGGCGTTCCCAGTTTTGATAATGAGATAGATCAGCTAGAGAGATTATTCTTGACAGTATTCTTGGTAAGAGATTTGCTTTTTTTCCAAGATGTTTTTTTCAGTTTCTAAATCTAGCCTACAGCCCTGAGATTTCTTTAGTTTCCTCTTCTGTCACTCAGGCCTGACTCTGGCTTACTGTAGGTTAGCCAGGTGCTGCTGGCTGATAGAACGTCAACTGTTACAGGCAAGTCTGGATTAGCAAGCATTCCACTTCATGCAGGTGATTTCACAAAATTTCCCAAGGGTAACTGCCTGAATGCTTAAATGTGTTTTTTTTCTCCAAATGTGGGTCAGGCAAAGTATCAAATTTGCTGAAGGTTATACAAAGCTGAGTTTCTTGTTTATATATGGATAGCTCTAATATATAATCACTTGTAGTAATTCTAGATATACAGAGTCACTTGGTATAAGGCAGGCTGCAATAACCGGATACTGGGGATCTTCTTAGTAAAAAACGCATTGAACAGCAGCATTTAGAAGTGCCAACTATTTTTCAAGGGACAGGTCCTATTCTACTACAGTACTTTCTCAGATTTCTACTTGGGTATGTGCTGAACTTATCAGTTTTTAAGAATAGAATATCTTAAGGTTGGCCAATTGAATACTAAGCTTACCTGCAATAAATTAATATCATAGATAAATAGTTTTCTGTTAGCCTTACTGGGATCTTTTCTACTTAGAGTAGAGGCAGACCCATTAAAAGTAAGCCTTAAGTCTTGCCTCATGCAAACTGGGAGGGAGATGAATCCTTAGATGTAGAAACATAATGTTGTCACCACCAGCTGTTGCAACTTGTCTGCAACCAGATAGAAAGATAGAAACACCCTTCTGTGTCTGTTCCAAATACAGGTGTTTTTTAGCTGAGTTAACACGAAGACTTAATGAATGGAGCCCTGCCCAAAACATAGGAGACATATTCATTAAGTTGGGCCAGCAGTTTCAAACCTATACAGACTTTTTCAACAACTATGCAGTGACTCTGAAAACTATAGATAAGGTAAGAATGCACAAATCTCCCAAGATCTGTCTTATTCTCTACAGGTTTTTTTTTTAATTAAACATACTCTTGCTAATTCATTTAAAATGCACGATGGGCATTTCCCTTTTACCACTTTCAAATGGTGCCAGTGATGGAAGCCTTTGGTTGTGGCTAGCATGCATATAACAGGTTTAACTGGAATTCTCCTCCTCTCAATGGAGCCAGAAAATAGGTTTAAAGCTGCTTGTGATCATGCCTGGAGGATTTTCCGATTCCTCTCCCTTGAGGCCAGCATGTATTATGGCAAAAGGTTATTGCCATTCAGTTGTTTCTTTTTAATCTGTTCATTTCTAACCGGATATCAGTGTTTGTGTTTTTCCTGTAATTCCGTCCATCTCCCTGTACTAATATTGCTTCTGTCTTCTCATTCATAACCTACTTTGATATTTCAGTTAATTTTACTATGTAGCCCAGCTACCTGTTTTTAGATAGCTGTGCTTTCCATCCAGTATAAACCAGTTGCTATTCATTGTGGTTTTTCTACTCCACACAATGTCAATTGATGAAGCAACCATTTGTTTCAGGTTTCAGATTTATCTCCAGAATTGACACTTGGCTTATTTTAGCTCTATAGGATATCAAATTACAAAATAAGGAAATATAAGGAAAACAATACCTGCCGTATCAGATGCATAATCAATATTTATTATCCTTATCATTACTCATCCCTGTGAACTTGATGGCCTTAACCTAGTTTGAGCTGTTCAGTGAGTTCATTGTATCTATTTTCATTAAATAAAATGTGTTCCTTCCAATCATAATCACACACAGCCACAGATTGGGGCACAAATTACAGTTGAATGCCTAGTTTCAGGTTGGCACAAAATTACATGCAAACCATAGCTTCGAGTGGATTTTTAAAAAATCTGATCTGCCTATCCAGAGAATTCTTAAACTTCTCAAGCCAACTTAGAAAACATTAACCTTCAGTTATCATTGTGTTGATTGGGAATGATGGGCTTTATAATTCAACATATCTAGCTGCAGACTGGTGGAGAATGTTGTAATCCTCATCCAATAATAGAGGGATGCACATTACTGTTGAAAACTCAAAAAGGAAACGAAGGCAAAATATGTTGGCAACTTCATTAAGGCAATAATAGTCTGAATACATTTTCTGCTGCAGCTCCCTTCAGCAACTTTTAGCACGTTTGATGTGACTTTGTCTTGCTGATTGTTGAAAGAAATCTTTCTTTAATGAAACCATCTTGACCTGAGCAGATACACTAGACTTCTAATTAACATTCATAATGCCATGATATCCTTTAGACAGAAAGCATTTTATAAACTGCCTGGCCAAAGAAGGGAAGAGTTATGCTGAGTCAGAGTGCTATTAGATTGGGGCAACATGAAATGATATCTGTATTAAAAAAGCTGAGGGGTACCCACATGTTGTTCATGGAAAATAATAGTGAAGTCTACCGTGTTTTCCTGAAAATACGACCTACCCCAAAAGTAAGTCCTAGCTTGATTTTTACATGTACACCCAATATAAGCCCAATATAAGCCCAATATAAGTCCTAATTAATACCTCAGGGTGCACGGATAAAAATTAAGCTAGGGTGGGGATGGGGGGGGGGTGGAGCTACCCTACTACTTACCTTCGGACAGTTGCAGCCAGGCCTTGCACACCCTGACACCTGCCTTGCCGGCCCATTTCTTCTACCTGCAAGGCTTTCCTGAAGGCCTCTGCAGGCGATAACAGAGCTATGGATCGATCCGGAGCTCTGTTATCGGCTACAGAGGCCTTCAGAAAAGCCTTGCTGGCTGCAGAAGTAGTTTCTGAAGGCCTCTGACAGCAAAACAGAGGCTGGGGATGACGCGCACAAGTGAGGTGAGTCAGTGGACGCCTCCCCCACCCCAAATAAGACCTGGTGCAAAAAAAATATATACATAAGACCCAGTGGTGAGTCTCAGCCGGTGTTACCACCAGTTTACTTCATGCACACGCTTCACACGCACAACAAACTTGCACTCCATACAAGCGCAGTGTATTACAGAACAGCTGAGACGTGGCAATCCGCTCTGCAGCACCTTTCAGCTGGGCGAAAAACAACCAAATATAAGGTATGTATAACGCAGGGGTGGGCGGTAACCTAACTATCAGAGGGAACCGGTTTGTTCTCAGCTCACCATTGTCGCTACTGGCTCGGCCAAACCGAGCCGAACCGGTAGAAACCCACCACTGATAAGAGTCTTATTTTGGGGGAAACACAGTAATAGAAACAAGCCATTCACATCTAGTTCCTCACTGCTTCAGGTTTCAATGCTATATCTGGAGAGATTGATAGTGTCTCCAGAGGGAGTCAAGGAAGAGTGGGGCTTGATTATCATTCTTCCTAAGCTCAGTTAGATTCATGAATGTGTTGCTTGAAACTTTTAACTAGTACTGGTAGTAATTATATATTTTTAAAAAATATTCTTATAGCCTTATATTCAGTTCTCTATAGTTCAAAACTATTTGAATTTATTAAGTATGATTGACTAGAAATTTATTTTTTCCTGGTATCCATTAGTACATTCTTCAATATTTCTCATTTTTGTTCTGAGACCTATTTGTGAAGATCTCAAAAATTAAAAATAAGAGAAGCCAAACTATGAATTTAATCCATACTTATACACCAGATGATTTGCCTTCATTTGAGTCCTTGTTTTTTTTTCACCATTATATCCTTGAAGAGAGATTTAGCATAACCCACTTTCCTTGATGGGTAATATTCTAATGATTGAATGACATTGCAATTTCTGAGAGCTCAGTTTAGAGATAGCTCAGGATTCTAATGCAGCACCTTTAGAAACTGGCAATAACAATGTTTCCCTTGTTGAAAACTCTCTGATTGAACCAGATTAGACAATTGTCCTGTTTCATACATAAACTGGTCATCATGATAATCCAAACCTCTTGTTTCCATAGTGCCGAGAAACTATTCCAGTATTTCGTGCTTTCTTGAAGAGACATGATCGGACTGTTGTTACCACCATGAGAAGGTAACCCAACAACTTCACATAAGGGTTGTCTTAACCTGGGAGCAAAACAATTGGCACACGTCTTTTTCAGTGGTGAAATCCAAATTTTGTTACTACCGGTTCTGTGGGCGTGTCTTGGTGGGCGTGGTATGGCTTGGTGTACGTGTCTTGGTGGGCGTGGTAGGGGAAGGATACTGCAAAATCTCCATTCCCAGCCCACTCCAGGGGAAGGATACTGCGAAATCCCCATTCCCATCCCACTCGGGAGCCAGTCAGAGGTGGTATTTGTCAGTTCTCTGAACTAATCAAAATTTCCACTACTGGTTCTCCGAACTACTCAAAATTTCCATTACCGGTTCTCCAGAACCTGTCCAAACCTGTTGTATTTCACCCCTGGTCTTTTTATTAAAGTTTAAATATATCTTCCGTGAGTTTGAATTCTGACTTAAAGAGGGATTCCTAATAAATAAGGAAAATAGCAAAGTTAGGCTCTACCAAATAATGCTTTTCAGAAAATTGCTTCAGGAGCATGATGCCAAGCATGTGTCCAGGACTGCTAAAGTTGTTCTAGAAACACAAAAATCCAGAAATTTCTTGGTCTGGCTCCATCAGCCATAATCCTTTGACTGAACTGGAATAATTTACAAGGAAGTCCAGGTAGCTTCAGCGGTGGCTAGAGTATTACCTGCCCTTCAGCCACATTTTCTTCACAGGATAACATTTTTTAAAAAAATTTATATGCCGCCCTTCTCCGGAGACTCAGGGCGGCTTACAAGGCGTTAAGCAATAGCCTTCATACTTTTGTATATTTTATACAAAGTCAGCTTATTGCCCCACAAACCGGGTCCTCATTTTACCTACCTTAGAAAGGATGGAAGGCTGAGTCAGTCTTGAGCCTGGTGAGAATTGAACTCACAGTAATTGCAGGCAGCTGGAAGCTAAATACTACTTTTAACAGTAGCATTAGTCTCAGGCTCTTTAATACTGTATATTCTTTTTTCATCTAGAAAATGCACACTATTCCCTTCTCATTAGCAAGTTTATATATCTGCTTCCATATATGTGGAAAGGAAAAATTTTATGGTTGCATAGAGGGTAGGAGCAGAAGCAATACTAATTTCTTTTCATTTCATATTCTGGCCGGCAAAAAAATATTTTAACTCCTGATTTTGGCTCTTAGTTGAATGAACCTAAACACTACCCTGTTTCTCATAAAATAAGACATCCCCTGATAATAAGTCCAATCGGGCTTTTGAGCACATGGCAATAAGGCCAAGCGCTTATTTCAGGGTTCAAAAAAATATAAGACAGGGTCTTATTTTTGGGGAAACATGGTAGCGTCTTCCTCCTTCTTTCTTTTTCTTTCGTTGGATACATTGTCCAATATATTTTGGGAATGTCTCACACCCAGGAAGGAAGGGAAATGATAGGTAGGCAGCTGACATGATAATTTGACCTATTGGCTAAACAATCTGCATATCTGGTGCTGAGGTCTTTTAAAGTTGTGATCATGGTGGCATCGACATTAGAGAAATCTTCATTGTAAAGTAAAATAGAGTAATCTATCTAGCATGCATATCACAGCAGTCTGTACAACATCCAGTTTTATAGATAAGATTTTTAAAGCAGTTAAGTTGCTTGTAGAAATACGGTGTTTCTACCATATGAGTTAGTTGACTTAGCTTTAAAATTTGTCTCCTAACAATTTGTTTTGACTATTCTTATCAGCCATTTTTCTAATGAAAACATTAAATGTATGTGTTTCCTGTGTAGCATACAAGAACTTCTGCTCTGCCCTTCTAAGAGGGTCAAAGAATACATCACTCTCCTCTGTGGCCTTAGACTTCACACTCCTCAAGAACACACTGACCACGAAGACTTGGCCACTGCAATTAAGCAAATGAAACAACTCAATGATTACATAGACCAGGTCTGTCTTCTACATTTGCTTTAGCATGAGGATTATTTTGCACCCTTTTAGATGAATGCATGCTACACGGAATATCTTCTAATCTAATGAACCCAAATGGGATTGTGAAATAGGAGTACCACCACCTCCTCCTCTTTTAATGCAATGGGATTCACGGTTTCAGTCACATTCTGGAGCTGCTGTTAGTTGCAAAAGGAAAAACCCAAAGCCAAAATAACGATATGATATTTCCTTTGTGGCTAATAGGAGGCCAAAGTAGCAAACTAGCTGAGAAATTCCAGTCACAGCTGTTCAGTTTTACATCTTGGTAGATTCTTCCAGATATGCTCATACTCAGACAGTAACTAGAGAATTATTTTCCAAGCAATGGTACTACAGCCAGCAGAATTCCTATCACAGGGAGAATTAGTATCAACTTGGTTATTCTCCAGAATATTCTCCAACCCATTAAATAGATTGTAGACCAGATTTATCTCTCTCTGTGTGTGGTAAAGGATGATCTGTCACAATGCCAGGCTGTGGGGGATGTTCTTGTATAGCTGGATTTGGATTGATACAAAATGGATAAACTTTCTCACTTAAATTTGTGGTTAAATTGCTCTATGCAATAGAAAATTAAAGCATGTTCTTTATTTCTTCTGACTGCTATCTGGTGTTCAGGAACAATATGTGCTTCTTCGTCCTACATAGTGGCTTTCACGATCTTTCCATTTTTGGGTTGTAAATAAGTTCTGCTCTTAAATTGTTGGACTTTGAGGTATGCCTAGGATACTTGGAGAGATTCCATTGGTATGGAGGCCACTCTAAAAGTCTAGCAGTTGAAGTAATTTGCTGATGGGAGATGTACTGTTTTAAACAGTTTTTCTTATTGGAATGTAGATTGTCACTTTGGTGGTTCAATTCTTTGTTATTATTTTTTTTTGATAGGCATGCCACTGTTTCCTCTGCTGATAAGAATATCTTTTTCTCTTGTGAATTTGATCCTGTTAAAGATGTTATTGGTTGTATTGTGTGTGTTTTCTAGGTGACTTTTTAAAATTATGACAAATGTTTTGTACACTCAACTGAATCTACATTTTGGATTGTATGTGTGGGAGGGCAATTGCTTCCAGATGTTGCATGACTCTTTTTGCTATGAATCCTGAGATAGGTAATTTCCATAAGGAATTGATTTGTTTGTTCTGTCCATCAGAATGAAAGACAGTCCAGAGGCAAAGGTCTTTAAGTTTCATGATTATATTTATTAAAATGTTTACACGCTTGGTAAGGTTTGGTACTTTATATAATAAGGCTTGAACGGCTAGCTTTGGATCCATAGGTGTGTAGGGTGTTTTGTCATGAAATGAAGTAATAATTTCATCTTTCTCAATTGTTAAGTCTTAGATTTTCTGAAGCCACTGCAAGGGTGAATTAATTGTATGGTTATTCCTATTTATGCAATTTCCAATTTTTTTTAGTGAGCCCTAAGTTGTATGTTGTGGTTTTAGGTAGCAATACAGTTAGATAGCTGTTATGTTTGATTTGCCTATTTTTGGGGGCATCTATTAAAATAAGGGAGGACGGCTTCACAACTTTTCATATGCTATTTGTTGAATACTCAATAAGGGAGTGAAGTCAAAAGAATAGGCTTCATTCAGGTCCGCTGTCTAGGCGGGAAAAATAGTTCAAGCCAATTGGCTAAGCCATCTGACAGACCCTATAAAAAGGTAAGCTGTCAGACAGAAAGTTGCTGGGTTTTGCTTGTTAATAAAGAGTTGAAGTTGAAGATCTGCCTCTGTCTCTTCAATCGCCTACTAGCTAACACTATTCATCTTTTCTAAGCTATCCTATGGTTTCCACATCATTGACAGTTTTCTTGGTTTGCTTGTCCAGTTCCTTTTAGGTTTGCGTATTTGTATTGTGTAATTTATTTATGATTGCACGATAAATGCAACAAATATGTAAATGCTCAGTTGTTCATCTGGTACACTTTCATCATATGTTAATTTTTACTTGGGGAGTCTACTACGTAAGACATAAATCATCAGAACTTGTTTGAAGGCAATCTGCTCCCACAAAAGTTCACTTAGGTGTTTTAAATGTATGCAAATATTTTCAGACAGGTGACTCTTTATATGAATATTGAAATGAAGAAAATTACATTTTCTTAGCAGACAGTAATTTGAGCTGATCCAGGTAATGCTTTGAGGGCTATAAAATAGGTTCTCAAAATTTAATCCAAATATACATGACGGATTCACTGTGCTAAATTTGACTTCATTTTTTTTTTAAAAAAAATGACTTCATTTTTTAAACAAAAATTAACATACAGTTGTTTTATTTGCTTTTTAAAGAATAACTTCTTGATTATGCAGCATAGCCCTCTAAAGAGATCCTTGCAGTAATTTACTTCAAATATATTAAATTTTCTAGTTGAAACTGAATGTGGGCAGAAATGATCAGCTATTGAGTGTGCAACAGTGCATCCAAGGAGGTCCTGTAAGTAATCAGCTTTGTTTATATGAAGCAAAATGCCCAACAAGTGCATACTATTTATTTGTGATAATATCAGAAGATGTTTCCATAGGATGAGTTTCATGTCTTCAACAATAAATGACAAAGATAAAACCAATAGATTTACTCAAAGAAATATGTTTTGGTAGAATGACAAAAGAAAAGTAAATGCCTTTTTTGAATGGGGAAGTTGATTGGAAAAGTATTAAAAACTGCAATATGGGAATGTGTCAATTACAGGTCATATAAAATCACGAAAATAAAAGTTAAAGCAAGTAAACATAATGGCTGAGTTACTAGATTTGACTATGCTAAAATCCCATTCAAGCACAGAACTGCTTTATTTTACAGTAATTAGTGTCCTTGACTAGGAATAAGGTTTCTATAGTATTTCACTCATCTTCAAAGGCAGCTCCATGTTGAGTTCATCGTGATAGCCCAGCTGCAAGGTGTCCTGGGTTTGAGTTACTGTTACCAGTTCATTGTGGTAGGTAAACTACAATTGTTGTGTCAGCCAAAACTAAGGAATAGATCCCCTGGCCACAGCCTAGTTTACATGATGATTTAGCAGGAGTTTTCAACACAAAAGTTCCTTCTCCAACTCAAGGATTAGCCTATTCTAGGAGATCATGATCCTAGCAAGAACCATTAGGTTCAGTGTTAACTACCCTGATGTTTACAAACACAAGAAACTACATATTGTCATGGTTTATTGTTTGTTAGTTTGAGTTTGTTTCTTCCTATTTCAGACCCTAATTATCTTCAGATACCAATGCCACTGGACCTGGAAGTTGGAATATATGACACAACCCATGGATGGTTGGATTGATGTATTGATTGTATTGTTTATGGATCAAACGTATCAATCACTGTAAACCATCAATTAGTGAATCATAATCAGCCATTTATATATTCATTGGAGTGTTATGTTTTTAATTGCTGTTTGACACCCACAATAATGATGTTGAAATGGGTGCCCATACCGACTGGGAAAAAAATAGAGTAATCTAAGAATGTTGATCAAAACGGCAAAAAGTACATCTGATGTTTCAACTTCAACTTCATTTTAGAAGTCTGTGATATATAACACTTGCAATTAAATGCAAAGTAACTAAAAATAATGAAGGAATTTGGTAACAGTCTGCATAATTTTTAATGTTCTCATTCACAGCAGTTATTGAAAGCCAGTAGAGATCTAATTATGGTGCAAGATGTGGCCCAGCTAAATTGTTCTCAGAGAATGAATTTGCCATTCAGGTAAATGTATCAGTAAAAATATTAAGGGTAATATAAACAAAATGACGACTAGCATTATAGAAATGTTCCTTCGTTTGTTTTTTTTTAAGTTTTCTTCTTTCTAAACAGAGACCATGAAGATAATAATTGCTAAATGTATTGAATTATTTATTGGATAAATAATGTGTCATGTTGCATACTTTCCTTTTTAGAGTGCAATAAATCTTTTTTTAAAAAATAAATAGAAAAATGCAAATATAAACATAAACATAAACACAGCTATAAAACCTTAAAGTATATCTCTGGGTAGTTTTGAGACTGCTTATCCATAGAGATTCTGCCCACTCAATTCAAGGGCACAAAGAGTGCCTACACCAATGGTGGAAAGTTCCTATCCTCAAGGGATCCTGAAATAGGCATTCTCTTCAGGGACTTCCCTATTCTGGAGCAGCTTGGTCCCCAAAGGGCAAGGGTAGCTTCCATTCTCCTCTCCTCCTGGAGGTTCATTGGAACTTGGCAGATTTGGAAATCCTGGAGACTTGAGAGGCTACCAGAGGTGGGTTTCAGCAGGTTCTGATCAGTTCTGGAGAACCAGTAGCAGAAATTTTGAGTAGTTTGGAGAACCTGTAGTAAAAGTTCTGACTGGCCCCGCCCCCATCTATTCTCTGCCTCCCAAGTCCCAGCTGATCGGGAGGAAATAGGGATTTTGCAGTAACCTTCCCCTGGATTGGGGAGGGAATGGAGATTTTACAGTATCCTTCCCCTGCCATGCCCACCAAGCCACGCCTACCAAGCCACGCCACGCCACACCCACAGAACCGGTAGTAAAAAATTTTGAAACCCACCACTGGAGGCTACATCTCCTGTTGCTAGAAATATTAATCCTAATTTTAGATCTAGTTTTCAATTGCATTTTTCTTATTGTATGTTACTATCACCAATGCCTTAGCTGCAGCTGTGGCTTTAGTGTACTGCTTTGAGTAACCTTGACTGAAATGGTTCATAAATTTATAAATAAAAATATTTTAAAAATTAAATATAGGGTGACAATTAACTATAATATAATTATATTATCGGGCAAAATGATAGGGCAATTGTACTGCTAACATTTGTCACTCCTAAAATGTACAGCAAATCAGCCTTTGTAATGAGGTCCTTGCTGAACTTTGAGTTTGAGCAGTTAGAGTATGAGTATGAATGGGAGAAACTTGTTAACTTCTGTATTTTATTGTAGTGATCTAAAAGATTGTTTTTTGTGCGTTGTCTTGTACCTTTCAAGGTATAGACTTTTGCTTATTTTTCCTTTTAGTACACTTTTATAAACATTCACTATAATGCATTTTTTTAAAATGTTTACTGCATTTGAATGTTCTCCTGCGGTTGTTAAATTATTTATAAATAATATTAACATGGATAACGAAACTAATCTTTCATTTTTTTTCCAGGTTGTATGAGCATACCCACGATCTTAGGCTTTTCCTGTTCAATGATATCCTTGTGATTTCACAACGCAACATCTCCTACAAGCCCTTTGAACGAATACCCAAGGTCACGTACCAGTTTTTGGCTACAATCATGCTCCATCAGCTCCAGATTGAAGACATTCCAGATTCTAAATGTATGCTTTTCCTTACTTTAAAATAGTAAAAAAGAAATTTGAATGCAGTCATATATATATTTAATTAAAACATTGAGCATTTTTACAAAATCTCAGAGACATTCTCAGAATCAAACTATTACTATGTGATACTTGTAGTGAGTTCTGACTTCTGGTAACTTCCTGCAATATTCTTGACAAAAAAGGTGCGCTTTGCCCTTGCCTTCTTTTTAGGGCTGAGAAAGAGGGGCTGGCCCAGGGTTGCCCAGCTGGCTTCCTGCCTAAGGAGGAATTAAAACTCCCAGTCTTCTAGTTTCTAGTCTGATGCCTTAATCACTGAATCAAACTGGCTCTCTCTTCTTTAGCAAGAGCCTTGATAGCATACAACATTGCTTTTGAAAGTAGGCTTGTTCTGACTTGAGCATTTAGGAAAGAAAGACCCTCGACTCCATTTTGAAGTAAAAGATTTACTTTTATCAAAGTCAAGCGGTTACACATAAGCAAAGCTGAATCTGAATATTCCCGCACAAAGCTTGCATTTTCCCCTCTTCCCTGGTCCTCCCCCCACTTGACCAGTCAATGCCTTTCGGGTTGGGCACGTCTTTGGTGGAGTTTCACATTCCATTCCCATGGCTCCATCCTTGATTGGCCAGTTTGTTCCCGATTGACACCAGTGCCACCCTGTCTTTTCCCCCACCTATCTCCGCAATCTCCCCCTCTCTCTGAATTTGATGGCAGGATGCCAGCAAAATGGAGTATGCTGAAGATGGCAGAACCTGACATCCTTGCAGGTTTTTTTTTTTTTAAATGTAGCAGGAGAAGCTCTGTTTGAATGATCTCGAGCCCATTTGTCCATTGGATGTGCAATTTCTGAAGTGTATTTGCTCACATAAGAAACAACCTGGGAATTTGAGCATCAGTTTGAGGGCGCTGGTGGTAATAAGAGGTCAAGATGGTAATTTGTGGCAGTATGATTGAAACTCCCACCTGTTTGTTTGCACATCTGTTGATGCTGATACAAAAGGGGTGAGAATTTGGTGATGCTTCCATGATGACTATCTTAGATTTTATTTTAATCACATCATCCCTTCCGCCCCCTTGCAGATACTGCCGATTGAGACTTAGGGTGGTGTTTTTTGGGTCAATGAACAATGGGACTGGCAGGAGATGCTTAATTCCCACAATTCCTTGAAAGACAGGACCCAGGGATTACAGAAGCTGTGTGCCAACTTTGAACCGAACCTGGCAGCAGCCATTTTTCTATTTCTCAGCTGCCCCACAGAGGGGGAAGAGTGGGGGAAAGGAGGTTGGCATTACAACAGAGAGCTTTCTCATGAGAACCAAGGTCCTCTCTACTGGCAACAGATAAGGTTGGGGAAGGAATGCCTGGAGAGCCTGCCAATTAACCCAACTGGCCTGTGGGACCTGTGAAACTTGGGCATGGGGTTATGTCCTAGTTTAATTAAACTGAAACTGCAGAGAAGTATTTAGAATTGGTTTTCCTTTGAAGCTGTGCCAATATGATGTACTTGATAAGGAAGGCCTTTGAGAAGGAGCTAAGTCTCCGAGTTCTAATTTGCTTATTAGTCAGAGCCTTGACAAGTGGCCTTAAAGCACTGCCCACCCCTCTCAGCCCTGAACCTAACAGCAGAGTGAGGCCTCCCCCCAGCCTACAATGTCCGGGCTGTGTGAATTGAACCCAAGAGTTAGGGGGCAGGCTTCACTGTGCTGTCAGGTTCAGGGCTGGGAGGGGGGTGGGCAGCGCTTTAAGGCCACTTGTGCAGCTGAAGCAAGAAACACCTCATCCCAAGCCCTCCCCTCCCGGTTAAAGAATGAAGTTTGAGGGGTGAGAGAAAAGTGAGGCGGAAAAAATAGTCGCTTCCCAAATCTCCAAAGGATGTGGAGTTGAGATCTGGCTAAATGGTCAGTGTGCCATTACCAAATAAAAGCAGCCGGGAGGATATTCACTCCTGTTGCTTCTCTCCCTGTCTGTCTGTCTGCCTGTCTTCTCCGCCATGTCTTACCTGACTTCCAGCTCCTGCCATGCTGGGCGAGGGGATGGCAAGGGGAATCCCGTCTCACTCCATGCGCCTCCCTTCTCCATTGCCTCACCTTTCCCTACCTGCCACACCTCCTTGCCAGCCAAGATCGGGAAGCCAGATTCGGGAAGCTGAACACACTGCCGCTGCCCGGAAGGAGAAGAATGTCAGAATTGGCTCTCTTACAGCGCCTCCTCTCTCTCTTTTCTTCTTCTCCCGAGTGGCAGCGGTGCGTCCGGCTCGCCACTAAGAGAAGGGGCGCGCGAACTAGGGTTTGCCGGAGCGGCCTCCGTGAAGCTGTTCCATGTGGATGGCAGGGGCATGTGGGGCATGTTCCCCTCTTTGCCCCCCGCTCGCCTCCTCACTTCGTGCTGTTTGCACGGGAAGTAACGAAAAAGCTGCCACGATTGCTGAGCGGCACTGGCGAAGCAGCCAGTCAGCGCTCCGGGGCCAAGGTTTAGGGATAAGACCCCCGATAATAAGGCCAAGGCCATATTTCGGGGGTCAAAAGAAAATTTTCAGGGAAACACGGTATTTTGTGTGGATAAAAACTGTAACATTCTGTTAGGTTCACGAGGATGCGATATAAAAGAGCAGAAATGTTTTGTAACTATCCTTGGGAAAAGCTTTTGGGGAAAAATGGGATGGGGCTTTCTGCTTCACTTCTCCTTGATCAGATTCTCTGTTTTGCCTTCTTCATCAGCTCTGTACGGATAGTTCCTCAATTTACAACCAATTGTTTAGCAACCGTTTAAAGTTAAGTTACGAAGGCAATGAAGAAAAATAACCTACAACCAGTCCTTGCACGTATGACCATTGCAGCATCCCCATAGTCCCATAATCAAAATTGGGGTGCTTGGCAATTGGCATGTATTTGCAACTGTTGCACCATCCTGGAGTCAACCTTCCAGCCAGCTTCGAACAAGTCAAGTCAATGGAAGAAGCCAGATTTGCGTAACAACCATGTGATTCACTTAACAATGGCAGTGATTTGTTTAACAACCGTGCCAAAAGGAGTTGTAAAATTAGGCATGGGTCACTTGCTTAGCTACAGAAATTCTGGTCCCAATTGTGACCCTAAGTCGACAAGTACTACCTAAAATAAAATATTCCATCTCCAGTGTACAGGTAGTCCTCGACTTACAACAGTTTGTTTAGTGACCATTCAAAATTACAACAGCACTGGAAAAAGTGACTTATGACTGTATTTCACACTTACAACCATTGCAGCAGTCCCACGGTCATGTGATACCAAGTTACGCTTGGTAACTGACTCGTATTTATGACGGTTGCAGTGTCCCGGGATCATGTGACCATCGTTCGTGACTTTCTGACAAGGACAGTCAGTGGGGAAGCCAGAGTCACTTAACAACAGTGTAACTAATTTAACAACTGCACTTAACAACTGTGGCAAGAAAGGTGGTAAAATGGGACAAAACTCACTTCAGAATTGCCTCAGTTAGCAACAGAAATTTTGGGCTGCATTGTGGTTGTAAGTCAAGGACTATCTTTTGTAGATGAGAAGAGCTGTTAGTATGTACTATTTAGGAATTCCCGTCCCTCATCTTTCTCTTATTGTGACTGTTGATGCAGGAGAGAGAAAATATTCACAAATTTTCACTGTGAGTCTGCTGTAAGTCTCAGTATTTACTGCTGGGCTGGTAGATTTATCAAAATGAGTGCATAACACTGTAATGGATGCTAAATCATATCCAAATCCCTTAAGGCTTTATTTGAAATTCTGGAAGTCTATTTAGAATACAAACTAGCATGTACTGTATACCCAGACACAAAGAAACAGCAGAATAATGCAAATCAAACTGATGATAGTTTAAAAACAACTGCTCAGTAATGTAATGAATGCTTCCATTACCCTCATTCTGGTTCCCTTAAGGCCGTGACGGTGAACCTATGGTATGCGTGCCAGAGGTGGCACGCAGCACCCTCTCTATGGGCACGCGAGCCGTCTCCCCAGTTCAGCTCCGCCGCACATGCGCGCACGTCTTCCGCTGGCCAGCTGGTCTTCGGGTCTCTGCCACGCATGCGTGGGGGGTAGATCATGTGTGTGGGGGGGGGCGGGTCATGTGCGTGGGGGTGCGTGTGCATGTGCAGGGGCCAGGGTTCATGCAGGAGGGACAGAGTGCATGCAGGGGCCCCACATGTGCATTGCATTTGGGGGGTTCAGGCACACTTCGGTCCAGAAAAGGTTAGCCATCACTGTCTTAGGGTATTTAAGTCATTGATTGAGATGGATGACTGAAGAAATAATAAATAAGAAAAATTTTGGCTCAAGGACAAAAGCCTGAACCTTTTATAAATCTGCACACTGGAAAAAGTAATTTGACCAAAAATATTCCACTGAAAGCAAAAATATTTTTATCAAATACATCTAAAGATAGATCCATCCTGACTACATTTTAGAAGTAGAGTCAGAATTAAGCCAAACAACTAAAAGTCAATAACCACACAGTCATCCTTACTAAAGGTATCAAACTAGGTCAGAATTAATCTGAACATTTAAAATTTAGCAAGGCAAATAATAACAAACATTCCTGATTATTAAAGCCAAAGTTGTCCTAACAAGTATGTTCAATGGGGACACTTTTGTATTTCAACAATTAAGGCATAGCAAGGCCAGAATAAAGAAAGAGGGGTGGGGGAAATTCCTTGAAGCAAATATTTCACAATTCAGTTTAACACCAATTCAGAGAATGGTATTTATTGTTGCAGTTTGTCTGATAAAAACAATGGGAGAAAGATTTAGGTAGACTGTTGTGTAAAAAAGACTAAAATGTTAGGAAATCATCTTTAAAGAGATTGTAATCAATGATGTTTTTATGACAGCTTTGGGATGTTTTCCAAGTCAACTTAAAAATCGTTGGTTTTAGTTGATCCCGGGACAATTCGGCAAATAGAAAAGTTAAAATAATTTTGACGGAACTGTGGCCAGTAATAATAAAATAAAGTCAATCCAGAAATATAACAGTTACAATGATTTTTGACAGAAATGTAGTCACCAATAATAAAGTAAGTGAATGAAATTTTTAATACAGCATTGAATTGTCCCAATCATGGCAAGTAATCCTGCAGCGAGTTGGCTATGGCGAGTTGTCCTGACTGTGTGACTTAAAAATCATAGGGAATTTATGTAATCCATTTAGATTTCAAATACCTTGGATGATGACTGGGAAACTTTTTAGAAGAGTTTTATTGGACCAGGAGTCATAACATTTTAAAGCTTCTTGTAACAGTCTTTATCACTTTGAAAGGGAGCTTCTCATTTCTAAAGATATAGGTTAGGTTGAAGGGTATTCAGTTGACAAGAATGTCCAAGGCCTTAATATTGAGGTCCTATACAGATAATCCTCAATTTACAGAAAGAAAAAAAAACAAAACCCTGGATGGAAAGCACTCTCACTTTGGTGCATGTTTCCTGTTTAGTCAGTATTTGTAGATTAGATTAGCTACGTCTGCAGTCAGGACATGTCCCGAACTGCCTTTATTTGGAAGCTGAGAAAGCAATTGGTACGTTCCCTGATCATAAATATACATCCAACCTGTTCAAATTGGAATTCCCTTTAAAGCCAGATGAAGAGCATCTGACTCCAGCCAGTTGAACATAAAGGGAGTACATTTCTGTGTTTCAAATTCCTAAGTAATTTCCTTTAGATCAGGGGTGTCAAACTCAAGGCCCTTGGTGCTTCTGCCAGTGAAAACGGAGCTTGGGAGAGTTGCGTTTGATCCTCCCAAGCTCTGTTTTTGCTGGCAGACTGCCAGCAAAACAAACTACTAGCAAAAGTGGCATTTGATCGCTAGGCAAGGAGGCATCGAGAAATGTTTCCCCTTTTGTATTTGAGCATCCAAGAGGGGATGGGAAAGGAGAAAAGGAAAGAGGAAAGACAAAAAGAAGGAAAGATGCGAAGAGAGCAAGGAAGGAAAAAGAAGGAAAGAGGGGAAGGAAGAAGAAAGGAGAATGAAGAGGGAAGGAAAAAGAAAGGGAAAAAAGGAAGGAAGATTATAGTGAGAAGGAGGGTCAGTGGATCTCCCCAGCCCCGCCCGGGCTACCACAGGTGCCCCCGACATGAGTGATGTTGAGTTGGCCACACCCACGAGCTCAAACACAACCCTGATGTGGCCCTCAATGAAATCAAGTTTGAGACTCCTGCTTTAGATGAATAACTATACCGACCTGTGATCTCATCTTTAGACAACCAGTTTGGTATAGTGGTTTAAGTTATCAGCCTAGAAACAAGGAGACTTAGTTCTAGTCCTGCCTTAGGCACAAAGCCAGCTGGGTGACATTGTGCCAATACACCTTCTCCACCCTAGGAAGAAGGAAATGGCAAACCAAAAATCTTGCCAAAGATACTGAGGGCACTAGTTCAAACAGTTACCAGGAATTAAAGCTGACATACAGGCATGCATGCGTGTACATGCACATTAAAAATCCTCACCCTTCAGCTATTAATTTTGTAGTGCATCCCAGGGAAAATATAATTCACTTCTAAAAATGTTCCTAAAATGAGAAGTATTTGGGAGCACTACTTATAATTTAAATATTTCTTATTGGAGGCGTGGGAGAATGGGAAGAAAAGAAATAGGATTTCGCTTGAGTCTTATATTTTTATTTTTTTTAAAATTTGATTTATATGCTGCCCTTCTCCGGAGACTCAAGGCGGCTTACAGTGCGTTAAGCAATAGCCTTCATACTTTTGTTTATTTTATACAAAGTCAGCTTATTGCCCCCACAAACTGGGTCCTCAATTTACCTACCTTAGAAAGGATGGAAGGCTGAGTCAACCTTGAGCCTGGCAAGAGTCGAACTTACTTTAATTGCAGACAGCTGGTGTTAAATTACAGTGCCTTGTCTGCAGAGCTATCCAGACTCTAATTAATATTAATAATTAATAATTAGCGGTGATAGGTCAGTTTGGACAAACTTCCTATGCATCTTGGAAAGAGCCAGATAAGACAAATCTTTTACCTAGCTCTAACCACATATCATGCTCACAACCTTTCACATAGAAAGGTTAAAACCATATATGGTTCAATACATGGCATGAGCCAGGTCGTATACAGAGCTGCCTCTGAAGGTATCTGAGGATATCTCCCTGTGCCGCCAGGTCAGATATAGTAAATGCTCCAGTCCCTTAAATCAGGGGTCTCCAACCTTGGCAACTTTTAAAACTTGTGGATTTCAACTCCCAGAGTTCTTCACAAGTTGTTAAGGTTGGAGACCCCTGCCTTAAATGGTATCACTTACTAGGACCTGGGAAGTTGGTCTTCTCGGCAGAGCCTTTTACTCTCCCAAAAGGCCTTGAAAGGCTGACTTTTCACCTCAGCATTGGGATAGGGTAAAACTGGAGCTCACTGATTGCAATCATTTATGTATTGGGGAAGAATTGTTTTGGGTTGTGTTTCTTTGGCGGCTGGTTTTTATTCCTTCTATATTTTGTTGTAAGCTGCTCAGTTATGACAGATAAAGTAGGCGGCCATCTAAATCTCTTAATACATTCATACAGGTTGGAATTTTCAGGCATTTTATGCAAGGATACCTGCAATGTCTTCTTATGCTAAATCTAGGCTTAGCTAGACAACCAATTTAATTCATTCCGCAATAACCACTTTATGAACATTGAACAATACTTATCACGAGTTCCAGTGCACATTTAATGTGCATTTAACTGCTGCACATGTTGACTTAACGAATATTCTTAAGGAATCTAAATTGATGACGACTTTTGTCTGCTTCTTTTCACAGATATCAAGAATGCTTTACTTTTACAAGGGCCCAAGCAGCAATGGATTTGTTCTACAGATGAAGACAAGTTTGTATGGCTTTCTGCATTACGAAAAGCAACTCACTGTAGCATCAGTGGGGATGTAAACTGAATAAGGTAATCCCCATTTGGTGACTGCAGTTGGGACTGACAACTCAGACATTAAGTGAAGCAGTTGCTATGTGAAATCCATATTCGTGTTTATGATCTTATTTTAAACGTTTTCCTTTGTTTTATACACCTACAAGAGTTGTAAATGTGATGATTGGTCACAAAGTTTTCATCCCTGTTGTAACTGCGAATGGTTGCTGTATGAGGCAGTTGTTAAACGAGGACTACCTGTATACTTTCCATGTATACTGCTCATGATTTAATGACATGGTGGATGTGATCATTAAGTGCAATAACATTCTTATTATAAGCAAATTTAGTGTGAAATAAGTATATACAATGATTTATCACAGGAGCGTGTGGTTGAGTCATAGGTTATGAATGTGATTAATAAAACAGACATCAGAAGTTTTTTTAAAGAAATACTTCCTTATCACCAATAAGATACAACTTGTCTGATTTTTGACTGTTATGTATGCAGTCAAAAATTTATATCTGAAAATTTTGCAGTAGAGATTGTTTCAAGCACCGTCACTATGCTCTCATCCGTATCTTGGACAAGTACTTGGGTAGGCATCTGCAATCCTTATACTGATTCGTGCTGGAGGAAATCTCCAAACTAAATATTGTATAAGAGATGGAATCTTTAGATTTGAATATGAAAATGTCAGGATTGAGCATGATACTATATGGCAGGTGCACACAGTATCTAAGTTCAAAATAAAGTGTGAGAATAAAGTGGTTTTGTTTCAATGACTGAATATAAGGGATATAACTACCTATCTAGTCCTTTCATACACAGAAACATGTTTTCATGCAAAAGAAAATGTTTAGTAAAACGAATTACTTTTGCTATGACTTGATATTCTGTTTATGCCATACAACATGTAAAAAGACATTAATGAACCATTAATGTAACTGTATGATGCATTATACTTTATTTTGAATATATTGTCTGTTTTGCATGTGTAGGGAATGCTTTTTATGACTTTTTTTTGCTTCTTCCTAAATGTTTGATGTTTTCTACCCTGTTTTCCCCAAAATAAGACATCCCCTGATAATAAGCTCAATCGGGTTTTTGAGCGCATGGCAATAAGGCTAAGCGCTTATTTCAGGGTTCAAAAAAATATAAGACAGGGACTTATTTTCAGGGAAACATGGTACTAAAAAGTTTGTTTCAAATTTTTATGAGTGAATATAGGCCTATCAGTAGCATGTACAACCTCAGATTAGTAGAAATTCTGTAAGCAGATAAAGTCTGGTTCCCTCAGAATGCTAAACGTGCCTTTTTAAAAAAATGCTATCATAATGAATGAAGCCACCTAGTTCTAGCCTTAAAATAACTGACTCTATATTCAGTAAAAAATTGTAAAAAACTTGTCTTCTGTCCACTTGACTTGTTATTGAGCCAAATTAAAAGGATTAACTCCAATTAAAATATTGTGCTGTTTTATTGTTGTAAAAATCACACTGTTGCTAGTTCTGATTCTGCTGAGATACTTCCATGCATTTTAACATCTATGATCCCACAGCCAGAATAAGCCATTAAATAGAATATCTGCTGTTAGTCAGCATTAATGCAAATTTACATATGAGATCAAAAGGTGTGTATTATACAATATACAACAAATCCTAATACAGTACATCAACCTGAATAGCAGGATACACTCAGGAAACTTTGTGTTAATAATGAAACCTGTCTACAAGCCAGAAGAAGAATGCTTGGAGGCATGAACAGAAATAAGAGCCCAACTTTTTAAGAAACACAAATTGGGGATGGCAGGGGTGGGGTGGGGTGTTGGGTGAGGAGTGGAGGGGAAAGACTGGGGAAGAGTTGAGGTACTGACACATTTCTTGACCACAGAGAGTGTTACAGTAATGTTTGGTGGATGTGTCAGTTTGTAAAGGATAATGTGCAAAGCATGCAACTATATGTGGTATTCAGGAAATGTGTATGACTGAGATTGACACCCGATCCTTTCACAGAAGAGAAACACTTTGTGGGCAGACTGCAAAAATGACATGAATGCAAACATTTCAACAATAGTCAAGCTGTGGTCACACATGCAATGGATTAACAGACAAGGACAACGGAATTTGGTATGGCAAAGTGTCAAAGGTCATAGGCAGGACTCGGAAGATAATTGGGTTACTCAAAAAGAATAAGCTTCTGAAATTACTAATAATTTGCAAGACTGCAAACTCTTGATTTAGGGGATCAGTGATGACCACAGCTGGCTAATTTCCATTTACACAGACAGATGTGTAAAAGGCATTTATGATAAATATATGTGCTTTTGTGATAATTGGGATTATTCCAGCTATTGGGATGTTTTTATTCATGATTTTTGACGTGAAAGATAGAAAATTCATTCAGTATTCAGTTCCAGTTTGGGATATAGGCCACTTAAGTTGTATAAATCTGGCTCCAACTTAAAAATTATGTCCTCCCAAGAAAATGGGAAGATTGGCAGTGCCAATATATTGAACATTCAAGGAAACGCTTATTCCATTCTTTGTATTAAAATTATAAAAAGTTACTTAAATACAACTGTGGACAGAGGACATAACAATCACAACAAAAATGTTAAGAGTGCACTGAGTGAAACATATGGGATTTTAATTAGGCCTTTTACCCACATTTCTGTTTCAGAGTTAATTATTTCACAGTTAATGGCAATTGGTTTATAAGTGAGAGAAGGGTCGAAGCTGTTCCAGTTGGACTTCCAGTGAAATTCTCTCTTCCAGAACATCCTAGAAAGGAAAAATTTGCCATTTAGATACCATAATAAAAGTATATTACCAAATATACATGTACACACATGCACAATTATATATAATAATATATATATTAATAATTCTTGATTTTATGCAGAGAAAATTAAATGTTTATGCTAATAATTAAGACAGTGAACTTAGACACAACTTTTACTTCAACATGCAAAATTTCTGCCTAAATGTTCTTAAAAACATGTCAGCAATTAAGTTCAATAATCTTGTTTAGTGAGGAACACTTGTGGTTTCTTAGCAAGTAAAAAAGTAAATCAATAAACTATGTTTCAACAAACCTCTTTATTTTACATTTAGTAGATAGAAAATATTAATAGATGTATGAACTGCATATGATGTCAGTTTATCAGTAGTCAAATTCATTATTGTCCTAAGAGTAGTTGTTGTGAATAATACTGAAAATCTACTTTTACAAAGCTATGTTGATGGGAAAATGTAGTGACAATTAAAAACTTATATTCTTTGTGAATCTGCAGTCACAATCTTCTAATGATAATTGTTCCACCAACTTTTTCAGTGAAACATCTGAGAATAGATTGTCAACATCTCCTCATTCATACTTAGGAAACTTTTGGCTCTTTTTTTTTTTTTTTTAATTTGATTTATATGCCGCCCTTCTCCGGAGACTCAGGGCGGCTTACAATGCGCTAAACAACAGCCTTCATACTTTTGTATATTTATACAAAGTCAGCTTATTGCCCCCACAATCTGGGTCCTCAATTTACCTACTTTAGAAAGGATGGAAGGCTGAGTCAACCTTGAGCCTGGCGAGATTCGAACCTGCAGTAATTGCAGGCAGCTGGTCTTAATAACAGGGTGCTTTAGACCACTGTACTACCAAGGCTCCTTTTCCCTTTTCCTCCCTCATCTCATGGATCTTGTTAAGTAGTTTTCCAATCTATTCTGAAACCTTTGATATTCTGCAGAATACAGCTCACTTAAACTATATCAAGAAAGTAGCTGAAGAGAACATGCAAACTGAAAGCATGAGCTATGGATCCAGGGCTCTTCTTTACAAGTTTGCTAAACGGAAGGCACAATGTATGTTTGTAAAACATCTCATAATAACTTGTCAATTATCTTACCTTTAATTGTTGCTGCAATTCACTGTTCAGTCTGGCCAGAACAGTATTGGTCTCCTTATTGCGTCTAATTGATGCCTGAATAGCTTTCTTGTCCTTTCCCACCGATCTGAAGACACATTACATGAAACAACTTTCAGGAATTGTGGAATACTTTTTCCCTTTAAAAGTTCAAGCTGTTCTGAACACAATATTGTTAAATTCCTTAGCTCTGTAATGTGTTTAATTGTACAGTTGTAGAGCTAATATGTAAAGTATTTAAAGCTTATATGCATTTACTGGCACTTTTTAAGACTCTTTTTTTCTATGAAGAGATCCCATGTTGAATAACTCAAATCACTTTTGAATTGTTCTATTTAAGTTCCAACAGGACAGAATATCTGTAGCTCAGGAACTATGGAACCCTTACTGCTCTCTGAACTTCCTTGTTTGCTTGCAAACGTTTCATTACCCATCTAGGTAACAACATCAATGTCAGTGAGTGTGGGTTCTGCTCCCTGTTTATATACAACAGCTTTTTTCAAGTGTTTGGAACAACAAAGCTGTTATCTACACATTTCATTATTTTATTTTATTTTTCACAACTTTATAGCTTTAAAATCACTGAACATGTTTCCAACAAGAGTTTAAATAGTACCAGCTTATATGACTGCCTGTGTAAACTTAGGTTGTAACCAAATGCATTCCCCGTTGTCATATTTTGCCCAGAACCCCCCAAATTAAGCAACAAAATCACAGGGGTTTTTTGGGGGTGGGGGGTGGGGAAGCAGTTTACAAAATCAGAAGAATATTATCCTGCACTTTGACCACTCTAATTTAGAGAAATACCAAAAGGTCTCAATCTTCAGCCTTCCCCTTGGACATGTTAGAATTCAATTTCAGTTTAGAACATCACCCAAATGGAAAAAGTTACCCAATGTTAGTTAGTTGCATTCTCTCAATCATATAAAAAAGCGCCACATGATGAAAGAAGGATCTATGTGCCTCAATGAGTTTGTACAAGCCATTCCATTCCACCCTTATACAGAATACATAGATATTTTATGGAATTTTAATAGACAGACACTTGGAAAAGTAGCTTGCAAAATAATTTTGTAGTAATTTTCTCTACAGCCTCAATTTTTGCAGATTAAAGCTTGTGTGCAGATTAAAGCTTGTTCATACTGCTTTTCTTAGCAATTCGAGAATTCAAGCATCATATACCATTAAATGCTCCTTTAATAAATCTATTTGCTATTTAAAATAAAAATATCAGAGATACTCATACACATCTTGGGTTACCTAGGAATAGATGGCTGAGAAGCAAGAACAGCAGCTATGACACCTGTTTTCTGCGCAGGCTCCTCAACTTCAGGTCTCAGCTCATCTTCAGATTTTGGCCTTCTGCGGATAGGCTTTGGTGGTGGTGCTAGAGGTGTAGTGCCTTTGGCCTGAAAAGAGAGTCATCATGGTTGATGAATACATATTGAAATAAGTTTCACCTGACCTCAGAAATATTAGTTGGTTAAATAATTACAAATACTAATTATTTAAGCTGTAAGGACCATTTTGATGTAGGGGTTAAGGCAGGGGTGTCAAACTTGATTTCATTGAGGGCTGCATCAGGGTTGTGTTTGACCTTGGGGGAGGGGGGCATGGCCAGCATGGGCAAGGCCAGCTTGACGGCATTCATGTCGGGGGGTGCCTGTGGCGGCCCAAGCCCTCTGCCAGTAAAATGGGTTCCTGAGCTCCATTTTCACCAGTGAAGGCCTTCTGCAGCCCTCCACCAGCGAAAATGGAGTTTGAGGGGGCCACATGCAGCTCTCCCGAGCTCTGTTTTTGCTGGCAAAGGGCTGTAGGAGGCGTCACGACCAAAAATGGAGTCTGGGAGGGACATGTGTGGCGCTCTCGAACTCCATTTTCTCTGGCAGAGGCACTGCAGGCCGGTCCTTCACTGTTTTCAGGGTGGCTGCGCAGGCCAGATCTAAGCACCCCGCGGGCCTCGAGTTTGACAGCCCTGGGTTAAGGCATCAGGCTAGAAACCAGGAGTCTGAGTTCCTGTCCCATCCTATGCACAAAGCCATATAGGTTACCTGGGCTAGTCCCCTCCTCTCAACTTTTGAAAGAGGGCAATGGCAAATCACTTCCAAAATCTTGCGAAGTTCATGCAGTTGCCAGGAGTCAACAATGACTTGAAGGCACACACATGCACACCCAGAAAGCTAGTGATTAAACTAATTAGTACAATTAATTATGGTTTTTAAAGAGATCTTACTGTAACTCTCTTTAATAAGAGACCACACACAATTCTACAAGCTATAAGGTGGCTGTGCCTAGGGATATAGGACCTTTTCTGAGAGGTCATCTCACTTGGTAGAAGCAGTTAATTTTCATCAACCTCTTTGAAGACATCAGCTGCAAAATAAATCAGCAGCCATTTGCACTTCATGCTAATTCCTTGATTTCCCATGATTCTTCAGTTCTTTAACAAAAAAAGCTTATCGGCTCTGGGTTCATTATTTATAAACAGTGAAAAGAAAATAAACCTGAATGAATTGCTTTCTGTGCAATGATTAATACATTTTATAAGATATGTTCACCTGTTAGTATGTTGCATACCATGTTTGCAGGGGTAGTAGAAACTGTTTTGTCTTCTATTCTTCCATCTCCTTTGGCAACTCTTATAGATCCTGCAGTATCAGAGGGTTTTTCTACCTAAAGAGAGTCAGAAACATATTCCAGAAACTTATCCAGACTAAGGATGAAAGCGCTCTTCAAATTTAGGGAAAGTCTCATGGTACAGTGCTTAATATAGCTATGGATAGATATAGATATATTGATATGTGCTAACCTGGACAACCTCTGGAAGTTTCTCAATTTCTTCAACATCATCTTCATTTACATTCGATGCGGCAAAAACCTCAAAATGGCTAAAGTCTGCAAAGTTTGGCTGTTCTGGGATTTGTTGAGGTGAAGTATTGTTGTGCACTATTAAACCGTCAGCATCTGATGATCGATGAACGTGGCTTCCAGCCTATAATTAAAAATAAGAACTTAAAAAAAAAAAATAATGCAAAAAGTCGATCAAAAAAGTTTGCTACTATACACTTAACCTAGTCATCCCCAACTCAAGTCACATTATGAGAACTCATCGTTTTGAGAATACAAAATTCTTTCTTGCTTTCTCCAAGACAGTCCTATGCACTGGCAAAGAATCCTGTAACAAAGGGGGAACTGTATTTCATGGCCAAGAGGAAAATGCAATCCTGAAAATAATGTCACAAGAAAATACTGTTAAGTTAAAACAGAAATTCAAATATACCTGTGCGGGCTGAGGTCTTGGAGGCACTGCAGGGGGACAAGCAATCGCTCCAGTCTGCTGTTGACCTAAAAAACAGTAAGACTGAAAACCTTCTGTCTTAATAATACACTAATCATATTAATTTCTGGAAAATGTTTAGCTGTTGTTTGGATATAATACAGCATCCTGTCAATTAAGAGTCATACCGCAGTAGTATCTGTTGCTCTATTTCAGCCCATCATACATGTTAAGGGTGTACAAAGTTTAATAGGTTTAATAGAAGACAAAGTCTTCCATTTATTAATTCTATACAGTATCAAAGAGGTAGAAATTCTTTAAACCATCTCTATTAAATTTTAGAATGTCTATATTACTCTGAAATGTATACAAAGTCACAGTTGCAATTACAATTGATAGGACCTTGAATGGCATACAAAAAAAATTACCTAAGTGATTCATAACCTAATATATACAATTATCCATGGGAGCCATTGGATTTTAATGTGCCCAGTAACAACTGGCATTTGCCAGTATCCTTTTTCAACTTGGTTTTATTATTATTATTATTTTTTGGTTAAATCAATGTTTTCTGTTTGGTTATAACTCTTGAGAAATTATTTCTGTAAGAATATAAACACTGGGCCTCTGGCCCATGTAGTTCAGCAATCTGTTCTCTCAATGGCCAAGCAACTGCATAAAGAATGTAATGTAATGTAATGTAATGTAATGTAATGGAATGGAATGGAATGGAATGGAATGGAATGGAATGGAATGGAATGGAATGGAATAGAATAGAATGGAATAGAATAGAATAGAATAGAATGGAATAGAATAGAATAGAATAGAACAGAATAGAACAGAATAGAACAGAACAGAATTCTTCATTGGCCAAGTGTGGTTGGACACACAAAGAATTTGTCTTTGGTGCATATGCTCTCAGTGTACATAAAAAGACAAGATACATTCATCAAGAATCATAAGGTACAACACTTAAGGATAGTCATAGGGTACAAATAAGCAATCAGGAATATCAATATCAATATCAATAGTAAGGATATAGTCTATTAGTCTCCCAGCAGACGGCCTTCAGAGGCAGCTACACACTGCCATCAAGACCAATTTATGATTTCCATAAATTGGTTCAATGCTTCTGAAGCCAGACAGGCTGGCAGCCCGCATATCTTATGGTAACACCACATCTCATGGTAAAAGATATATCATGCTCTCCAAATTAAAATATACAGATTGTCATTAACAAATGGGAATCCTGGTTTGCTAAACTGTATCAGAGATGTTTCCCTTTGAGCTTTATATAGACATTCCTGTGATTTAAAATTGAAGACTACAGAATTTAATTATAGTAATGATATCACATTAAACTCCTCTGTTAAAAAACATACTACCAAGACTGGCCTAGGGAATATTAAGAGCTGAGGAATTTCCCTCTGAGGAAACATAATAAATAGCATTTTAATTGCCGGTCTTGAGGAATAGAATGTATTACTAACCTTCTTAGAATTGTGAAGACTTGAATATGTAATGTTTTTAAAAAATACCATTAATTTTGTACTTCAAAAGTTATTTTTTCCCTCTGTATTAGAAAGCAGTCTTGTAGCATTTAATATGTTACCTTAATTGTAATAGTATTAAATATATTTCACTAGTTTCATAAGACTTCTTTAATATTTCTTGGGGGAAAAATCTACATTATTTCACAAGCAACATGTGCATTTCTAAAAATGTGTTAATCAAAACAACAACAACAAAAAAAAACCTCTCACACATTTCAGCTACACTCACCTGGAGTAACTGGGAAGGTCCTATTCATATCTAAAGACGATGATCGTGAATGAGAAGGATGAGGCCTTGGAGGGGGTGGAGGAGGAGCAGGGTTATCTGGAGAAGTCCCTGAATGTGACCTGAAAAACAATGGAACTACAGAAATTCTATTGCAAACTGCAACTTCCAAAGACTAAAAGGTCAGAAAAGTAACATATTAACTTACAAAATAATAATACTGATCTTATACAATGCAAAAACCCATTTTTAAATTTATTTATTTTATTTATTTTATTAGGCTTATATGCCGCCCTATCTCCAACAGACTCAGGGTGGCTCACAACAATAAAACCACAATCCATAATGCAAGTTAAAATGCCTAACTGAATCAGATACAATTAAAAACCTGCAAAAAACCCCATCAATCCAGGCTGGGGGACTCGAATAACCAAGTTTTTAATTCGCGGCGAAAGGTGCAAAGGTCAGGGGCCAGCCAAAGCCCCAAGGGAAGTTGATTCCAGAGAGTGGGCGCGCCCACAGAGAAGGCTCTACCCCTGGGGGCCGCCAGCCGACATTGTCTCGCTGATGGCACCCTGAGCAGGCCCTTCCTATGGGCACGAACCAGGCGATGGGATGTTGTTGCTGGCTGCAGGTGGTCCGCCAATATCCTGGGCCTAAGACATGTAGGGCGTACCACACCTGATGCATTTGTTATAATTGTTATTACATCGTTCAGCTGCGCCTTTTTCGTTTATACATTTACATTTGAAAATGGATATGTTATGAATCAAGGCAGTGTTCCCCTATCTGATGCCCCATCAAGATGTGCTAGACCAGGGGTGTCAAACTCCCTGCCCGCGGCCCAGATGCATCACACACTGGCCATGGCCACCCATTTTAGCGACGGGAAAAAAGTTGTGATATGTCACGTGACGTGAGTTTGACATACCTGTGCTAGACCATCACTTCATCCAACACGCAATCTATAGTATCTGGAAGGACTTTGAAAATACCAGCTGAGGAAAGGCTGAATGAAAAACTTTAAAGCAGCGGTCCCCAACCTATCTGGCTCTGTGGACTGGCAGCGGGGGGGGGGGGGGGGGGGGGGAGGAGAAGGGAGAGGGATGGTTTCATGTGCACACATGTGCCACTTGCACAAATATAGCTTCGTGTGCTCACCTGCTGCTTGCATGACCCAGTTCCCAATGGGCTGCGGTCCAGTACCAGACTACAGACCAGGGGTTGGGAACCCCTTTGGGGCAACAGGGCCTTTCTTTCTGACCTTATTAGGTACTGTACCTTCCTCAACAATCTTGGAGAAAGCTGGGACTGTGCAGCCAGGGAAGTTGGGAACTTAAAAACAACAGATAGTGGCCCAAGCTATTTATTGGAAAGCAGTTATTCTATCAAGTAACAGAGAAGGGTGAGGAGTGCTTTGCTGAAACAGCATCTCCAGGGGGCTCTCTCTTATTATTTGCACCTATGTTATTCACTATAAGGATTGTGTAACTTTATGAACTGATGACTGAGTTCATCACCATTTTCCTGCTTTTGTTTTGCAGCTGTATATTGTACTTCTCTTGTTTTATTTCATGAAAGCAGGATACAATGTTGTTAATAAGCAAATAAAATTAGGTGAGTACAACTAGCAGGAACACTTATAGAATGTGCTATTATTTTCAGAACAATTTATTTTTTAAAAAAGATTAATAGCAAAAAGAGCAACAGGGTGACAATTTAGCTGAGGATTTCTGGTGACAGAATGACACCTTCAGCAAAGCATAACTAGGTACCTTCATTATTCCATTTCATTTTGCCTAGAACTCAGTCATCTAATTATGTAAACAGTCTGTGAAGGTTTTAACTTCTAAAAGTCTAAATCACTGCAAATCCTCTGAATTGATAACTCTAAAAAGTAGTACACAAACATTCATCTTATTTTTCTGTTAATGTCACAGAAAAATCAACATAATGCTATTAAATGTAGAACAGTAATACCAGGGAATATTATAAACTCTTGAATCACTATCACAGAATCACAGGAAGTTTTACTAGACTAAAGTATGTTCTGCAAACACGTTACAGGATGACCAGTTCAACCAAACAGCATTCTGTTTTAATATTTAAACAGCCAATTACCGTTGTCTAGTTACAGTAGTTCCAATGTGTTCTGCATCTGAAGTAAAGGAATCTGAGCTGCTGTAACCATCTGCTGGAATAAATTAAAATAAAATCTTACCCTTGATGAATTATATTACATTACAATCTACAGAATGAATTTAACTTTTAAGAATACAAAAAATAATAAATTGAATCCAACTGATAAAATATTTGACATAAGACACATATCTAGTGTCCAGCCCTGAGATTACCATTAAGAGTATGCTCTTATAGGTATGTAGATCGCCCACAATGGATATTTACGGCATAAAAGAAATTACAGTATATGAGTAAATAATTTTAAGTGAGCAGAATGTCACATAAAAATGCTAGTTTTAAGAAATTTATAGTCCTTCCCATATCATATAATATTCAGTTTGCTCTTTCTCTTTAATGCTAACGTTAATCTATTCATTTCTGCACATTCTAATATTTTCCTTATCACCTTCTCTTCAGTAGGAATCTCTCCACTTTATCAATGGTTGGAGAATAAAAATGGAGTTTGGAAATGAAGGAGATCAAAAATAAGTAGAAAATATATTAAGAAAGAGTTATAAATAAGACGAAAATTTTATTTATTTAAATTTGTATACCGTCCTTCTCCAGCAGGACTGTTAGTATATTGTTAGTATACGTATGAAGAGAATGATGATATTTGATGTTAATATGGTATTATTAATGAAAGATGTTAAGAAGAAAATGGGGAATTTTACAATATTTAAATTTGTAATGTACTTATCATATTATAAAATTAATGTTAATGTGAACCTGAAAGATGTGATAAATGAGGAACGATGTAGCACAGAGATCTATGTACCCAGACGACACACTGCATGAGGAAAGATGGAATGTTTTATCTTTGTTTAAAATAATAATAATAATAAAAAAATTATATTTATAAAAAAGAAAATTATAGTCTACCATCTGGAAATTATGTTGCATGAATGAATCTCTATTAGAAAGGATTGTGTGAATCATAAAATTTGAAAGATCTTCACCTGCCATAAACGGGATTGGATATTTACTGAACTAAATGGTATCTTTATACTAGGAGAAAACATTTTGATTAAAAGTACTCCTCGAGTTACAGTAGTTCATTTAGAGACTGTTCAAAGTTACAACATCACTGAAAAAAGTGACTTATGACCATTTTTCAGTTACGACCTTTGCAGTATCCACAGGAACATGTGATCAAAATTCAGTTGCTTGGCAACTGGTTCACATTTATTACCATTGCTGTGTCCCACGATCCCCTTCTGTGACCTTCTGACAAACAAAATCAATGGGGAAGCCAGATTCCTTAACAACCAGCTTACTAATTTATCAACTGCGTGATTTACTTAACAACTGAGGCAGGGAATGTCATAAAATGGGGCAAAACTTGTTTATGTCTCACTTAACAACAGATGTTTTGAGCTCAGTTGTGGTTGTAAGTCGAGGACTACCTGTACATAAAAACTACAAACCATCTCAGACAATTTAAGAACACGACACTTATAAAACAGCTGCTGAATCTTAGAAAACCTTTCCAAACACACTGTTGCTGAGTCAGAAGAGAACTAAGTTATACTTGCTTATTTTTACTTTTTTTTTAAGCTGCCTGGAACACATTATTGAAAAATAAATACCGATACTTGCCAGCTGTATTTCCTCCTGTGAATTTTACTGATGAACTTATTTTACTTTCTTCTGCAAGATCTGGTGACTTCACTAGCAAGGGACTAGTAGGATTTGTGTGATCTGGAAAGAAATTTAAAAACATTCAGTGCAAGTTTAGGTAATTACTTTGACTATTTGAGACTAAGATTGTGAAGTTTGATGCAAGCCACTAAACAATAACGGTGCACTTGCCTGCCTGATTTGAAACAAGAAAACAGAAAACAAATGGTATGTTAAATTAGTTTTGGTATATGAAGTCAGACTCAGCATGGGAAATTTAAAACTCTGAATGTTGCAATGTTGAACCTGAATTTTTATTCAAAAGCAACCCAATAAAGAGATCATGTCTTAAAATCTCTAATTTAACTTTTGCAGTTTGTTTCTTCATTATCCTTTATTTTACAACCTTGCCTCACTAAGATATCCGGAGAAATTGTACATGCTTTTATATAACTTTGATTACCCCTAGTAAATATTCTCCTAATGATCGATTTTTTTAAAAAAAATTTGATTTATATGCTGCCCTTCTCCGGAGACTCAGGGCGGCTTACAATGTGTTAAGCAATAGCAAATTTTGCATTTGCTCGGTAATTTGGTTTACAATTTGAGCTGTATTGTTTTTCTAGTTGTCATTACAGAAAATCAGGGACATCATGTGCTTCTTTAAAATATAAAAATGCATTTTCAAATATAAAATTCTCTTACAAAAGTATATTGGAACTCAACTTCACATAAGTACCAAACTAAATCTGTTTTGACCCCCTTCCAGTATTTAAGATCTATACTACATCAGAGGTGAGCTGGATTCTTGACAGAAGAATTAACTGAGGATAACAATTTATGTTGCCATTAGTGAAAGATGCACTGTACAATCTGTCACAAGCCTTAATCATCATCTCGTGATACAGATACAGTGGTACAATCTGTTTCTTTCTCTCTCTCACACACACATACACATACCAAAAACTAACAGTCTGCCTGACACTTTCTTTTTATATTGGTTATTTCACAGAGTTCAAAACTTTTCTCAGTGAATCAGGAACATATTGTTAGTTTATACTTTTCCACATGGGTAGGCAATTAATTTTGCTAAGGGGCTACTCCCTCCCCTCACCTCCCAATGGCTGCTGCCCAGACAGGGAGAGTGAAAGATAAAATGCCTATGTTTGCTCTAGGTAAAGGTAAAGGTTCCCCTCACACATATGTGCTAGTCATTCCCGACTCTAGGGGGCGATGCTCATCTCCGTTTCAAAGCTGAATAGTCAGCGCTGTCTGAAGACATCTCTGTGGTCGGCATGTGGCCGGCATGACTAAACACCAAAGGTGCACGGAACACTGTTACCTTCCCACCAAAGGTGGTTCCTATTTTTCTATTTGCATTTTTTATGTGCTTTTGAACTGCTAGGTTGGCAGAAGTTGGGACAAGTAATGGGAGCTCACCCCATTACGTGAGACTAGGGATTTGAACCGCTGAACTGCCGACCTTTCGATCGATAAGCTCAGCATTTTAGCCACTAAGCCACTGTGTCCCCTAGAGTCACCCTAGCAGGTAACAAAACCTGGATATCCATCCATTTAAAAAAAAAAACAGCAATAGAGTTTGAATTAAAACTAACTAAAAATAAAATCAAAAGTAAATATGAAAACAAGAAGGAATACTAACTGGAAGGATACGTGTGTGTTTTGTGTGTGTGTGTGTGTGTGAGAGAGAGAGAGAGGGAGAGACAGAGACAGAGACAAAGAAAGAGAGACAGAGAAATATCTCTTAAGAATTTAGGAACATTTTAAACATTTCTGTGCAATATTTCTTTATAATAAAATGCAATATTTTATTCTATAGAAAAAGTCAATTAGTAAGAAACATTTGAGTTAAAATTGAGGCTCAGTTTGGCTGAATTTGTCCTTGAAAGAGTTTTTGAAGACTCTTTGTTCGATTAATTTTTAAGGTGAAAGTGTTTCCTGTGTTTCTGAATCCCATTACATTACTCCAATACAATATGTGATATTCATATAAAATATTACTGGCTGAGTCAAAATTATCCCAAAACACTCTTAAGTGCACCAAGTTTAAAAAATGGCGTATTTTGAAATATATAATGAGTAACAAAATGATTAAAGTCTTTCCTTGGAGCCTTTAATTTTATGATTTTTAACAAATAACTAATTATTGTGAAAGCGATTCTTGGCTATTAAAAAGATACTTCTATAAGTGACAAACATCTCTTACCATTTCCAGTTCTTTTAAGTTCCATTTCTTGCATATGAATTTTGCTTGGTGTCATTCGAATAGGAACAGGGTGAACAATAGCAGTATCCTAAAACAGAAAGGGATTTGAAAGGAAATTATTTAAACCAATTATTCTATCCTGAATAGATTGGTTGCTATATATCATTTTATGTTAAAATTTGAAACATTAAACTATGTTGACTGTTTAAAAATAAGAAATAAGATAAATTGTTCTCAGTCTTATTACTCATATCCATATCCATACCCATTTCACTTTTCTTCTTTTGTTGCTGCTTGCTTATGTGTTCCTTTTCCCTAGATATACAGTATTTCAATTTTATGTATTCTCTTAAGAAGCAATCTTAAGCCGTTTGTTCTGATTATGTCATCTACATAAGGCTACTATCAAAAAAAGAGGCAAATCTACAAAGCAATGCTTAAATTTTCTTTAATTTCATTTACAGGATTATCAGAAAATTGGACTAATTATGTTACAGAAAGAAGTATAGCTTGACCTTTATGGCTTACTGGCTATAATTAAATATTGTGTACAAGAACACTATGTACAATGTGGTTACTATCTCTCTCTCTAAATCTCTTTTATAATGCAACAGCATTAAAATTTTGCACATATGTTATACACATATTTGGGATCTTACATAAATGAATATCGGCTCTTTTGCTGACATTGCACAAAAGCACACAACATTTCACTGGGAAAGCATGTCTATTTTCCTCAATACCAAAGCAAAGTGCATTGGTAGTTACTAGTAAACGAGTGTAAAACTTCCCAAAGCAGTTTTTATGCAATATTCTGCCCATAAACTCATAACATGTTCAGAAGCACATGCATCATATAGTGTCTAATAATTTACGCAGAGAAACAGGCATCAACAAGCTAGGCAGAAATGCATCCCCACCTCCAAAGAGAAAAAAATGTTATATTTTTATTGTGCTCCTTATTAATTTTGAAGGGCTACCTATAGGAAAACCACGTTGGACAAAAGTTCAAACAAAGCAAAATAAAGGAAGCAAAAATTTGCTGCCTGTGATCTGAAGTAGCATAGCTACATTCAATATGGTAAATTGGAGGACTACTAATAGAACAATAAATATTTCCATGTTTCAGGCAAACTTTGTTACTAAGCAGCAATATAACATGAAATAAAGGGCTAAATATGTTTTAAGACAGTGATTTTGAAATATGTTGGTTTCTATTTTTGGTTCAGGACCCCTTTACTTTCTTAAAAATAATTGAGGAACACAAAGAGCTTTGGTTTTTGTGGCTTATATCTATTATTATTTACTGTATTAGAAATTAAAATTGAGACATTTTAAAAATATTCATTTATTTCACTTTGTGAGCCCCCTGAAAAGGTCTCGGAGATCTCCAGCCCACACTCTGAGAATCTCTGCTTTAGGGCACTGATTCTTGCATTGTGGAGGACAGGCCTTAAGCAGGAAGCACAAATTAGTTCAAAGGAGTATTATTATTGTTGTTGTTTACACTCAGCCAAATGTTTAGATTGGATTTGGCATTTAGCTACTTATCAAGTTCTTCCCAACAACATGGGATAGGCAGATCTTGTTTGATGGTATTAAAGCTATGGTTGCTGTTCTGAGTAAAACTGCCTTTTGTAATTAAATGGGGATTTTATCATTTCAACCTGTGCTCCAATGTTTTGGGATTGCACCTACGGTACCTATTACTATTGTTACTCTGCTTTCTTTTGCCTCAGTTGTCCTACTTCTGTTTGAAGAACAGAATGTTCTCTTCTATTTGTATTTTGTGATTTTCTTCCATTCTCTCTCTTCAATTTTGTTGTCTCCAGGCACTGCAACAACAAAGAACTCTCCAGACTTCTTTGTCTTTCTGTTTAACAATGGTTAAGTCTAAGGTTTTATGTGGCAGGTGCTTGTCTGTTAAAAGTTCCAAAGCACTTTAGCTTCTTCATTTTCTATGTTTATTTTGTGGTCCCACCAATTCTTGCTTGCAGATAAATATTTCTTGCAGAACATCCGATGCGCCATTGTTGCCACTTTGTCATGCTGCTACTTGTAGTCAATCTATCCATGTTTTCCCGAAAATAAGATCCTGTCTTATAATTTTTTGAACCCTGAAATAAGCGCTTGGCCTTATTGCCATGCGCTCAAAAGCCCGATTGGGCTTATTATCAGGGGATCTCTTATTTTGGGGGAAACGGGGTATGTGATCTCTTTGCAGCACTTAGTTATTGGTGATCCACTGCTTCACCTTCTTTGAAGAGTTTATTATTGTTATTAATTTTTATCATTCCCCATTTTTGTATGCCTTTTTTATATTAATAAGATGCAAAGTTCTGGATAGGAAGGTCAAGAACAAGCTAGTTTGCTAGTCAAGAAAGCTGCAGACATAGGGGTTATATGAAAACTTTTTATTACTGATATCTTATTTTTTTTTCTTCCCACTACTTATTCCTGCTTTGAGGAAATCACTGACAAGTAACTTGTTCTTGATCTCTTTTAATGACAATGTGGGCTTAATATTCCAATTCAGTCATTTCTAGGCATAGACTTCTATATATATTCACCTCCCTTACAAAAATCATCTCAAAGTGGGTTAAACACAAAATAAAGATATAGGATAAAAAGGTGATGGCAAAGAAAAAAAGAATAGAAACAAAATTCATCCAATATTCAAATAAAGAAGTCTTAAGTGAAATTTTAAGTCGTTTAACAAGTGCTTCAACTGTTTCTGAGGGGAAATAAAAGCTGAAACTGAACTCAGACCAGGGTGGATAAAAATCAATGATTTTTTTAAAAAATATTTTTTTGATTTAATTCAGAATTTTTTTTATTTTTATCAAGTGTATTTTAATAAAATGCTTTTGGAATAAAAGTATATCTAAAGTTAGTTTTCCATTTAAGATACATTAATAATTTAGTTTATTCAGCATGAAATGGAGTTTAGTTATTATGTAGCATGAGGTTGTATATTCTGCAATATTGGGGCTGTCGGTGAGTCAACAGTGGGTCAGAGGAGGAGCTGCTGTGGGACAGAAATGACAGTTGCTCTTTTAAAATTATGATTTAAATCAAATCCATCGTGACTCTGACAAAATGGAATACTGATTCTGAATGCATGACATTAGACTTTGACAAGTAACAGTTCTCATGGAACTACATTCTTCTTTAAAACAAGTTCACAATCTGGGGTAGTCTTGGATCACTATTCATACTGTATTAACGTATCACACCAATTGCAAGGAGGGCCTTTATCACTCTGGATCTGGTGATCCATGAACTAATAACATCAAGGCTGGACTACTGCAATGTGTGTTGGCCCTTGAGGATGATCAAAACATTGCAAATGGCTGAGTGTAGTAGCACCATTTATGAGGGGTGCCTCCTAGAGGTACCCATTATCCTACTAATAAATCAACCTCTTTATACTATTATTGTCTGAGTCTAATTCAAGGTGTGCTCATAATGGTGTATAAATATTTATATACTTATACCTAAGCTATTACAGAACTGATGACTCATACTATCTGTAACATACACTCTGGTCATCAACAGAGCATTTTTGAGGGTTCTCCCCCATATACATTTTATAACAAAAATAAATTCTGAGAAATAATATGAGGGTAAATATTGTTTTTTTGGGGATAAATTGTTATGTTTGATCTAGCTTTCTTGTGTGCAAGATCATATGACGACGTATGTGTGCCTTACAGTAGCCATGGCATCCATACATTTCCATGAACAGTGAAGGATGAGGGAAAAGGTTAAAATTATGTAATTGTGAAACATGTCTACAAAGGGTGTATTCATGTAAGAAGCTTTTGGGTGTAACAGAAAGAGAACTGGATCCAGAAAAACGAGATGGTCCTGGATGTCCAGGTTGACAGTAGCTTTTGACAAGTCACCATTTTTACTCATTTCATTTCCAATACATTTATCAGTAAAGAAAACTCAGTTAAAATGTTTTACTGTCCTTTTTAAAAAAAAAACAGTTAAATAAAAATCTCAAAATATTCAGGCAGATATTAGAAAAGAACAGACCTAATTTTATTTTTGCACTTCTAAGATATTTTGTTATTTTAGTTGCAGTGACAGACAAGACCCTTTGATGAAGTTTAAAGCAGATCAAATTATTAAATTGTTTACCATTCCCCCACTTACCATGCAAAACCAAAACAATTAATGAAAATTTGGAGTTAATAAAATTAATTTCAAAGAAGCAAGCTAAGTGATTGACTTACAGGATCAGCTGGTGCAATGTTAGAATCAAATTGGGTCAGAGTTTGTGAGCTGGAAGAGCGTTCACTAAATGTCTCCCACTGCTAAACAGACAGAGGAGAGACAACATGAGAATAGAGTCACCCCTGGAGAAGATTTAGCATAGTTCAGAGGTTGTAATGGCAGTTGTTTTTCTTGGGGGGGGGGAGCCAAAATATACATTTCAACAGTTTTCAGATTCTGTCTTGCAAAATCTTTTAAATCAATGTGAAATACTGTACAGATTAAACAAATCAATTTGAAAGTGAAAGTCAGCATATCGATTTGAGAAATCAAACTACAGAAAACAGAAGCTTTTAAGTCAGTGCTGCTATGGCTATCAATATGTAAGATTCCTTGTTTTTCTAGAATCTTCTGTTTTATTTCATTTAAATAAACATTAATAATAAATTTTCTTTACGTATCAGAAATAAAATATATCTTTATATTAGAAAAAAAATTAAAAGAATTACATGCAAATTGCCATTGCTATACCTGAAAACATTTCTAATAAAGTACATTTTATACATAAATTAAAGATATGTTTGATAATTGTACAATTCAAAGTATTCGATGTATTCAATTATGTTTGATAATTAAATTCAAAGTAGTCAGTGTAAAAGGAAAGACTGCAATAGCAATCATTTCAGTAAGATCCAAGACATGCCCCGTTGAAATATATAACTGCCAAGTCATTTTTTTTTTCATGCATAAACTAAGATACAGGCAAAACAGAAATAATCAGGTTTCCAAGCAATGAAGGATTTGGTCTGAGATTCAATGCTCAAGATTATTTTTTGGAAGGAAATGTTAGTATCTCTGTTAGTGGAATGGTGAGTTAATTATTAGACATATCAAACATTTAAACAAATGGACTGAATATGTTTTCCTAGCAAATCAGGAGCTGCTTATGCTGCATAGCTGGGAGAGAGCTTGGCTGATCATAAGGGGTGAACCTCAGTTGCTTTTGGATGAACAAATTAAACTTAGGTGGGAGAGTGTACAAAGGAAAGTTAGTGTGAATAATATATGTACATGTTGTTTGTCATTAGTTAGAACTCTAAAATCTAATATATCCTTATATGAATATTCTGAAGAATTTTAGAAATTAAAAAGAAATCCAGAGACAATAATGTGCCATGTAGTGGGGTTTTTTAAAAAAATTATATAGGATTAGGTGTAATGGACAGAATTCAAAGACCCATGAGCAAGACAACCAGATAAAACTTTCGGGTTTCTTCAGTAGCAGCTTTCTAAACTTAATTTGACGTGTTGGAAAAGCAATCTGCAGTTTGCACAGAATCGGCGATTCAAGAAATTCTGTGGGAATTGTAAAATTTCCTTGCATGAATTATATATTCAGATATTATCCAATATTGTTTGTTTGTTTATAGATAGTATCTTTTGTATAATCTAAGATATTTATGGTAAGTAGAAAGCAGTTCAGTACCTCCCCCAACTCTTCCATGTAAAATGAGGAACTTAGCAAGCAGCACACAAATTTCTACTGACAAGCAGGAAACACTGAAATGAAATTTGATATACATCAAAGGTTTCAACTGCAGCTGGTGTAATCCTCTCTAATTTCCACTGTGTTTCATGCTTCCATGATGATGCCAGCCTGTTTTTATTGCCTCACTCGTGTTATCAATCTAGTATGCAAAGACCTTATGGCATTTGACTATGGGCAATGCTGCCTTATTTTACTGAGTCTCTTCATATTCCTTTAAGTTTCGATTTGCAGCCTAATAATTTCTGACATGCATTGTATTAATGGACTCCAACTCTGCAAGACCATTTTCATGTTGATATATCTAATCCATTAAGAGTGGATTAATGTGTTCAAAGCTGGGAATAATAATAATAAAGGAAGCTTTCTAGTAAGGTTTTTAACTATAATTATTGTAACAATCTAATTATAGTGATTTTAATATTCAATTTTATTTTAACTGCACTGATTTTTACCATTATTTTTCTGTATCTCACATTATTTAATTATTGTAAGCCATCTAGAGTTTTTAGGGATCTATATAAACCGACAAATAGTAGATTTATGGTTTTATGAGCTCAAAACAAGTCCTTCTAAATATTTCAAATCTGGAACAATACAATTATGTTTTGGAGATTTTGGTCCAGCTTGCTCCAAAACACATTGGCTCTTTTGAATATTCTGGATGTACCGGGAATTATGATTGGCCTCTTTCTTGGACTCTCTGCCCCATTTCCTGCCACCAATGCTTCCAACCTAACAAGAACCTAACAAGAACTCAGGTTCCATTTATGAGCTAAATGCCAGAAGAATATGACCAAAGGTCTTACTGGAGATTGCCACCTTATGTTTTGGAGCGATAGGAATCTAGTTGCCTGTGTCAGGAAACAACCCATTCTCCCTACATCCTGTTACAATCATGTGTTTCCTTTCAAATGGCATGCTCCCAATAGGTGAGTAAGATCCCTCTTTAACTTTCAATATACTCTCCGTTTCCCTCCAGATGTATCATCTTGACAGAAATTAGCAATATCGGTCAGCAATCTTTTGAACAAGTACCTTAAGACTCTTGGATAGGGAGAGCAACATCTAACTAGCATGAACCCAAACTTCCCAGAGAGCCAGTCCAGCAAGATATCTCTATGTGATGGAATTCCAACTCTGTTATTTAAGGTTCTGCATTATGTGGCAAAGCATTCAAAATATGTATTTCCTCGATCAACAAGAATGAAAACCCACAGGCAACACAATTCATTGCAGCCACTTCAAAATGGTGCCTGGTTCTGGGATGGCGTCATACACCCTCCGTAATACATAGGGAACCTAAGGAGTGGAATGGCAAACTCTCCTTCCTAAAGGAGAACCAGCCATTTCACCCCTCAGCCTTCCTATACAGTATGGAGCCATATGGCATAATCCTTGAAGTGGGCACCATTTCAAAGAAGCCACAATTCATTGCAAAATGATGTCCACTTCTGGAATGGTGCTGGGGCTCTGTATAGGAACGCCTCGTGACTAAGCAGCTGCTTCTCAAAGGAGAACTACAGAAAAGATAAGACACAGAGCTGTGATGGGGCATCGGGAAGAGGATGTAGACCCAACAGGATGGGAAACAAACCCAAAGCTTGCAGGGACCCAGCAGGGTGGGATGGGAAAAAGACAGGTTGCAGTGTCCCTCTGGTCAAAAGTCTGAATTTTGTCCACATGACTGTGGAGGCACTGCAATAGTAGTAATTTTGGGCAGCAGTCTTCATTCAGTGCCATCATTTCAAATGGTTGCTGACTCTCTGTATTAGCTTAGACTGCTAAGTCATCTAATAAGCCAATGGTTGTATTGAAGATTTGTATGGTTTTTTTTTCTCTTCAAAGTTGAGCCTTTATCTTCCATTCTCTGTTGCCGCAGAATGGAGGCAGGCAACCTTTTTAAGACCAGTGAACATATTTGGAATTTTGAAATACAGAGAGCAAACTCAAATAATGACTTTTTAATGAAATAATTGGAAAAAAAAATTGTTATTAGCTTTCCATTTCTAGACCCTCAGAATGTTCTCTACTATACTTATTCTTAAATTAATTTTATATATATATATATATATATTCAGATGTATCAATTTTCATAGTGGTGACTGCTATTTGACACTGAAACTATTTAGTTTAAGATACTGCAGAAACTTGTAAATTGACCACTGCTTGGACTAGAAGATTCTTGTAATTTTGAATTCTAATATAAATGGCCTATGGAAGCATATATACAAACATTAATCAGAATTGTTAGTGGCAAATAATTCTTGAAAAGACAAATATTTAGCATCACACTAATATATTTTGCAATATAAGCATTGCTCAAACTATTGAAAGCTCTAAATAATTTCTGCCTTTCCAGTTTCACTCAGATACTTTCAGCTTCTAGAAGAATTTCAGAAAATTGAATTAAATTCAGAAATTTCATTTGAGACATTAAATTTCCAGGGAATAAATGATAAGCTGAAGAAAGCTCCACTAAAAGCTGGGGCTAATGACTGCAGTCGAATGAAGAGCTGGTTAAACAGACTAAATCTTCGTAATTCTCCATACAGTTGCTCCTCATGAAGAGACTGCCAGACAGAAGTCTTCAATGGGTTTAGAGCTCTGGGAGATGAGGAGACAGCCAGCTTGCTCAAACTTTGTTTGGCATCTTTGAAAGACATTGAGTTTGCATACTTCTTTTCCAATCACTTTTGAAAATTATTTAATTGCTTTTCAGCTACTAGAAAATTTTGGAGAGGTTAATTTACAGCAACAGATAAATTTCCTTCAAGTTTTAAATAGACCTTTTAAGAATTTTTTTTTAATAAACAGCAAAATGGTGATTAGAATTTTGATTTTGGAATGTTATAAATAGATAAAGAGTCCAGATTTGAAATACAATTTTGAAATTAATTATAATAATTCTTTCCATGAGGAAATGCTTAATTCTTTAAAAAAAACATGATAAATGGGACTTTAAAAGTTGGACACTAGAAGGAATTAAAGATTACAATTAAAGGGGAAGAACACTTGATTTACCAATACAGAATAAAGCAAAACATTTTAAGACTGGACACACTTGACTAAAGGTTAGGGTTAGGTTAGGGTTTTGAACAGTGGACCCAGAAATTTATTTCAACAAGGTCTGGCCTGTATTTAAAAAGTGTTATGGAAGAGGAACAACTTTTACCTGACAAGATTGAAAGTGAACTTAAAAAATGATATGTGAAAAGATGATACAATAAAGCCAGTGGATATCTTAATAATTAAAAGGAACATGCAAATAGCAAACCAAGAGGGTGACCTGGATAATCTTCCTACAAAAGAGGCTTATTAAAGCTTTAAAGATTTTTGGGAGAAGTGACAGAAAAAAACAAAAGAAACCAAGTTCTAGCACACTATTTAAAGGGATTAAAGATCAGGATTGTTAAACATAAAAAGAAGGAATATAAAGTTGGTTTATTTGACCAAGGTTAAAATAGATATATTGTTATCTCTGGTAACCCTTAATAGACTTTTGCTGATCAGGACTGAATGATGCGATTCTAAAGATTTGTTTATAGACAAGAGGTGAGACATGCGAAGAAGAGGTCATTTGTATTTTAAGAGAAGAGACTGTTTATACTTATGATGAAGAGGTAAGCTCTTTATTTATTTATTTTCCTTTTTCTTTACTATATTTTTTCTCTTTTCCATTTTTATCCACCTTCCATTTTTTAGTTTATATTAGTTTTATTGTTGCAATTGTAATTTTTAATAAAATTACTATAATGAGCCTTCACCAAACAAGGATTTTTCGAATGTACTGAAATCTAATTCCCAGTCAATGGCCAGACTGATTTAAATGGAATTCTGATTGTACTAGATATAGGCAAGAAGACTTGCATGTGCTTTCTGGTCTAAATCAGAAGGGAAGTAGAACCTAGTCAATTTAAATAATCCCAGAAAGCTAAACAGGACTGGACAGTGAATAGCATTTGTATGGGAAACTACCAGAAACTTTCTCAGGTTTTAGGTTAGAGATTTAGATTAGGGAAATCAAAAAAGGGAAGGCAAAAAAAGTTATGGCAAATCACATCCATGCTTTTGCCAAGAAAACATAGACAGTCACTAGGAGTCTAAGTCACCTCAACAGGGACTTTATTTTTTACTGTGGTCTAACAGCAAAAAATGAACTGAATCACTCCAAAAGGAAGCTCTTTAACCTTTTCCACCTTATAGAGAGTTGAAACCACCCTCAAGAAATTAGCAAAAGACCTATGCAGAATTTAGAACAGAAATCACTGACGGACAGAATAACTTTTGTTTTAAAGACCAGGGAAAGAAAAAGACAAAAAAGTGAGCTTTTGTGTACAATCCCAATACATTCTCCAGTTATCATGACAAGGATCAAGCCTATACACAGCAACACTAAACTTAACCCCCAAATTTAGAACGCAATCCAATCTATATTGTGTTTTACATTTATTCTTAAAGTAGGAATTCTAAGAAAGTAAGGTATATTTTGCTAACCTCGCTGCTTTGATTCAGTTCAGGCCACGTTTGATTAAGTGATGGCATTGATGGTGATTTGCTTGGCGGTGCTTCTGCTGGGGAACTTGCAAAACCTACCTCAGCAGATTGATCCCCCACTTCTGAAACAGGAACCACTACAAAAGCCAAACACAACATTGTAGCAATGTCTTTAAAACTGTGTGTTAATAGTTTCTTGCAATTTCATAATTAATGTATGGAAGCAAGCTTATAACATACCTTATTTATGAACATTTATCAACCTATTTCAGAGATTCCCCATTATGCAGAGAACTGTACTATATTTACTTTATTTTTCCAGCACGTTGTAGTACATTTAGCTCCGTTATAAATATTCTAGAACGGATTCCCCATGGGGTATTTGGAAAATCACAGGGTTTGTGGGCAGTTCTGTCATTTATCCTGCTCTCTGCTCCACTATATTAAAAAAGTCTTTCAATTTTACTGCGGATCAAAGTATCAGCGACCACATAGATTCCATTAATGACTCTAAGCCCTATGGACATTCTCAGAAAATAAAATAATAGTTAAGTAGTCCATTGTTTTATTTTGAACTATACTATGTAGTCTAGGGAAAGAGACAATAGAAACTAGTAGCAAGTGTAATTGGGCTAGAAAGTTTTGATTATTCTCTATATTGTATATGATATTTTAATTGTTCTTTTACATTTTTTTCCTGCTAATTCCCCTCATTTGTTTTGATACATGTATTGTGTAGGCTTTGTTCCTGCTGCATATTTCTTAGCATGACCAATTTACCTGCCATAAAGTAGCAATTTTGTTTTGTCAGCTCTGTGCTTAAAAGTCTTGAGCAGGCTATTTTTCTTTCAGCCTTATCAACTTGCCTTCCTGTAAAAATAGTGCTTTATGATTGGTTACATCAAAATTGGAGATATGCCCACCAGCCTGAAAATGCTGCAGAGTCTGGTAGAAAAGGGAAGTAACCAGAAAAGCTATATTGCACAAGGAGAGTTCTTTCGTGTTTTGGATTCGACCCATTTCATATAAGCATAGCAGAAATTTCAGGATGCTAAGGCAAAATAACCTAATATTTTCCTTTTTCAAAAGTTTTCCTTACAGTTTAAGTTTATACATTCCATATGTTAAGAACAAAGAATAGTTTCTTTGAACAAGAAAAAATTAGCAGCTTTCTAGTTTCGTATATTTGATGGCTACCAAACATGGGAACAATCATAGGGTGACTTTACTGGCCAGGATCTAGAAAATTATATGAGATTGCAAGAACTTTTGCAAAGATAGGGAAAGTGCAAAATTTCTGTTTTATTAATAGTCTCTTACGGAAACCTCTTCCAGAAGTTCTCCTTAAAGGATAGCCCTTGGCCACATATTATGTTATGCAGAAAAAAAGATGCTTGATTAGCTTCTTCATGGCATTAGAGCAGTGTTTCTCAACCTTGGTAGCTTGAAGATGAGTGGACTTCAACTCCCAGAATTCAGGGATTCTGAGAGTTGAAGTCCACCCATCTTCAAGCTTCCAAGGTTGAGAAACACTGCATTAGATTATAATCTTTAGATGTGCTCATTCTAAAATATCATTAAAACACATTGCTATTTCCTGGCTGTAAAAAGGAGGTTGCTAGGTTGGGGTATCATCGTTGCTTTGTTAACAGGGTGGATAAAAATCAATTATTTTTTTAAAAAAATCAAAAAAATTGGATTTTTTTGATTTAAATTGGATTTTTTTATTTAAATCAGATTTTTTTGATTTTTATTGAATTTATTTTAATAAAAAACTTTTGGGTAAAAATCTATCGTAAGATAGTTTTCTATTTAAAATACATAAATAATTTAGTTTATTCAGCATGAAATGGAGCTTAGTTATGTAGCACAAGGCTGTATATTCTGCAACACTGGGACTATCGGTGAGTCAACAGCGGGTCAAAGGAGTAGCAGAGATGACAGTTGCTCTTTAAAAATTATGATTTAAATCGAGTTGATTTAAATCAAGTCTTTTTACTAGTGATTTAAATCATGATTTAAATCATGATTTAAATCGACTCGATTTAAATCAAATCCACCGTTTGTTAATAATACAAACTATCCTCTTTATTTTTATATTTTAAATTGTTTGATTAAATTGTAACACAGGTGAAATATATTTTTCTCTCCAATAAGCAGACATGTAGCATTACAAGGATCTAAAAAACATTTTGAAGCGAGCTAAATAGTAGTTTCCCACAAAACAAAAATTTGAAGGACTTTTCACAGTAAGACAAAATCTCAGGTGAATTCCGTGTTTCCTCAGCATATTAGTTACTGAACACACATATAATTTACATGATAGAGAATAAGAGACTAGCTGGAAATATAAACTTTAGTCACCTAGAATCATCAACAAATGGGCAACCTTAGAAAGCAATAGAAGCAATAACAATTAATTGAAAGTTGAATAAGAGACATTTTATCTTCTGTAATAGAATGCTTGAGTAAATGCAAGTAGAATCAACTTACATTTTTGATAAACTATTGTAGTTTACATACATAAGGACAGAAGCTTCTGTCTCAAAAAGAAAATCAGTTTTATACAGACACACAAGAGAATGAAATAAAACAATTTCAACGCACATGCAGTACAGTCTGTGTTACACATCCTTTAGCAACTAATTTGTAGGGAAAAAGAAGTACCTGCTGAGTCCTCCAAATCAATCAACTTAGGCATTAAACTTTCAGGTAGTTTTTCCGGCAAGTCATAACCATTCTTCCTAGCAACCACTAGATGGAAAGCAGCACAGAACTCATCCAGTGTTAATGCACCATCTTTATCAAAATCTGACAGCTCCCTGAAATGAAATTATTCAACTTTATTGTACTTTTTTTTGGAAAAAAAAAAAAACCTTTTCTGTATTTTTCCGAAGTCTTTCAAATTGAGAAAAAGTAATTTGAAGAAGTTCTTCCAAATAACCAGATATTTTTCCAAGGTAAACATTAGCCTTTCATAGTCTGGCATATTGTATTTAAAACACAATTAATTGAATCCTGAGAATCCATGAGCTCCTGGAATGCTCCTATTGGATGAAGAGTAATCAGTTAAAAAAAAACCTGAAAAATTTATCCGAAGAGTTATAAGAGTACTTATAGGTACTCTACACACAGAGGTGATGCAGGAGAATTATTAGGAAGGACAAACTGTCAAAAATCATTTTCCATGCCTCTTTGCCAAAAGGAGTTTGTATAGGTAGTCCTTGACTTACAAGCACAATTGAGCCCCAAATTTCTGTTGCTAAGTGAGACATTGAGTTTTGTCCCATTTTACGACCATTCTTGCCCCAGTTGTTAAGTGACTCACTGCAATTGGTAAGTCAGTAACCTGGTTGTTACGTGAATCTGGCTTCCCCATTGACTTTACTTGTCAGAAGATCACAAAAGGGGATCACATGATCCCAGGGTACTGCAACCGTCATAAATGTGAACCAGTTGCCCAACATCTGAATTCTGATCACATGACCATGCTGCAAAGGTGAAAAATAATCATGTCACTTTTTTCAGTGCCGTTGTAACTTTGAATGGTCATTAAACAAACTGTTGTAATTTGAGGACTACCTGTAATGTATCAGAAACCCATCTATTCACACAATATTAACTCAGAATCAAAGCCGTGGCATTCAGTATTGTGGAAACCTTGAAGAGAACCCTAATTTTCTGCTGTGCAAGAAAAGCTAATAACTACCATGTTTCCCTGAAAATAAGACCCTGTCTTATATTTTTTTGAACCCCGAAATAAGGGCTTGGCCTTATTATCGGGGGGGGGGTGTCTTATTATTTTGGGGGTGCATGAGGCGGCGAGCGTGGCCACCTCATGGTTGCTGTGTGTTGCGCTGCTATGGCAGCGCAACACAGCTGCTTGTCAGCTGTTTGTTGTTCGGGCGGGGGAGAAGCAAGACACATGGAGCTAGACAGGGCTCGCTCCACGCATCTCGCTTCTCCTCCACCCCACCTGCCACCCCCCTCAATAAAGAGCCGGGCACTGTGGAAAAGAGAGCCGGGCGGGCGTGGGCTTTGGGCATTTGGGCTTTCAGGAGTTGTCCAGCAGAGAGGCGGAAGCAGGGCGGGAGTTTGCAAGTGATCGTTCCCCCTTTGCCTCTCTCCCAAAAGTGCTCCTCGGGCGATATCCACTTCTGCAGCAGGATACTCGTGCCTCGCACTGGCCTTCCGAAGGGTACCATAAGCAGCTACCCACAATTTTTTAACCTTATTTCGTCCAGATCCACGTGGCCAGTACGGTCAGGATGAAATAAGGGTAAAAAAATTGTGGGTATCTGCTGCTACGGTACCCTTCAGAAGGCCGGCGCGAGGCACATGGGGTGCATTGCTTGGCCTCCTGCTGCAGAAGTGGCCGCAATCGATGGCAAAAACAGCTGTGCATGCTGGAAGCGCTGGCCGGAGCAGCACCCATGACGCAGCTGGTCTGTGGACAGGCTTGCCTGCTGTGACTGTCACCATTAGGTAAGGAGGGTGCGAGGCATGTGGGATGCGTTGCTTGACCTCCAGCTTCTTTTGCAGCCGCAACTGGCTGCAAAAGTGGCCACGCTTGCTGGAGGCGGCGGCCTGAGTGGACCCATGAATCAGCTGTGAATGGCAGCATGAGCAGCTCAGCTGATCAGACTGCCTCCCATGCCCACCCCGTCACTAGGGCTTATTTTTGGGAGAGGGCGTATATTTATGCCCACGCAAAAAATCAGGCTTGGCCTTATTTTTGGGACATGTCCTACTTTCGGGGAAACATGGTATTAAATTTGGACAACTATTTCTTAAAGAATGTGAAGGGAGCATCTTATCCAATGAAGCATTCAAAACACTTGCCCCTTTAGACTTGCAGTGATAGGTAGTATGGAAAGTACATCAAACTAAGCTACTATCTTTTCCCTTAAAAATAGTAGGCAAAGTGATGCCATCTAGATTACAACTCTTATCAGACATTAATGAAATTGTAGTCCCAAATATTTAGAGTGACATGAAGGCATGCATAAAAAATATCATTTGAACAATAATTCAGACTATGTCATATTTACTTCATACAGAAAACAAAAGGCAGAGGTTGTGATTAATTTGTTCTACTGATTGGAGCTAATACATGTAATCCTTGTTTAGCGGTTGCTTTGTTTATTAACTGTTCAAAGTTTTGATAGTGATGACAAAGTAATTTCAGGACCAGTTCTCGCATTTATGACCTTCACAGGTCTATAAAGCAAAGGAAAGCTGAAGTAAGATCACAAGCACAGTTGCAGTTTCACTTAGCAATCACTTTGCTTAACAATGAAATGGTCAACCCAGTTATTGTCACTAAATGAGACCACCTGTAATTTGGATATAAGTATAAAGTTTTATGTTTGTTTTCTTGGTAATTACAACAAAATTTAATATGAGATCATGTCAAGTGGAAACTTACTCAATTTTAATGGAAATATGATTAAGCTTCTAAATTACATTTATTTTTAAGACAAGAGGTTTCAATGTAAATGGTAGCATTGATTGCTAGACATTTCAGTTTTATTATCAAATAATCTGGGCTCTTAGAACAATGAGTTTAAATAATTATACTTTAACTTACCAGATGTGTGAAAGTTCAAGAATAGGAAGCTTTGATTTTGTGAAAAATTCTTTAGCTGCAGAACCTAAAAATATTAAATTTATTTATTTATTTGTAAAACGTATTGGCCCACCCATCTTACCCAGAGTAATAATGTTTGACTTTCAAACTAGAATTATAACCTTAACTGTAAATTTAGTATAAGCTTTATGACACAAAAGCTAGTAAGTTTTTAAAGATACACTAGGCTGGGGGCTGGGAGCATAAGTAGTTCAAAAATGCAAATGTAGTTAATAATTACAAAACATTAAAGCTAAGAAATTCACAAAGGGCTTACACAATATTTAATAGGCTCTCTTATAAATAAAGAATTCTCTCTATTAACAGAAGGATCTCTGATCTAGCAGAAATTAATACCAAAAGCTGCATGGAAATTTCTTTCCTCACAATCTCATTCCCTGGCTCAGTTTTCTTAAAGGTGCAGAAGAAAATGAAGTACTATTTTAGTGACATCTTTAGTTATCACATGCCAGGAATCTCTTTACTGAAATCTGAACTATCGGTATGTAGATTTTGTAAAATCAGTCTAATATTAGATAACTATACAATTATTCATTGTATCATATGTGCTTAAAAAGCTTACCTGGAATATATCCATTCAGATCAGGCTGAATAGTTTTAAACTGATTTACATAATATTGCCTTTGTTCATCTGTTATTTTCCAAGGATCATCATAACTACTCGACTGCCTACGAATTTCATTTGTTGTTGTAGCTGATGCTACAGTTCGTACTGTAGTCTGGTCCTGCAATAAAATATTTGTCTTCAGCATTTTCTAGTTATATTGACAATCTTCTGTATTTATTTGCCTCGGAGAAGGAAACAATTATAGACTTCTGACTAGTGATGAGTAGACCCATGATTTTTTCTTTCAATATTTAAAGGGTCCTTAAGACTGTGAGCTCAGCCACCTACTCTTTAGTTCTATGGTCATCCTGTCTAACTAAAACTGCCAGCCGTGGTGGCGCAGTAGTTAGAATGCAGTATTGCAGCTAATTCTCCCAATTGCCAGCAATTCGATTCTCACCGACTCAAGGCTGACTCAGCCTTCCATCCTTCTGAGGTCAGTGAAATGAGGATCCAGATTATTGGGGGCAACATGCTAACTCTGTAAACCACTTAGAGAGGGCTGTATGGCACTGTGAAGCGGTATATAAGTCTAAGTAGTATTGCTGCCTTGTGGGAGAGCTTTTGTGGCAATGAATTATTCCTTGAATAAGAGGGTCTGACCCTTTCCTAAGAAGCACTACTGGATCACATCATACTGGACAACTAATTTCCCCACTTTTTTCAGTCAGGATTCAGGGTTGGGGTAGGGGATGGCAATGGCATTGGTTATGATTTTGGATATTCTCTGGCGGCAGCAGGATGGAGGTTGTTCTCAACTAGGAGGGTTTTTGCATAGCTTTGTATTATGTACCTGTGGTGCCCATATCTGGATCGGGAGACTGTGCTCACTGATGCCCTGGTCACCTCTCAAATGGACTACTTTAACACAGTTTACATGTGATTGCCCTTGAAGAGTATCTGGAAGGTCGGGCAGGGTGTAAAATGCAAAGGCGTGGATAACGTGTTGCCTGAGAACAGTACACATTACACCTCTGCTCTATGAGTTGAACTGATTGCCAGGTTACTTCTGGATCCCATTCAAGGTGCAGCTTTTGACCTTTAAGTCCTCTATGGCATGGGGCTGGGTTTGAGGGACAAACTCCATGCAATTACATCTGTCCATTGCATCAGGAAATATGCTGCAGGTCCAATCTATGAAAGGGTTTCATCTGGCAAGAGATGGTCTTATTTGCCATGGTACCTGCCCTCTGGAACATCATCCCCAGGATGAGGTGAGATTGGTCCCATTCTTGTCATCTGTTCAGAAATCTCTTAAAGCATAACTGGCTGGGTCAGCAGGCCTGGAGATCTCAATGAAATGATTTGATGAAATGGCTGCGTTGTTTTTAACATAAATTTTCTCTGTTATTTTATTATTAATTATTGATGATGCCTTTTAATTGTAGTTTTAATATTCGGAAGTTGTAATTGCTTTCACTGTAAGCCACTTACAATCCCTCTACTCTCGAGATGGGCAGATATATGTGACAGATAAATAAATAATTTGAAATGACAACAGCCATATAAGCAACATAATGTTATGAAAAGTGTGCACAGAAGTTTTTTTAAAAAATTAAAAAAACAACGAAAAGCTGACAGCTGGTTTTACAAATGAGTTTTAAAATTAAGATTCCTTGACCAAGAATCTTCAGTGATAGAAGTTCAATGCCAGATTACATTCTGAGAAAGGAAGAATGAATTAGAGCTTAGTCTTAAAAGACATGTGAAGACACAGCACAAATCTTTAGCAGCAATATGAAAATGACTGACGTTATTTGGAATGGAGCAAATAAAATAATACTAATAAAATGTCACACCTGGACAGAAGCAGGATGCATGGTTAAAATAGTACTGGTTGGTGTATTATCTGCAAAACTGACCCAGTTTTCTTGATGCGGTGGAGGTGAATGGCCAGACCACACTGAATCACCGGAATTACAGGAGCCTAAAAATCAGAATGCATGTCAGTTTCAAAATCAGTATAACAGTCTATTCAAGAAATGTCTTTCTTGAAATACTTTTAAGAAGTTAGCTGAAACAGTGGTTTGGTCAGGGGCTTAGAAAAAATTAATGCATGATCCTAACAATATAGATTCAAATGAAATTTGAGTTCAACCACATACTCTTTTTAACTCTGCCTTCTTGATTTCCTAATTCACATACAGATTTCAAAATAATTCTCCCAGTAGCCTGCTAATTGTGTTGATCATTTTTACTACAAAGATTGCTTAGCGAGACTTGGTTTTCTAATCTGTCAGTCAGACATGTTACAATTTGCAGTTTTCTAGCAGAACAAATTTGAATGTAACAAATTGGGCATCCCAAATCTGAATGTGTAACAAGAGCAGTGAATGAGCTTAAGACTTACTCCTAATAAACAAAACTTTAATACAACAATGATATGCTGTCAGAGATACTTTCTATAATAAGTATCAACCAAACCATGGTTGCAATGGGTGATTCTTTCACTTTTAACTAGATAAGAGGCTTTGGAGCTTCTTTTGATGACACACTGTTGGGCGTTTCCTAGTTCAGTAGAATAAAACTAAAATTCCCTGGTTGTGTTAGCTATGAATCCCCAAATCTGAGGATTCCATTCAAAACTTATGCCAATATTTTCTACTAAACTTTTAATTTCCCACAGACAAGTAAGGTACAAAGGGCAGAAGCATTACAAATCTGGGTTTCAAGCAAAGACTAAGAAACATATTCCCATATTCACCCAAAAGCCGTATCAGTTTGCACTAATTGTTCCACTGTGCCTGCAGTTTGTACTCTAAAATGAATTAACTAACCTGCCCCCACCCTTCTGCAAAATAGGGAGGACCATAAAAATAAGGCATCATCAAGCCCATACCAGTGCCTAGTTAAGCATATAACTTTTCTTTTTATGTACACCGAGAGCATATGCACCAAGACAAATTCCTTGTGTGTCCAATCACACTTGGCCAATAAAAAATTCTATTCTATTCTATTCTATTCTATTCTATTCTATTCTATTCTATTCTATTCTATTCTATTCTATTCTATTCTATTCTTCTAATCAGGCAAATTAAAAGTAGTAGATTTTATCTCCAGAGGGCACTTCATTTTTGCTTGTTTTTTTTTTTTTTTTAGGTAACAGTGGATTAAGGAAGAAAAGTCAATATTGGAAAGAAAAATAAGCATTTCTCATGTACAACTATCTATATTCTCAATACTTAATTTTACAAAAAAAAAAAATCATGGATGCTGACACTAGATAGATGCTTTTTAGCAAATAATGTGAACATGGGAAGTACCTCTATTAAAAAAAACCCCACAGAAAGCAGTGTACAAAACAAGGATGTAAAAACTATAATTGTGGGTTACTTGTTCCTCCTCGCTGCAATAATTTTCAAGTCACTGCAATAGTGTAATGTTTAATGTGATAGAAGGAAAAATTATGAAATATATGGCCATTAACATTTAACTGATGAGTCATTGCCCCCCACGGAGAGGGTTCGCAACTTAGGCGTCCTCTTGGACTCACGGCTGTCTTTAGAAGAACACTTGACGGCTGTGGCCGGGAGGTCTTTTTATCAGGTTCGCCTGATTCGACAGTTGCGTCCCTTTCTGGATCGGGACTCGTTAAAAACGGTCACTCATGCCCTCGTCACTTCACGCCTGGACTACTGTAATGCTCTCTACATGGGGCTCCCCTTGAGGAGCACCCGGAGGCTCCAGCTGGTCCAGAATGCGGCCGCGCGGGTAGTTATGGGAGCAGCATGGCGCTCCCATGTGGCTCCCCTCCTGCGCGAGCTGCACTGGCTCCCTGTGGTCTTCCGTGTGTGCTTCAAGGTCTTAGTTACCACCTTTAGAGCGCTCCATGGCTTAGGACCGGGGTACTTACGAGACCGCCTTCTGCCACCAATAGCCTCTCACCGCCCAGTACGCTCCCATAGAGAGGGGCTTCTCAGGGTGCCGTCAGCCAAACAATGTTGACTGGCGGCCCCCAGGGGGAGAGCCTTTTCTGTGAGGGCACCCACCATCTGGAACGAGCTCCCCCCAGATACAGAAGATTCTGGATCTGCGCACTTTCCGCCGTGCCCTCAAAACATTCCTGTTTCAGCAGGCCGGCCTGGCCTAACTTTCCCTTTTTGATTTTTGATTTTATTTTAAACTGGAATGTCTTGAATTATCTAGGACCAGAATGTTTAGTATATTTTAATTGGTTTTTTATTATTAACGTTTGTATTACATGTATTTTTATCGTTCGCTGTTCACCGCCCTGAGTCCCTTAGGAATAGGGCGGTATATAAATTTAATAAATAAATAAATAAATAAATAAATAAACTGTAATTCATTTGAATTACATGCAATTTATTTTTTGTCCCAGATCCATACATTCTTTGAAGTACAGTCCTTGGCACACTATAATGAAAGACTAACTCTGGCTTCCCTTCATTATAAAATGTATTCCATGTGATAAAGATATATTACCTACTGTAACGGTGCAGTAGAGTAACTAATATTCTGTTAAAAATTAAAGTGCCATGATAATCAGATCGTACATACATGAATCAGCAAAGGGTAATTTGGGAAAACCAGTGTACCTGTTCTGCCCCAGCTACGGACCCCAGAGAACGCAGCACACACATAGTCCGTACAAACTTTAGTTTACTAATTTAAATCAGTCTTTTCTGAACAAAGGCTGTTAATTTAACTTCATTAACAGCCAACAAGAATCCAAAGAATAACAACTCAATTCTGAGGCACAATATTTCAGATAACTGTAATCTTACTGTGGTTGGCAGAATGCCCAGAAGCAATTTGCAGGAAAACTGATGAGAGAAACAAGACCCGAATCAAACATTTTCTGGAATCAAGACGTGAAGGAATGTGAACGAAGTTGTTTCCTGCAAATTGCATCAGTCGTCGTCCTTCTTTAAATAGGCTAGGGGAGTGGCCAATTAGCCCCAAGACTTATTCTCGAGGAGACCTCCTCTTGAGAAGCCACTCCTGCCTTTTCGCAGCTCTGTGCGCTAGTGCATTGAGAAGAGGCTCCTCCTCTTCTTCCTCTTCACTTATGGGAGCTTCTGGAGGTTCTGAAGGCCCTGGCTGAATCCCCGCCTCTGGTACCACATCTTCTCCAGCCTCCTCATTGTCTGACTCAAGTGCCAACCGCACAGGCTGCTGGCGCAGCACCACACCAGCCTCCTTGCTGTTGGAATCAGATACTAACTGCACAGGCCACTGACGGGCCACAACAGTACTGTATTCCTAGTAAAAGCCCGTAGTACTGCTGTTGTCAGGTTCCCTTTACAATCATTCTTGTCCCTCCAATCTCCCTACAACACTCTTCTTACTATTGTGGTGACCGATTTAAAATGGATCAAGTACTGTACAAAGGCCAAGACATCATAGCACTAAAAAATAGTATAACCAGAAGTATTACTTATAGTAGTTAGTTACTACTATAACCAGAAGTGCTACACTGATTTCTTTACTGTTTCCTCTCTCATCCCTTCTCTACTCCACAGACATGAGGGAGACACAAATCTCACACACCTAGAGTGCGATGACTGATTGATTAAAGCCACACCTTTGGAATTAGCAGGAGCAGCATGGTTGCCTGATCCTGGTATATTCTCTAGGGTCAATAATAGTTCATACAGTTAATCCCGAGAGCAGCTGTCTTTCCCATCCCCACCCCCCACCCCTCCCACCCAGAAACTGGCATGGTTTCCAAACAGTGGAAAGATTATGCAGGTCCAGATAAAACAAGGGATGGGCACATGATAAAGTGGCATGACTGGTTATTGTCATTTATGAATTTTTCAGCAAAAGATTTGGCTTCCCTCAATGCACAAATAGCCAGGAAGAATATAATATTTGTGTGATATTGAACTATTCAAGCGCAAAAAAAGCTGAAGTACTAAAGAGTCAAGCATCATGTGGACACACTGTAGAGATCCTTTGAAAATAAAAAGCCACCGGACAATAAAGAGGATTGTCTCACTGATTTCTCAGAATGAGAAAGGATGGGAGTTTGCACTGGTGCAGAGAAGAAGGTAAAGATTATTATCACTAGTGTCGGCATTGCCTGAAGTGTATGTATTCAAGACATGAAGTATGGTGAAAATAACTTTTGTGCATATCACATGCAAGTCCACCCCATTATAGAGGCAGGCTACCTCAAATTACTGGAATCCCTAATTAGTTATTAAATTGTCTGAAAGGAATTTCACAAGCCCAAACAATGCAAGAAGACATTTCTTAATACCTGATTGTGCTTCATTAAACGGAGCCCAGAAAGGCCCTGGTCCAGCAACAGATCGCTCATTGTTTCCTCCACTAGGATGGCGGCTGTGTTTCCTCCATGAATGGGGAGAAGTTGGTGGAGACTGCTGTGGTGAAACGACTGGAGATGTAGACTCCTAAAAATAAAGAAAACTAATAAGTGCTGAAATGTATTTGTAAAAATCACTCTTCTTGGGTAAAAACTAGAATCCCAGAAATGGATTCCTATTTATATAATTTCTTCCCTTCCATCCCCTCTGAACCAGATTATGGGTAGTCCAAAGGTGATTTACAAGTGGTGCTTACACTTACAACAATTTCAGTGTCCTGCAGACACGTCATTGGCATTTGTTATCTTTCCAGTTGACTTCCAACAAGCAATCAATGGCATCGCCAGCAGTTAGTTGTAGTCATGCGATGCCTCACTTAACAACCATGAATGAGTCACCTAATTCAAAGGTCCTGCCATCGCTAAATGGAGTGGTCACGTGTAGTTTCCTTAATGACCACCTTATTTAGCGACAGATTTGCCAATCCCAATTACAGTCATTAAGTGAGGACTACCTTTAGGAGGGTACATGGGGAGCTTCAGGAAATGAATAATTTTACTCCCCTCACTTTATCTAGAAGAAACTGTTTCTGCTGCTGAATATATGAAGCTGGACATCACCCAAGATACCATTTTATTAGAATAGGTTAACACGTTTTGAAAGGGACTATCTTTTTGATTGCAGTACATTACATGAATAAATTAATATCTTAGCACTGAACAATTAAAATACTCCACCAAATAATGACAGATGCAACTAATAAGACAACAGCAATTGTCAAAGATTCTTGTGGAATCAAATTTAGTTCTCTTAATTGAGAAACAAATGAATGAAACAAATCAAAAAATCTACAGGGAATTACATGCTGGGTGAAAAGTCATGCTGCATGAACCAATTACCACTTGAGATTTTTCTTTGCTGCTTTTCAGCAAAATCTGCTCAAAAAATTGGACAACCAGCAGATGTTAAGGGTATGGCAAAGAAGGGAGAACTGCTCTATTCTAGCTTTGTTGATGAAAACCATTCCGACAATGTCTATGGAGATTCTCAGTCATCCAGGTCATGGTTGTTCCAAAGATGCTTTTTCCAAGAGGCAACTGGACTTTCTGTTTTTCTTTGAAAACGTTTCGCTTCTCATCCAAGAAGCTTCTTCAACTTTTCTTCAAAAAGAACTGAAGAAGCTTCTTGGATGAGAAGCAAAACATCTTCAAAGAAAAACCAGAAAGTTCAGTTGCCTCTTAGGATAAAAAAACACCTTTGGGACCTTCCAACAATGGATTTTACTCTTTACATGAAACATTCACAAAGGATAGTAATTTGTACTCAAAAGTTCTGCAGACATAAAATCTTCAGAAACGTTTCTCAGTTCAAAGCTGTCTGATACTCAATAGACAGGATATCACTACAATTTTTCCAGCGTTTACTCTCTTATTTCAATTGTTCTCCCCCACACTTGTGGGGGAGAGGTGACAGGAAATACTCTTTCAAGAATATATTTTTGTTAACACAATCTCTGGATCAAGCCCAGCTTGTTTAAACACGCCTGGTTCCAAAGCATTCAGTAACAATATATTATATACTTTTAATGGAATTATATTACATGTTCTGCTGCCACCACCATATACAGAAAACAGTTGAATGCATAATTTTAATACAAATTATAATCTGTCATCTCTATGATACAGGTTTTCAGTTGAAGGAAGTCAGATGAAAAGTAATCAATAAAGGCTGAATATATTTAGCAATCTGTTCTAAGCAAGGTAAACAACTTGGTCAAAACAGTATTACTATGGATACATGAATTAGGGCTGTGCAAAGCCTTCCAAAGAGGTATTTTTCTGTGTGGGAACATGTAGGAAGCATCTTTCCTGAAATAATTAAGGGAGTTATTTACAAGAACTGCATGGAAGCTAATCCCAGATATTTGCACATGTATACATGGACATCCATTTTGCTTCACTTCAGCCTTTGGAATTTATTGACTCTATATACTTACTGCCAATGATTTTCACTTTTTTTCCTTGATTTTTAACCTGCTTTTTCTCCCTGATGTTGGATTAATTTTCTTTAAGTTAAGTAAAGTAAATCATAGATGGCAAATCTTTACATCCAAACTGTTCCTGAGACCAGAGATCTGGACCAACCTAATTCTATGCAGATGACTGCAGGTTTTTAATAATTCTTCCCTACAAAATATGTCTTAGACCAGGTGTGTCTAATTTGCAGCCCCATGGGCTGCATGCAGTCCTGGACAGCTAGTAATGTGGCACCACAAGATCATAAAAGTATAAAAATAATAAAGGAAGTTTGATTTGTATATACATTAACTATATTATATATTTTATATGCAGCCCAACAAAATTCCAACAAAAGGACTGTGGGGGCAATAAGCTGACTTTGTATAAAATATACAAAAGTATGAAGGCTATTGCTTAACGCATTGTAAGTCGCCCTGAGTCTCCGGAGAAGAATGGCATATAAATCAAACCAAAAAAAAAAATCGTTTTTGCTCAACGTGGCACAGGCAAGCCAAGAGGTTGGATAACCATGTCTTAGACGTTGATAAATTTGATGCCAACTAAAATGGCACTCAAGATCAACAGAGGAAAAAACTGCAACTTCTCAATACAAAGGAGATAGCACAAGGTTATTATTATTCAAATATATAGATAGCTGGAAAAATGGAATTTAAAATAGTGGTTAAATGTATTGCTTAAACAACAGAAAGTTCAGTACCTGAAATCCCCAGTACTATTGCCTGGTACCCAATTTCTTAGACAAGTCAAAGTAAATTAGAGGTAGCTAAGCTTGCAACTATTGTTCTTTTTATTTTAACACGTAACAGAACTAGACATGAAAGACACATGTACCCCTAAGTCAGCCTCTAGATTGCATTACCTGTTGATCTGTAGCTGGACGTTGCTGAACTATATCATGGCTCACAGAGCCCTTTTTAGCTTGTATTCTGCCTGGTGGAGGAGGAATTGCACCTGAATAGGAAGATGAGTTATCAGCATCTGAAGAATACAAGGATGAATGCCTTAATTCTTGCTCATTCTTTGACATCACAAATCGGGGTAGGGGGAGGTCTTTCACTGTCAAAATAAGATGACATGGATTAAGAAACTTATATTACAAAATTCTTTTGACTATTAAAATATAATTTTACTTTGAGCTGTTAAAATTCTTTGTTAAATCATATTGTATTATGATTACTTACTATGAAAGTAACTAAGATTGTGACAGTTCAGTTAAGATCCAAAGAACAATTATCTTTAGTATCAGTATTTTCAAATACAGAAACATCAATACAGGTAATCCTCGACTTACAACAGTTCCTTTAGTGACTGTTCAAAGTTACAATACTGAAAAAAATGACTTAAGACAGTTTTTCAGTTATGATCTTTCCAGTATCCTCATAGTCACGTGATCAAAATTCAGACACTTGGCAACTGGTTCATATTTATGACCGTTGCTGTGTCCCAGGGCCATGTGATCCCCTTTTATGACCTTCTGACAAGCAAAGTCAATGGGGAAGCCAGATTCATTTAAGAACCAGGTTACAAACTTATCTACTGCAGTGATTCACTTAACAACTAAGGCAAGAAAGGTGGTAAAATGGGCAAAATTAACTTAACAAATGTCTCACTTAATATCAGAAATTTGGGGCTCAAATGTGGTCGTAAATTGAGGACTACCTGTAGTTCAATCTAAATATAAAATTTAAATATTTTAATAGGGATAATTTATTTTCAAAATTTCCTGAAACTTCAAACACATCTTTTTATCATTTAATATTTTGTGTTTGTTTGCTAACAAACATCAGAAGGCATTTAATTCATAAATATAGATACAGGAGTGCTGTAACAGCAAGAACCTTCCATGAAATAAGAAAATGTAACTTTTAATACAATGTACAAACATATGTAGTTTTGAATCATTTTTGTCAATAAATAAATGAACAAGTATTATGTTTTTGAGTCATTTGTTTAATTGGGTTCTCTTGATCTAGTTTTAGGTCTTGTGGGTAGAACAGTTGATGTTTTAGGTCACATTTATGCAGAAATATTGAAAATTCAAAAGGATCCACAAACCTTTAAAAAACACTGCATCTAAACAGTAAGACATGGTATCTTAAGAAGATGTATCATTGTAACTTAACGCTGAGCTTACTTGTATCAATATTACAACTTCCCAAATCCAAATTTAAAGCATTTTAAAGTAGTCTTGACCAACTAAGCTGGTGAACCTCAGGAAGAAAATCAAAATAGTTTCAATTCAGTTTCATGGAAAAGCTTGCATCTATTAATGGAACAATTGATGCCTATTTTAACAGCAAGCTCTCAAGTTTGAAAAGTGTAGTGTTGCAGCTATCTCCAATAGCACTTTTTAAAACATTTAATCCACTGCAAATTTTTTGATATCTAACTAAGTATCACAATCTGGGCTTTTAGCTTGATAACTCCAAAAGCACCTCAAGCACGTAACAGCACAATACTTGAGTAGCCAGGTAATAGAATGCACACATTTCTCTGCTTGTGCTTTTTTCCACATGCTTCTATACTTACTGACAATGAATGCAGAAATCTTATTAGGCATTACTATTTCATTCTTTTATAGGTTCACTTATTTATTCCTATTTCCCACTACAGGAAAAATGATTAAATAAGTGCCGACTTTGAGAATAAATTAAAGTGAAAATCAGGTGAAGCTGTTTGACATTCCTTTTCATATAAAAAATAAAATTCTGCATTTTCCCTTACACTTAAAAATGCATGACAATCTTAAGGTTGAAAGGTTTACGCATATATATATATATATAGGTTTTACATACGTGTAAGAAGTCTAAAACTCGGCTTTCTTTTTTTGTTGCTCAAGAGCTGGAATTCTGTGATTGTTCCACTTTCTTGTGATAGTAAGAACACTAACACAAGTCATGCGTGAGACACAGTTTTATGAGTTCCTTATTTCATTTTTGAGGAACTAGCCCAGTAATATATCATAGTCAGACAACAGGCATATTTTTAAATTTGATTTTAATATTATTTCAAGGCTTACCAGAATTTAAACTTTCCATTCGTAGTGGAAACCCAGACTGAGCCACTGCAACAAGTTTCAAAGCAATGTAGAATTGGCTTCTTCCGAAGTATCCAAGTCTAGTTGCACCACAAAGTTCCATGATCTACAGACAGATCAATATACACAACATGAGATTGTATCTGTCTATAAAGCTTAGTATTAATATATGCATTCTATCAAAGGAATAAATAATTCCAAAATCCAAAGTTAATGATACGAGCCATTTCTCAATAGCTACATATTGTAATAAGACAATTTTGCAATGCATGGGTGCATATTACTTGTTAATTTTCTCATAGATAATATGCATGCAGCACTGCACAGTGTAGTCATGCATTTGTAACTGTAATGAAAAATTTGGCAATCTTAAATGCACATTTTAATAGCCACTGATTCAAATAAAATAAAATCCACAAAAAGGGCAACAGAATGAATATAGGTGACTGAAATCATACAAATGTTCACCACAAATTGCAGCCCTTTATTTAGCAATGATTCTGTTCACCAATAATGCTAAAATATTATAAGGTACTAATTTCCAAGTTTCTGCTCAATATGTAACTTAAATATGCTTTATGGTACTTAACAGCTTAAATTCCTGTTCAGTGAAATATCTTAATTTTGCCAGTTTGAATACTAGTACCCAATATTTGTTACGGCAATATATTTTGCTGTTTCCACCAGAAAAAGAACCTAATTTTTATTAATTTCTGAGAATCTGAACTTCAGTTTTTAATCATAAATTTTTCTGACAGCAGCATGCTGTACAAGCAAATCTACCAGAAACAATCTGTAATGATCTGACTGACAATATCAACATCAAGTCAATTAGCTATGGGAACCATTACTGCTCAGCCACTTCACTGAAAATTTGGTTTGAAGCATTCTGGAATCTGTCATACCAGATAAAAAAGGCTGGGTACTCAAAACCTGAATTATAACAGTAGTAATAAAACTGATGCAGTTTGATTTGATTTGATTTTAAAAGGTTCCAGTACACACCGAAAGGTTTACCTAGATAAATATATATAAAAACTACAATAAATTTAATATAAAACAAAAGGGTCTTCTGATGCAACATAAAAAGGGTATAATACAATATGTCTTGGTGTGACAAAATATATTTCACAGACTTGTCCATTAAGTCATCAAGCATCAAGTTCAACTTGGAGGGGTCTTTATTTTAGCTAAGAAATACCACTGAATTCCTAGAGACAGCAGAGAAAGGACTATCTGTAAGACGTGTTTATTTTATCATAATATGACTAGTAGACTGCAAGCAATCTCTCTTCTTGTGTAAGTTTAGTCTCTGCAACAATTTGTACAAAAGCTGCAAACGAATATATAATAGCATTGCAGGATTAGGCACATTAAGCAAGATTAATTCAATCCCACAAACTCCAATATTTTGGGCTGAAAACTGAGATAATTATATTTTCTCTGACTCTAAACATAGTATTGATTCAAAGTTTCTTCATTAATTAGTTGATAAATGCTTTAAAAACAAGAATCCCTAAGCAGGTAAATTCTTCATATTCTTGAATTCTTTTTGTAATATGTAAAACACAAACATTAATTGTATCTCACTTTAGAGAAACTATATTTATATTCTAGATTTTTTTAAAAAAATTGTTATCAGAAATTTAAGGCAGTAGTAACTGAAACATTATCCCAGTTTCAGCAAGAAAGCCATGTGCTATTTAAGTATAACTCATAAAGTTCCAGTTCAATTAATAGCAGCTAAACATGATACAGCATTTTAAGTGACTACTTACTGCATCAGATGTACCCATAGCTGTACAATTTTCTAAAAAATACCATTAAAAGAAATTCTTCACATTTGAACCTTAAGGTAAAATTTGCTTTTACATATATTAGACAAGTTAGGGAATAGACATACCAACCATTCTGGATTTTTTGCCCAATTCCTTAACAATAGCTCTGTTGTAATTCATCCTAAGCAGGGAGCTTAGGATGGAAAAGCTGGAAACATTGTGAGACATTGTCTTACTGTCTTATAGAAATACAATTGGAGGATTTTTTCCCCTGAATATTTTTCTACACAGTTCTTAGCTACATATGGACCTTTTTTAAAAGACCCGAACTCTCTTTTATCAGTTTCTCCATTCCTACCAGATGTGGTTCACTTTTCAGAAAGTTAGTCTGCTGATGAACAAACAGATGGCATGATGGTCCAGTTGCTTTTACATAAAAATAAAATAAAATTTGATACACTTCTGTCCACCAATCACTCCATACAGGTAATCAAATGTTTAATCTATGAAGTTCTAACAGAATGCACTGAACTTCCTGCTCACATGAAACTGCCTAAGCTTCCACTACATTTTTTTTTCATAGAATAGAAATGATGGGACACCTAATTTGACCCCATTTTTATTTTCCATAATTCCTGTTTTGCATTACTGATAGGCTAAAAAGAGGCATAGTCCAACCTTCCCTTATTTATTCTACTGGGGTTTTCTGTTAATAATTTTTCTACTGCATGCTTTCTTTTCAACTAGACTCCAAAAATGCAAGATAGTTTACTTATTGATAGTTTGCCTTATTTAGAACTGGATCTTAGGCGATAACTGGCCATGTATCAACAGTAAAACAGTATTTACTGGTAGTGTTTCTCTCCATTCTGAGTATAAGCACAAATCATATGAAAAACTACAGCAATCAGTGAAGCAATCATTACTTGAAGAGTTATACAGCTAAAAATGAACTGTATTATTATGTGGGCTGCTGGATATTTATGCAATATGCATTACAATGAGGTGAGTTAAAGCTAAATGCATTATTCTGAATCAACACAGGAGAAATACTAATTTTTAGGGTTTTTTTGTCAAATTTTGTCAAGCTTTTGTCCTAGCCCACTTCTGAATGTTTTACAAAGTATGCAATTTCCCATTTCAAACTTTTAAGAACTTCATTGTAAACAATTAAAACACAGAAATGTATATGTATTTGTATGTGTATACGAGTCAGAGTAGCATCTATTTTGACTAATATACATAATATTTTGACTAATTTATAAATGTATCATAATTTTCATATATGAGCATACATGGCAAATAGTCACATGCACATTTATTAATGTTCAAAGTTGGGCTTTTTTCAAATAGAAAAAGCAATGAATCAAATGATCTAATGGATCTGAAAAACAAGGACCTTATACTGATGAGACATCATAAAGAACTCTTGAGAGCTATCTCACTTTATCAAACAACAAATTTGGGGACATAATACTACCTTGAATGGTAATAGGCAGCCTTGTGCCCATTAGATGCTTTAGACATTATTCTTTTTACAGAACGGCCAAAGGCAAAACAGATTGTGGTAGATACAGTCCAAAGTACTTAGAGGGCATCTGGCTACATATGTGGATTTAAAAGGTCTAAGTGAAAAACACTGCTTAAAATATACTTAAAAACAAAAACAGGTGTCCCTCTCAAGAGGGGAACTAACATTTACAATGATCAAATACAAAGCAATAAACATAGCTACTAATCTTCATAATATCAATGCTTACTGATAAAAATGATAAGCTGGAAAATAAAAGCAAACAGAAGAACATATACAATGTGCTTGAAGAGTGACATAACTGAATCTATTTTGACAGTTACAGAAGATGTGGATCTCATTGAAGTGTAACTAAAACTCAACCCCCTTTTAACACAATAATTGTATTCATAAGCAAATTCAGCAAGTTTTGTCAAAAAATTATCTTTTAGACATGTTCCTGTTAGTCAAGATTCAAGGCCATGTCCATTTCATACAAGGGGCAAGGCATTCTTAATAAGGTCTTCTCTACTTGTTTGTTGGCAACAGTTGTGTAATACAGAGTTTAAGCTTTCAATAGATTAAAACAATGTAACACAACATCTACTTACTAACCATATCATTAATAGATAAATTTGTTTTGCTTCATGAGAGCCCTGCCACAGCATGCTAAAATACAATACACTGCCTGCTTTTTATTCGTTCAAGTTAAGGAAATAATCAGTTACTGTCCAAAAGAGTTGGAAGCACTAATTGTCACTGACCTATTTCAGTGCCTTAAATTGTCAATAACTTCAAAAAGAAGTTGGGCTGCATTCTACATTTAATAAAAAAAATAAAAATAAAGCACTGATACAGGTTAACAACAACTTCTGCTTCTTACACTTAGGGATAGTAATGAAATGATGATGATCAAGTCACACCAATGACCTCACACTTACAAAACCCAAACCACCTACTATCTTTGTGCAAACTAGTGGAATGAGCTGGTGGAATAAGTAAAAGTTCAACATATCAGATTGGGAAAGGCAGTGTTATGCCACTTTCTATGAAGTAAAAAAAAATGTGTTTTTAAAAGTATTTAGTATGGTTCCATACTCTCAGAAAGAATCCAAAGGGGAAAAAAAAGAAAACAGCTGCACTAAATTTCAAAACATACATTCCTAATTTATAAGGTAGAGTTTACCTAGCTAAGTTACCTTATCTAGCTAAGAAGATTATGAAGCATCCACTCCATACCATAAAACTGGGTCCAGTAATTCAGAGTATTTGGGCACAACAAAACTGAGAAAAGGATTGCCATGTAGTTAGATTTAATACTAAGTGAAATAGGGGAAAAAAAGGCAAATGTTGTTTCTGTGTTACCTTTAACACAGAAACTCAAAAGTTATAAGGGGAAAAAAAAGTCTTGCTGTTCTAAATTCCTTGGAAACACCTATCTTCGTATTTAGTTTCCAAATTAAACGGTCTCCTTATTTTATATTACTTTTGCGGAAGATTTTTTTTTTTAAAAAAATAAAACAAACCAAACCAAGCGATGAACGTCATACCTTGCGTTTGGTTGTTAAGTGCTGATCCTGCAACTGGGAAAGAAGAAGTGGCAAAAAGTGCTGGAGCCTCGGGGCTGCAAAACCGAAGAGGCTACACCACCAGCTTGCACCGCCTGCCTCGCTCGGTTGGTGCATTTGCAGAAATGGACCCCCGCTTTTCCTTAAAAAATATTCACACACACCCACACCCCAAAACGACCCTCCCGCTGCAGCTGGAGCTCAAAAGCCTCGAGGGGAAGCAGGAATTCCCCGTCGACCCTTCCCTTTGCCGAGGCAGCCACCCACCCTCCCCGCCCGCCGGAGGTTAAAAGCAGCAGTCTGGGTCGCCTTCGGGGGTTGTGGTGGTGGAAGGAAGGACGCGGAGGCAGCGGCTTACCTGCATGACTATCTCGCTGGGTAACTGCGCGGCGCGGAAAAGATCCAGGACCCGCCCGTTGGACGCCACTTTCTTGGTGCTCTCCGTGTCGCAGTAGGAGAAGAGGTCGCAGTAATAGCGTTGCTCCGTTTCGCTCAGCGTTAAACCCTCCATCTTACACCGGCCCAGCCCTGCCCTTTCCTGCCCCGGGGATCGATCCTACAACGGGGTGGAGTGAAGGAGGGAGCCGGGGCCGCGCGCGCTCGCTCGCACGCGCGAAGCCGCCGCCGCCTCCTCCTCCTCCTCCTCGCGCCAGTAGCGGCCGGGGAGGAGGGGGGGGGGGAGAAGGCGGCCCCCCGCAAAAAAAAAAAAAAAAAAGGGGGGGGGGGAACGAGAGCGGGCGCGCGCGCGTCTCTGTGTGTGTGTGCGTGTGCCTTTCGCCGCCTCGGCTGTCGCTTGTTGATCTCGCGCCGCGAACCTGCCTGCCCGACAAGAGTTGCAGAGGAAGGTTCCAATCCAGAGGAAGCCCGACGACAAGGGGGAGGAGGGGGCGTGGCCGCGCGTGCAAAGCGAAAAAAAAAAAAAAGCGCCCCAGCGTTGAGTCGGTCAAAGTCTCCTAATAAAGTTTCTGTACGTTTCTCTTCCGTGCCTTTGGCCACGCCCATTTCCCCTCCCTCGGGCTCTCTGGGGAAGGCGCGCGCAACCAAGGGGCGGGCGGATTTAATTCCGCTCCCGGAAAAGGAGAAGGGGAAGAAAAAAAAAAAAAAAGGGGCTGCCCGAGATCTCGCGCACAAGACCCGGATGCGAAGCTGAGAGGTGGTTTAGCTCGTCTCTCCGCTTTCTCATACGACAGAAGTGTTGGGGAGGGGCGGGGAGAGAGAGAGGGGGGGAGGGGCTAACACCGTCCTCTGACGGTCTGGAGGTCTACTACAGTGTTCCTGAGTACTGTAGCGCCTTGTGGATGTCTAAATTTTGGAGCTTGCTCCTGCGATCAGCAGAAGATGAAACAAGCATATCTTTAAGGGAGTCTGCTGGGGATGACTGATTCTCCTACTCTGGGGATGATAGGAACTGTAGTACAACATAAGTGAAGGACACCAGATTAAGGAATATATTTATTGTTGATTTGTTGTAGTCCACCTGGCAATACCTTATCAAAAACACTTGCCTAAAATTAAAAACAACACAATATTAAAAATTAAAAGCCCATATTGAAATTTAACAAAAGACTGACAAAAAAAGATGTGGCTTTACAGATTTTTCTAAATAAAATGTACAAATAAAAAGTGACACCCTCTAGAGGATGTTGACTTCTGTTCACACCCAAGCAGTTTACTTGGCAATGGTACCAAAGTGATTTGCCATGGATTTCTGGGATGTTTTCCAATTTCCTAATCTAGCCGACGGTCCTGATATTGCCTGGCAATTTCTCATTCAAATTCTAACCACATTTTATTTTGCTTAGTTTGAGCTTTTTAAAAGCTTGGTTGGGTGCTGCCACTAGAGGCAAATGGAATTCCTGCAGTATTTTTCACATCTTCGGGGCAGCACAGGCGGCCTTCTCCCACATGCCAGAAATGCTGGCCTCCTATTATTGTGCAAGGGTATCTTCAAAAGTCCATCTGCTTCAAAAGTTAACAGCCAGGGAAGAAAGGAAGGAAAGCAGGCTGAACGGAAGGAAAAGGCAGTCCCTCAGATCAGAGGTTTTCAATTTATTTCAGGCCATTGAATCTATTTTTTAAAAAGCCCTGGAACCCCTTATTGAGAGGAATGGGGCATTTGGATGTCAGAGGATAAGTCCTGATCTTTCCAATATAACTTAGAAAAATTGCTATAGATATGCCTAAAAAACCAGCATTGAGGCAGATATACACGGCTAAGCACATTAAAGTTTTCTTTCCCTAGGGAACCAACCCTAAATATGGGCAGTTTTTTATACCTCGATGCTATTTTTCAGGGAGATCCAGAGCAATTTTTCTATGTAACTGAAAGGAAAAATCCTTCTACACAAGACACTAATGGGAAAAACCACCCTCCCTACAAGTATCTTAAATTTAATCTCTTTTCTCAGTCCCACAGAACCCATTTAACTTTCCATGGAACTTAGGGTTCCACAGAATCCAACCTGCAAAACCTCACCTTAGATAGGAAGATCTATATGAACCAGGACAAGGGAAGCCAGTGACGGTATGCATGATCATACAAATGCTGCAATTTGTGTTAGATATTGGACATTAGTATGTAGTGGCATTTGCCCGGTGATATCAATTATTTTATTTTGTTTGGTGATATCATGTAGAGGTATTTGATTTACGATCCTTTGTTCAGAGACTGTTTGAAGTTACGATGATGTTGAACAAAGGGACATGTGTACGGTTTAGTTATGGCTATTCCAGTGCCCCCCACACGTGATCAAAATGTGGCTACTTGGCAGCCTGCCTGCACTAATAACAACATGGGTTTTATAGTTCCCACCTGCCTATCTTCCCTCTACCTATGCCATTTTGCTGCCCTGCTGCCCCTGTGCTCTACCACCCCAGCTGATCTTCACTATTTTCTTCCTGTTGCTGATGAGGCATGCCCAGTCTGGCTGCTGAATCTGTGAAAGTCAACACCAGCTAAAGAACTGGCAGCTGTGATTTTATGTTGTGTATGTAATAAATTTATAATGCCTCACAACTCCCATTAATGACAATTTTAAATGTTGGCTTTTTCTTTCCTTCCAGGTGGTTTTTCTTTTACCTTCCAGGTAAAAATTTCTGTTAAGCATTGTTAAAGCTTATATTCCTACCAGGTTGTGGAGGAATCTTGAGCAGAATTGAGAAGAGAATTTCCTTTCAACTGGTTCCACCCCATCAGCAATTCAAGCCTAGCCAGCCTTTTCACTCCCCACCTCAAAATTCCAGCACAGATATATGGAGAGTTGGTTCTGTATATGATAACAGTTCCCAAGACACTTTATGCTTCTTGCTAATATTACATATCATTCCTTCTTTAGAATTCAATTTAAATTGGGAACCATTTATGCACTACAGGTAGTTCTCGACTTACGAACATTCCTTTAGCAACCAGTTGCAACCATGCTAAAAAAACCTTGACCTGTCCTTGAACTTCCTCAGTTGTGTGTGTGTGTGTGTGTGTGTGTGTGTGTACATCCGAAGGTGTGTTACACCTAGGGTTCGGCGGCCTACTGAAGGTGTCAGTGGAACTGCGGCATGGAAGGTACTCCCATATGTACAGGGGGTATCCGAAACTGCTGCATGCATCCTCTCGGCACATGGAGTCAAAGTGGCGCATAAGCCAGACCAAATATTGAGAATGAGAATGATGCGCCCAAAGGAAGCATTATCCAAGGAGGAGACATCTTCAATAGTTTACCGCATCAATTGCAGTAATTGTGCAAGCAATTACGTAGGGGAAACGGCCAAGCGGTTACAGACCAGACTACATGAACACGAACTGGCTGTCTGACGCAAGGAGCCGCGCTCCCAGATCTGGACGCATATGAAGGAGCACAGCCACACGTTTGATTTTCAAGAGGCTGAAGTTATTGCCCATAAGACTAAAGGAGGATGCTTACTAAAGGAAGCCTGGTTCTCCAACAGCAATTCTATCAACAGGCATATCGAGCTGCCACCGGCCTACCAGGCTTTGAGACACCAGGAGAGACCCTGCAGGAGGAGCAGAGATGGCTTTCCATTGGTGAGCAGAGACCAAGGGCACCACTCTCCACCTCTGGGCATGCAGACTCAGCCTGTGAAGGCATGGTTGGTCCTGACCAAACACGGAGCAACCCGGCAGGGCTGTCTCAAACTGCAATAGATAGGATTAATGAGAAACAAACCTGGTTGACCACAAGGCAACAAATCGCAATAACTGACAGGCTAACATCAACTCCCCCCCCCCACTGATAAGCAAGCTAGGAGGGAGTAGGAATCAAGCCTCCATCATCCAGCATGAAGACAGCAAAAACAACACAGTTGATTACAAGTGGAGACAGCTGGAAGGGCCTAGTACACGCGCAAGGGCTAAATTAATTAATGGCATATAAAGGCAGACATCTCTGTAATGGTAGTTTAATACTCTGACGATGTCAGCAGATGGCTGATGAAAGCTTAGTAAAATAGAATTTTAATTCTTTTAAAATTTTAAAATCTTAAGGTTCTGGAGTTTGCAGTATGTCTGCTTCTTTTTTTACTAATATACCTGGAACTCGTATTTTTAGAATAGTTTGTAATATATAGATAGATATAGATACATACATACATATAGAATTAGTGTTATAGTGGTTAAAGTGTTAGCCTATGAGCAGAAAGACCCAGGTTCTCTAGCCCTCTTTTAGGCAGGAAATCCAGCTGAGTTATTTTGGGCAGCTGCTACTTCTCAGCTCTAGACTTCTAGGAAGTGAAAAAACACATCTATTTTCCACCCGTTGCTAGACCAACATGGTCAATTATCGTTCATAATCTTCATTGAAAAGACCAGCTTGCAGCACAGTGACTTGGAATGATAATATAGAAAAATATGGGCAAATGGATATAGTGGATCCTATGTATTTCTGATAGTGTAGTTGAATCCAACAGAAAGTGCAAAGTAATCCTATGCATACTTACTGAAGAGAAAATTTCATTACAAGTCGTTCCCGTCTTATGACCACATTTGAGACCAAAATTTCCATTGCTAAGCAAGACAGTTGCTAAGTGAATTTTGCCTCATTTTATAATCTTTCTTGCCACAGTTAAGTGAATCACTGTAGTTAAGATAATAACACCTTGGTAGTTGAGCCTTGGTAGTACAGTGGTCTAAAGCACCCTGTTATTAAGACCAGCTGCCTGCAATTACTGCAGGTTCGAATCTTGCCAGGCTCAAGGTTGACTCAGCCTTCCATCCTTTCTAAGGTAGGTAAATTGAGGACCCAGTTGTGGGGGCAATAAGCTGACTTTGTATAAATATACAAAAGGATGAAGGCTATTGCTTAGCGCATTGTAAGCTGCCCTGAGTCTCCGGAGAAGGGCGGCATATAAATCAAATTTAAAAAAAACAACACGATTATTAAGAGAATCTGGCTTTGCTTGTAGAAGGTTGCAAAAGGTGATCACATGACCTTGGGATAGTGCAACTATCATAAATACAATGCCAGTTGCCAAGCATCTCAATTTTGATCACGTCACCTTGGGAATGCTGCAATGGTCATAATTGTGAAAAACAGTGACAAGTCATTTTTTTCCCAGTGCTGTTATAGCTTCAGGGGGTCACTAAATAAATGATTGTAAATTGAGGACTACCTGTATCATGAATGAATCTTGGGATACAGCCACCATATCATTGTAATGTTAAGTTGCCATTGCCTCGCTAATTATGTCTGGGCTTTAATTTTGGGTTTTTCATTTTACTGGAGATACATTTTCCATCTTTTCTCTATACAAACCTTACTGAATGCATGATCTGGCTCACTTGGTCAAGCAATCACTATGATGAAGTGGCAAGAACAGAAATGTGTCCAGCAACTTTTGGCCACTGTGTGCATGCTATCTTTCCAGTTAACTTGGATTTTCTTTTATTGCTGTTCCAATTTGTGCTACTGAACTAACATGACCACAGGAGAAAAGCAACAGCAATAACAACAGCAGCAGTGTAACTGAAGAAAGATGAGATCAGGCTTCTTTCAAACAACCTGCGCATCGGTCTCAGACCCATGGGATATAAGCTGCTTTTGAAAGTTTGTGTTATGCAATATTGCTTTCTCTAGCCATACTGGGGCTGCTCTAATAATCTGCTTGCAGCTTGCCTCTCAGATATTATATAGATCAACAAATGCCTCCAGAGATCCTGGTTTAATCTGTTATCACTAAAGCACCACTAAGATTACTTGAGAACGTGTACTAAGCCCTCTGTAAAGTAACCAGTCATTTGGGTAGGGTTTCTTTCCCCTGCAATGGTCAGACAACTAGGTCTCATCAAGTTCGCAAGAGCAGTACGTATATTTAATGGTTTTCACAGATTGATAAATTTACTTCTCTAACCATTTGTGAAACTCATCCCCTCCCAAAGCCCAGCTCGTATCTTGAGAAGTGATTGAAATCCACCAATTACTGGACCTTAATATATCCTGCAATGCATTGAACTGTTAGGACATTACTGTACTCATTTGCTGTCCCCCTTACTAGACAGAACATAAACTGACAAAATAGGAGCTAATCATGGCAGCCCACTTTTAAAGACCCTGCGGAAAGACAGGGCTGCAGTCCTGAAGTTGGGGCAAAAAAGGGACTCCTCCATCAGGCTCATGAATGTTCATCATTTAAGGACTCCAGGGAGGTGGCTGGTTAAAAAGCCTGGTTAAAAAAAAAATATTACAGCGAGGTGATTTCAACATTCTGCCATTGTTTTCTGATCTATGCGAGGTTGATTGACACCTGCAAGTCACTTAAGGATGCTGCATCAGGTAATGAGCACACAGGTGTGACCTAGCCCCGTTCCAAGAGACTAACATTGGCGTTTTCCCACTTGGCAAACGGAGCTTGTTCTCAGGTGCCATCACTTTAACCAAGCCTCGATCTTAACCCCTCGCCTCCCCAGAAGCGTTTGCTACAGGCGTGTGGGCGGCACCTCTCCTTCCGCTCACTTTCAGCCTCGAGTGGGGAGGGGAGGGGAATGGTGGTGGTGGGGGGGGGGAGAGGTTGGTCACAGATTTCCTCCTCCTGACACTCTTTCAAAGCCACACTTCCTCCGGCACTTTGCTTTGAACGCCGCTCCTTCTCTACTCTAGAGGTAAGTCAGCCTATCGAGGTGAGCTGGAGTGGGCATCCACACAGTCAGGCGACCGACGCGCGGGAGGAGGACGGCAGGGCAAAAATCGCAGCGGTTGCCCCCATGCAGCTGACTGCGGGGAGCCGCGGAGTTAAAAGTCTCGTTTCCCAGCCGGGGTCTGAGCGAGGCTCTTTGTCAGGCGGCGGGGAAGAGAAGACGAGGCGGCGGCGGCAGCAGCTTGCACTTCCGCGCCGGCGCCATGTGATCCTCCACGCGGATGGAAAGGGCAAGGCAGGAGAATCCACCTTGGAGGGGAAAGTCCTCGGCTCCGAGAAGGCTTCTCTCTGGGAGAGAGTCCACTTTGCTGGTGGGCGAGGGGAGGGGGGGCTTTGTCCCAGGCGGGCGCAAGAACCAGTAGCAACCGGCAGCGCGGCTGATAATTCTGCTTTTTGCGCAATTGGCCAGCGGGAGAGCTGCCAGCCCTAGACGCTGTATTGCTTACAGCTGGGATGGGAGCCCTACAGAGCCGAAGAGACACACGCTGCCGGAGAAGCAGCCTTGCTTTTGGGGATGGGGTTATTTATCCCATTGCTTGCCCAGCCGCTGTACCTGCGCCCCTTTCGCTTTCTTAGCCCCGCCAGTCGCCTTTACGCAAACGGTTCGCGCTCCCCGCTCCTTTGCAAATTGCGTTTCCCCTCCCGCGGCTCGTTTCCTTTGCCTGCCTTCTCTGTCTGCCAGCCTCTCCCCATCTCTGGATGCGGGAAAGCCGAGGGGCGCAGAGGAACAGGTGGAAGCTTGTTTTGCCAAGCTCCAGGAAGGGAACGTAAAGCGAGAAAGGTGCAGAGGAAGACCTTCAACTTGTTGAAAGCTTTTATTTGCTGAATACAGAAACTCCCCATACCACATTAAAGCCATACAGCTGTTAAAGCGGCAGGCTGAAGACCAGTTTAGTCCTGCTTTGGGTATGAAGCCAACTAGGTGCTCTTGGGCCAGTCATTCACTCTCAGCCCTAGGAAGCAGGCAATGGCAAATCACTTATGAAATCTTATCTAGAAAATTGCCTGAGTTGTGAGACTCGCTCGCACACAAACACATATGACCAAATTAGGGTATGCGTTGCACCAGAAAGGAAATTACTCACTATGCTGTTCCTATCCTAGCTGCAAACAAAAGAAATCAGAAATGAATATACTCTCAAGCCACGAAGCCAATGAAAAGTCCCAGGTTCCTTTCTCTCCTGTAATAAATGTAAAAGGCTACTGAAAATTAATCAGGCACTTGCATACTATTGCTTGCCATTCTTATTCATTTGGGAGAAGGAAGCATCTTGAGTTCAGGATTCAGTTACACTTGCTCTGTAACTTTTTGAAAAGGTAAACAAAAAACATTTCCTGAACGTTTGAAATAATATGCACACTTAAGTAATTATCACCTGCTTCCTCATCTCTGCTCTTTGAAGTGAACGGAAACATGTTTGCTCACTGTGTTAATAACATCCCGTACTTTGTGTGGAACTATAGGAGTTTGCCTGCCTGGGCTACAGTCATGCAAGTTTCTTAGGTTTAAGTCCCATCAAACTTAATGAACTTCTCATTAGACATGAATATAAAATTTAAATGTTGGGACATTTTTTTTTAAAAAAGACCAACTCTTTGTTGGTTTTAGTGAAAAAGGCTTGTAGGAGAGATGTGTTAGACTGACAGCCAAAAATCTGGTGGGGTCTGGTTGCACCTTTTCTGATTAATATTGACATTTTCTGAAGATAACTGCTGCAAGATGAAGCAGGCGCAGTTCTCTTATGTGGGTAGATTCCTGCACAGATTTTGTGTAGTCTGTCAGGGAATTGCCATTGGTTAGCAAAAAAATAAATAAATCCTATTAGCTTGAACTAGTTTATATAAATGCAACGCTATCTTGCAATGTCGTTTGATGTAGAAGATTTTGAAGAGGTGGTACTTTGGCAGAGTCTGGATGCCATGGTAGATACCAATTTGTTTATGATACTATACCACTTTTGAGATGGGCCTTATTAATAGGTTTACAAAACTGTTAACCTGTAGTCTCAACCTATAGCCATTTGTTTAGCAACCATTGGAAGTTACAACTGCAGTGAAAAAAGTAAGTTGCAACTTGTACTTATGAACTTTGCAGCCTTCCCATGGTCACAAGATCAAAATTAGAGTGCTTGGCAACTGGCATTATTTACAATGGTTGCAGCATCCCAGGGTCATGTGTTTGCTGTTTGCAGCCTTCCCAACTGGCTTCCGATAAGCATAGTCAATGGGGGAAGCCAGATTAGTTTACTGACTGCATTCTTCGCTTAACAACTGCAGTGATTTGTTTAACGTTCATGGCAAAAAGGTAATAAAATCAGGCATGACTCACTTAACAACCATTTAGCAACTGAAATTCTGGTGCCAATTGTTGTAAATCAAGGACTACTGTAGAAGTCTGTTGAAGAAAGCTAGTTAAAAGGAGTGGCAGCTTTTCAAGTTGTGTTTCATCATGGTGAAATTATGTTGAAATTCTGCATTTGTACTGGTAATTTAGTGTATAATATGAAAAGTAAGGTACGTAGTTCTTTTTTTCAAATGAGTTATACTTTAAAGTAGAAAAATAATCTTAGATTTGGTCTGCAAACAGCAAAAGAGGCAGCTAAGGTTTTTTTTTTTTTTTTTTGGCAAATTCCATTTAAGGGGGGGAGGGGCAAGGCGCAAAGGAGGGAAGGAAAGAATTACCTTAAATGCAGAATCATGTGGTTTCCAGAGAAATGTAATACTTTAAATAATAGTTATACTATTCATGTACAGAACAGCCCCTTTTGCTACATTTTGTAATATAAAGGCATTTTAAAGGCTAGGATTTTTAACATGAGTAAATGCCTTACATATACAGGTAGCACATGCACTTTAAGACGTTCCTTTGCAGAATGTGTAGCAATGTATCTGACTTGCAAATACATAAGCCACTTAACAAGGAAGATAACTGTTGCTTTGAGAATGTGAACTGATAAAAAGGACCCCTCCCCAACATGCATTTATTGTGTCCCTAAGTGCACATGAAACTTCTTTTAAAATCTCAGTACTTGTTTTGAATATGAAAGAAAACACAAAGGAACAAATTTATAAGGCAACAATAATTTATTTGTAGGTTACAATGAATGTTGAACATGAAATCAACCTGTTAGTTGAAGAAATTCGACGGCTGGGGACCAAAAGTAAGTATGATTAAATGGCTGTAGATGGAATATAAAATTAATAGACTCCAAATGTGCTAGAATACAACTGACATAATTTCCAATGTATATTGGTCTAATATTTCCAGAAGGCACTGTATTGGGGAAAATCTGCAATGTAGGAAACACCTGCAGAAAAAGCCCCATTTTAAAAAGTAAGGAATAAAACTCAAGATACAAGATTTTGTTCTTAAAACATGGAGTATATTGGATGAAAATCAATAAAGAGTTAAATAAACTTCTGGCAACAGTTCAAATGTTTAAGGAAGTAGTTAAGCCTTTGCTTCAAGCCAGTCTGATAAATTTGTTACAGAATATAAATTATTGTTTATGTACTATCAAGTTGGTGTCAATTCTTAATGACTATATTTTCTCCTGTTCCCAATCTGTATTAGTATTAGTATTTATTAAATTTTTATACTGCCCTTCTCCCGAAGGACTCAGGGCAGTGAACAGCCAAGATTAAAATACATACATTATGAAAATTAAAATACTTTAAAAATAATTAAATCACTTTGGCGTCCCAATTTGAAAACCTCATTACCCATAAAATTAATCAATTAAAATTTTAAGCCAGCCCGGCTTGCTGAAACAAGAAAGTCTTCAGAGCCCGGCGGAAAGTACGGAGGTCCGGGATCAGTCGTATCCCTGGGGGTAGCTCGTTCCAGAGGGCGGGTGCCCCCACAGAGAAGGCTCTCCCCCTGGGGGTTGCCAGTCGACATTGCTTGACCGACGGCACCCTGAGGAGACCCTCTCTGTGGGAGCGTATTGGCCGGTGGGAGGTTATCGGTGACAGAAGGTGGTCTCGTAGATACCCAGGCCCTAAGCCATGGAGCGCTTTAAAGATGAGAACCAAAACCTTGAAGCCACCCGGAAGGCCACCAGAAGCCAGTGCAGCTCGCGCAGGTGTTTCATGGGGGCGCCATGTCGCCCCCATAATGACCCGCACGACTGCATTCTGGACCAGTTGGAGCCTCCGGGTGCTCCTCAAGGGGAGCCCTATGTAGAGAGCATTACAGTAGTCCAGGCGGGAAGTAACGAGGACATGAGTGACCGTGCATAAGGAGTCCCGATCCAGAAAGGGACGCAACTGGCGTATCAGGCGAACCTGATAGAAAGCCCCCCTGGCCACGGCCGTCATATGCTCTCTGGTGGTTCTGGTCTTTCAGTAGTGCATTTATGACCACTTTAATTAAGCCATCCTCTTTCTGTCTTTATTTCTATCTTTCCCAATATTAAAGACTTATCTAGAGAGCTATGTCTTCACATAATGTATCCAAAGTGGGATAATTTGAAACCCATGAGAGCCCTGAGTTGATTGGTTTGATGATCGTTTGTTCTTAGCTATCCAAGTCCAGAGGACTTCTCCAACACCAACAGGATATAAATATTGATTACTAAATAGATAATAAGAACAGCACGGGAGACCCCAGATTATTTAAGCTAACAGCATGCATCTCTAGTTCTAATAGCATTATATAGAATAACCAGACTGCCAATTTTCTTTCAAGGGCCCCCCTTGGAAAACTGGTGCCAAGTTTCCCATACGCTCATAGCTACTAATGCAAACTTTACTTGTGACATAGACAATCATTTAATGGAAAACAACAATCTCTTCTGAGGGGATGTCTACTTGCTTGTAGAAACTTGGCAACAGCGAGACGTGATGTCTAGGTTGATACATCAGGTTATCTTTGTTTACTCGTTGAATATTAATTAGGTAACAGTTTATGTAACAGACCAAAACTATATTTGATTCCCAGTTAAGTCACTGGAATTTTTTCATAATTTTCCCACTTTTAAAATAAAACTGGATTCTTATGTGCATTTTGGTTCCAGTTCAGACTGCTACTGTAAGTTTAGGTTTTAATCTAAGGACTCTAACCTAAGTAGCTGTCTGTAAATTCACTATACTAGTGTGCCTTTTTGGAAAGGGCGTTTAAATGCAGTCTTATTTTTTCCCCATTGACTTTAATTTCAGGTGATATTCATGTTCACTAATCACAGCACGTTAAAAAATAAGGGATTTTTTGTTGCTTTCAGCTTAGTATATCATGCAAATTGCTATTTGTAAAATATTTTTATAATTTAACATGTAGGGAATCTCATTTAGTTGTGGTTTATTCAACAAACCATGGCTAATATGAAGGCAGTCAGTATTCATCATAACTACCTTGAGTTACTTTGGGCCTAAATGATACCAGATTTTCATATGATTATTATTCAGTATATAATTTTCAGTGATTAAAAATGTAAAAATGGAAGATTAACTTTTTAAAAAGTATTAAAATGTGTATTTTTTCCAACCATAAGTTAAACATTTTTGATACCTTTTTCAGCAGTGTCAGCAAATCTAAAATAATGTTGCAGAGATTACTCATTTAATATAGTTTACTATTTGATGTAATGGATTTGAATTTAATAATAATTTTTACTGATTTGTGCCTCTGAATATATGTTATGTTTAAAAGTTAAAATATTGGTCATATTTTCACATTTACATTGTGATGAATTTGGCTACGGCTACGATAACCTTATTAAATGAAATTAGAAACCTTGAAAATCTCCAGGTCCAAAGACTTATTGGGAGCTAAAATGTTAATATGTCATTTCATCCTCATACTTTCTTTTGTCCAGATCCTGATGGGACTTTGAGTGTGAAGTTTGGAGTGCTGTTTGCGGATGAGAAATGTGCCAATCTTTTTGAGGCTTTGGTGGGAACCCTGAAAGCTGCAAAACGACGGAAGATAGTTAATTATCCTGGCGAACTGCTTTTGCAAGGAGTTCATGACAATGTTGATATCTTGTTATTGCAGGATTAGTTACTTTCCTAGCAAATGGCATTTTCATTAGGTATCTATATGTAACTCAGATCAAGATGCATTTGATTGAAAGTATATCTTCCTATTTATCTTTATAGAATTATATAAAAAAAATTCTCCGAAGGCCTTTTAAAAAATTATTTTCTGAAACCCCTGCTACATAGTTTGTTGGGCCTTTTTTTGGCGGGGGGTGGGATTTGGAAATTACAGTCTCATATGTCTGAAATGTTGTTGAACTCTGGAATTCCTTACAAATTATCAATATCAACAACCTAAACCTTGCTACAAACTTCCAATTTATGGGGATTCTGTGATTTCTTTGCAAGAATCAAAAATTATTCCGGCCAAATGAAGCATTCAAGCTGGTAGTTTCATCTGAAACTGAATATTTGATATGGTCTTTTTATGCAATGCTTGAAACATAGGTTTTTCATGTGACACTTTCTGAACTGTGATACTTCGGAGTAACTGGAAAGTTATAAAAGCAATGGCAGGCAGAGGAATTCTCTTGCATTTTTTTAAGTGTATTCTCATTGATGAAGGAGAGAATGTTATGGAAATCATTTCAAAGAAGAAAATAATGTAAGAGAAATGTGTCATTAGTGTGTTATTTTTCACTTAGTTATAAAGTGACCAAGACAAAGTATTTTGTCTTTTATTATTACAATAATTTCTCCAGCTATCAGCAAATCAGACATAGATTAAATTCTGAGGAAATACTCAAAAGGATATTCGGATATTTTCTTTGGCAGTATTTCATTGCTAAATGGGAGTCTTGCTGTTGAGAAATTGTCCATCCAGTTTCGCCTCCCACAAATTTGAGAATCTCAAAAGACCATTTGTGTCTAATTCATATAATATTCCTTTTCTCAGGGTAAAGTTAGAGAAGTGGGAGGACAGTCCTTCTATTTCTCAGATTCCAGTTTCTCTATGTCTATTACTTGTTGATGATGCCCTTCTGGGAAATGGGTGTACCTTAAACAAACTCTGTAGATCACTTTAGAAAGCACTAAGTATTATCCAAACTGCTGTTAACACAAGTTCATTCTTTTTCTATTTGGTCGGTTTGAGAAAGAAGTGGAATAGGGTGTGAGAAATGCTCACCTGAACCCTTTCTGGCAGGCATCAGGGAAGGAACACTTGAAAAATAGAATATGACATAAAATGAGAAGAACAGGAAGATTGCCTCATAGAGGACATGAACATGCAAAATTGGTAGAATTGTACAAGACTATCTCACAAAGGTCCATTCTTTTAGTTTTTTACAAGATGATTGAAGTGCACTTCTCATTATTATAATTCATCTAGGAAATTAGCAAATCAATTCTTTCTCCTCTTCCCTCTCCACTCCTACCCAATACTTGAGAATTAAAGACTGTTTAAATGGCAACAATGGTGTCATAATACATTGTTTTTTAGCTCTTATTCTATGCATTCTATTCTATTCTTTGCATGATCCTTTTGTGTCTAATTGATACAGTGGCTAGCTGGTCTTCCTTAGAAGTCCCTAAAGGGCTTCAAAGTAAAATACTTTATCAATAAATAAAAATGTGGGAATTATTTTTAGCCATATCATTCTGTGAAAAAAATGCCTTTAATTAAATAAACATTTCATGTACACCAAGAAAATTTGGTCTCAAATACATATTTTTGGTAAATAAATATTTCCAATTCTCGCTAGTGTTGTTTGTTTCTTGAAGTGTGGAGTAGCTCACCTGAGCACTGGAATTCTTATTTTGTAAGGATCCTCTTTGCCAATTCTGTACACACTTGTATTAACTTCATCAAGAAGCACTGAAGCATTCCAAGAAAAAGAAAACATAATTTGTTATAGTGATGGTGGAGAATAGGAAAGCAATGGTACTTAATCTAAAATGTTGCTTTGATGCTTATGAAGGAATTTGATAACAGTATTTTCATCTCTGGAATGATTTACATATTAGTTTAAATAATGCATTCTATGTTAGGAGTGATCATATTAAAGTTATGATTCAAGATTAAGGACATTACTTACCACAAAAGAAAAGCAATTGAACTTTCAATATGTCTTAAAATAGTTGGAAATGTTTTGGAAGTTTACAGTGTGAATTCTGGATAAACAAGGCAGATAAACAAGGAAGCAGTGCATCTGAAAAAAGGTATGTCTAATTTCAAAACAAGTTAATTTCCTATGGAAACTCATGTCTTTGAATTAACTGACACCTGGTTGACTAAAATGCTAGAGGTTTAAAGATGAAAGATTCTTCATTAAAGTTTATGTTCAAAGGACACATTTCTAAAATTTTAAGATCTTAATCATTTCTCATTCTTCAAAATAATTGTACAGTATATGGATTTTCTTATGATTTATGGTCGTTTCAATTTTACTTTAGAAAATAGATAAAAAAATCCCCAAAGAACAAAATTCCAGAAGTGTAATTATGGATTAATATGAAACATAAATTGAACCATAGCGCTGCCAAATATTACTTGAGAGGTTTATAGTGTAGGACCTCAAATGTTGGCTTGGTGCAGGGAAGGCTCAGATTCCATCCTTAGTCAAGGAAGTTTACTGGGAAACAAATGATTTTCTCTCAACTCAACACACTTCAAAGAACAGTTGTTTTGTGGAAAAATGGAAGTATTATGTATGCTGCCTTGAGTGCATGAAGAAAATGTTGGATATAATTCTAACAACAACTGAGACTTGGGAACCAAATATAGTAAGCTGGAACAATATACCGTATTTTTCGGACTATAAGACGCACCTTAGTTTTTGGGGAGGAAAATAAGAAAAAAGCTGATTGGGGTGGATCAGCCTCCTGGAATGACCCCAATCAGCTGTTCTCAGAGGTGAACTTTAGCAACAGGTTCTTGGTTGAGCTCTATGCCTTGTTTTTTTTTCAGCCTCTGAAACTTGTCATAACTGAACAAATGTTATGACAAGTTGTAAGTCAAAGACTACCTGTACAGATGGTAGGTAAAAACATTTCCAAAAGTGAGCCTATTCACATTTTTAACATTTGCATTATTAAAGAGTCAAGCTAATATAACAGACAGGAAAGGAGGTCTAGCCCTTGGTCCCCATCTTGATCGAAATCCAGACTGCCCACTTTTCTCCCCTTGCAAATAACAACGTTTCTGATTAAATTAAGAAGGTGGTGTGGTCAAAGTTACTTAACATTTTAATAAATCTGGATGAATTTACAGCCCAATTTTTATCAGTCACAGCTCATCAAATTAAGCAAAACTGGCTTTACAAGTTAAACCAAAATTAAAACTGGTGTGGAAATCCATTCTCATCTAGTTGTCTATGGAGATTCTCAGTCATCCAGGTCATGGTTGTCTCAAAAGTGCTTTATCAAGAGGCAACTGGACTTTTTCATTTTTCTTTGAAGACATTTCGCTTCTCAGGAATATCTGAAGATGTTTTGATTTGCAGGAACATCTGAAAAGCTCAGGAGGATCTTCAACCAAACTAACATATGTGCACACTTTAAACTGCAGAATACACAAAGCAGAAGCTTGTCCACTGCAAGGATAAACACCCAGACACAAACTGAGAACATGGTATATGCAGTACAATGCAGTGTGTCTTGTGCAGATCTGTACATTGGAGAAACAAAAAAACTACTTCATGAACGCATGGCACAACACAGGAGAACAAACCTATCAAGACAAGATTCAGCAGTCCATCTGCATTTAAAAGACAAAGGCCACTCTTTTGAAGACAGCAAAGTCCACATTCTGGACAGACAGGACTGCTGGTTTGGAAGACGGCTCAAAGTGGCTATCTATGTCAAAATTGAACAACCCATTCTCAACAGAGGGGGAAGGATACAATATCATCTATGTCCAGTTCCAAGAAGGCTCCATTTGCACTACTCAGTTTATCAGTTTATTTAAGGATGTAGAAAAAATGCTTTTAAAAGTAAAAAAAAAAAAAAAAGTTGGCCACGTCTACCCAGTCACATTACCACCACCCCCACCAAGCCATGCCCACAGAACCGGTAGTAACAAATTGTACATTTCACCACTGATGAGAAGCAAAATGTCTTCAAAGAAAAACCAGAAAGTCCAGTTAATTGGAAAATCTTGAAAAAGCACCTTTGGGACATTCTCATCTAGTGCTATGAAAAATATTTCAGCAAATATTTTACTGAAAATACAGCAATGAGTTGGAATACAAATCAAAGCCCAGAAATGCAACCAAGAGCTGTGTTTTCCAGGCATATTTTAGCATTAAAATACCCTAAGAAAAACTGTCAATTTAAGGATTCTGGAAAAGTCTTGTCTACACAAACTACATATATCTGCCAGCATTGGCCCTCATCACACATTTAGAATAAAGTAACATGTTGCAAATGAGGCTATTTCTGAAGACTTCTCATAACCTGAACCTGATAGAAAAGGTGTCTATTAACAGATGGGAGCAACAACTGCAATATAACCAGTGGTAGCTCAAGGCAGGGGTGAAATCCAGCAGGTTCTGGAGAACCGGCAGCGGAAATTTTGAGTAGTTCGGAGAACTGGCAAATACCACCTCTGGCTGGTCCCAGAGTGGGATGGGAATGGGAATTTTGCAGTATCTTTCCCCTGGAGTGGGGTGGGAATGGAGATTTTGCAATATCCTTCCCCTGCCATGCCCACCAAGCCACGCCCACAGAACCAGTAGTAAAAAAAAATTGAATTTCACCACTGGCTCAAGGGCATATGGAACCCTAGGCCACACTGACTGAGGTGCCACCTTGTACTGATTTGCATTTTTAGAATGATTCAGCCGGACGGTGCCTAGGTTTCGGCACCTAAGGCTAGTGCCCACTCTGCCTTAGCTTAAAGCTAGCACCGAATATAGCACCAATTCTTTAGTTGTTGCATTAACTATCAAACAAACATCTGATTCAAGGAATGAGATGTTACAATTGGTTTTAAGTGTAGGGCTTGGCTCTGGGATACCTTATGGTCCATCTTTTTCCAAGGGGATCTGCCTTCTGTAAACAAGAAGGGACGGGGTACTTATAGCCTTGCCTGGTCAAGAGATCAAAGGCATAAGGCTACAAAGGCAGATTAATTTTTTTAAAGTGGCTCCTGCTATGGAACACTTTGCCCTCAAGAGGTCTGTCAGGTACTCTCTTTATTTGATTTTCACAGAGGCATGAAAACAGTTCTGTGGCACCAGGCATCTGGCAGTGGGCATTTAATATTATGACTGTATGGCATTGGGCTATTATTTTTATTGCACTGACATTTAATATACATGTAGATATATACTCTCTCACACATCTTTATATATAAAGCTATTACACCTGCAAATATAGGCTTTTAATTTTATTGTAAACTGCTCTGAGTTTAGGGAGTTGGGCAGGACATAAATTCATATAAATTAACCAATTTCTATCCAGGAACCGGATCACTTGCTGAATAAAGAAAGAAAACCAAATAGAAAAGACAAAGGCTTTTCAATCACTACAAATTCCCACCACAAATAATACAGATAAATAAAATTCATAGGATTAGGGAGAAAAAGCCTTAAGCCTCCTTTATATACATGAAAATTTCATTCCTTACCCATATCTATGTATAAACCCCTGTTGTGATCTTTTAATATAAATATTTAAGAAATTATTCAGCAACAGATACAAAGCTTTGACTCTGCATGGGGCCTCCTAAATTTGTAGGCATTTCCCAAATAACCAGTTTGAAGGGATTTTTACAGGTTGTTCTAGAGCTTTTTTCGTCCAATAATTCAGAATTATGTACGTCTGTGTTGAGTCACAGAGTGTTATTCTGAATGAACAACAGTGCTTAGTTCTAGAGGACAAACTCATGTACTGGCTTTATGTGGGCAGTGGACTTGGATACAGCACTAAAGCAGCACAACTGCAGGAGAAAAATCATAGGTTTGTTGTAAAAGATTGATGTGAAAACATAGTAAATGCATTATAAAGACTAATGAAGAGTATAATGATCTGTAATCCATACATAACCCTACTGATAAAAAGATTTAGTTCACATGCTATTCAGAACAGCAGAAATATCCTTTGAATTAAAAATAATAATAATATAAATTAAAATTAGACAGTACAAACAATAAATAAAGAGATAAACAGACTTTCCCGATTTCAGGATATAATCCTTCAGAGCTGTGTGTTTATAAGCTTCATTATAATGGCATTTTGGAAGCTGACTGGGCTAGCAGACAGAAATTAGGTAAAAAAAAAACCTGAGAGGGTAAAAGAGGCATGTATTTGCAAGAGAAATGGATAATGGTACTCTACTAGGTAAGGCAAATAACAATGTTTAAGCACAATGCCAATTTCTAATTTTCCTTGAATTCATGAAATGGGACATATTTGCCCTGATTTTAGTATCCCTTAAAAAATAAAGTAAGCCTGTATTACTTTATCATAACACAACAATCATTTTCTCTTGCAATTTTCTCTTGGAAGAATCAGAATAAAAGCTTAATGGTAGTTCTCCCCAGATCTAGAAATTTGGAGAATTGTCCCAAGTGTTGCAGAAAGAAACCTCTGAATCAGGGATGAAGTTCAGCAGGTTCTAACAGGCTCTGGAGAACCGGTAGTGGAAATTTTGAGTAGTTCAGAGAACCGGCAAATACCACCTCTGGCTGGCCCGAGTGGGGTGGGAATGGACATTTTGCAATATCCTTCCCCCGCCATGCCCACCCCTGCTCTGAATAGAAGGGATTTGGATTTGTTTGTTCTTAGAAAATGGAATTAGGACATAAATAACTCTGGATTTGCAAACTGTGGTACATATAGTATGATTGTTTGGGTTTTGCTTATTGTCATTTG